GCTGACAATGTAACATGGCAGATTGAAACACGTCAAGAGGTCACACCCAACTTGAGAGCTAATGAGGGCAGCTACTGGGGAGGGAAGGGTCGTACCTTTAGGTTTATATACACGACCTTTGTCCTACCTGTCCAGCTGCATACCGGGTAAACAGCTCACTTTCATTCTGTCCTAACCAGTGAAGGCGGTAATTATACAGTCGGTTCACAATGAGACACTGGGAAATGCCACAACTGCCTCTGATCCCCACCAAGAACGTTAACCTCATGTTAGATTCACAGCGACACACAGAGAGAGCTGTCTTCCCTAGGAGGCGTTTCCATCACTGTACATACACAAGTCTCACCAGAACGTTTGACGGCAAAATAGAATAAGTTACCTGTCTAGTCTGTCAGTACAATACAAGGCGTCTACGTTATGCACACCTAGATTATTATGGCACCACCTGAATCATTAAAGCCACATCATGCAAATTACTTCACCTGTACTGTACGTTATACCTAAAACTGTACTTATTCTGATATTTTATGAACATATTCTCTGATTCTCTCTCTGCCACCACAAGCATCCTCTCAACATTGGGCGGAGAACCAGACCTAAGCTATAATCTGTCACGCTGCCAAATATTTACCAACACAACAATGATTCAGCCGACTAGGACCCGCGTGTGTTGCAACCCTCCTTCACCACCCCGGACGCCACCTCCAGGATGTTGTTCCTCTTTATCTAGACATATCTAGAGTATTTCTAGGTACAGGTATATCGTTATTACCAGCCGCACCTTATTGTGTACCCGATCACCTGGAGGCTACCACTCTACCTCGTGTTGACCCTCTCAGGACGAACGCTTAAGTTACAACTCTTTCAGGACGATGGTGTAAGCCTCTTGAGTATTATGACTACTATAGTCCTCGGAACTATAATTTAAACCATCATTCAAAGAGTTATAACCTAAACCACCATCCTTGAAGTGTTGTAAATTAAACCATAATCCACAGAGCTACACCTTAAACCACCATCCATGAAGAGTTGTAAATTAAACCAACAACCTCAGAGCTACACCTTAAACCAACATCATTGAAGAGTTATAAATTAAACCATTAACCTCAGAGCTACACCTTAAACCAACATCATTGAAGAGTTATAAATTAAACCATCATCCACGAAAGGTTTATTAAGTGGTGTCATTTCGTCAATAATGTCCATCATGTTCTCATAATTTAAACTAGTTCACTCTTCCTGTTTTTCCCGTCAGGTGAAGTACTGTTTTATTATCAGTTACCCGGAGAGGTATAATGAACTAGCATGTATTAATAACATTAGGTTCACAGACAAGGCTATACAGGGTGATTCAGCAGAGTACATTAAATTGGAGATGAAATCCTTGGATAATTCTATACCACAATGTCTTTGGTAAAATGTCAGATTCTCCATTAATACAATTAATACAACATGGAAACTATGAAGAATCAGACATTTTACCATAGAGACATTGTGGTTTATAAGTATCCATGGATTTCATCTTACAATTTAATGTACTCTTTACTGAATCACCCTGTATATAGTGAGGTTTTACTGGGTTAGGTTAGGTTAGTTTGGAGGTAGTGGTTGACACGAGGGAGGGGTGGAGGGCAGGAGGGAGGGAGGAAGGAAGACATAGATGGATGGAGGGAGTGACAGCTAGAGGGATGGAGGGAGGGAGGGAGCAGGACGCCCTCGCTACACTTGTGATGATCAAACTCGCTACGCTAGTTTTTGTTAGTCTGGCACAGGTCCGAATCCTCTTTTAAATCCTGTACCGTTCACCTGAGAAATGATCTTTGTTTTTTACTAATCAGGAATGTTATTGACGGGGTGGGCGCGGGCGGGTGGGCGGGTTAGGCAGGGCGGGGTAGAGGAAGGAAGCAAGTTACAAGGCCGTACACACACACACACACACACACACACACACACACACACACCATCAAAATCTGTTGTGGGTTGAGTGTGTGTACATGTGTGTGTGTGTGTGTGTACAAAAATAACTATCATAAAACACACAAGATTAAACACGAAATACATTGAAAAACTATCAAACATAAAAGTCTATGAAAACATATAAATAAAATTAAACCTTGAACTTTCCTCAATAACTCTTACATCTAATTATAGGCTGCAGATAATTGCCAGGGATTTAAAACAATTATTATCTTATAACAGCGAGTTTGTTGAGGAAGAATGTGACTTACTAACTTAACACGATTTATAAAATATTTTTCGTTGTTAGTTTAAATTAAGTTAAACAGTTAAGTTATGTCCCGAGGAATAGTTATCGTTAGAGAATATGTGAATTAGCAACAAGACTGAGAGAAAATAATACTTATTAGAGACAAAACAAGTAAAATAAACTGCCAACATGAATAAAAAAACTAGGAATTACCTATAGGATAATGACAAGAGTGGATAATACTGGTGGAAAGACAGTGAGGTGGATCAAGGTTGTTCACTCAGATAACGGCTTCACTGACAAGTTCCCCACTACCACATAATTCTTTTTCCCTCTTAATGGGAATAACAGAACATATCTAACTACAGTAAAGTCTCAGGATAGTTTAGTAACTTATTCGATATTTTAGACTATTACTGTATCCTTCGGTAACCAGATCCTTTCAATTTTAGGGTGAAATTTAATGTAGGAATAATATAATGAATCCGGGTCTAAGGTTTTTGTGCTTAACAGCCAGCCAGCCCTCTTGCCTCTCCTCACCTCTCACCTGACCTCTCACCCCTTCTCTCCTACCTCACCTCTCACCCCTTCACTGAGACATACATACATACATACATACATACATACATACATACTTAAAAGAAGCAAAATAAGTTCTACTGTAAATATTGTACATGTCTCAGGGGCCTTAATGTACACCTATTTTTAGTAAGTTTACTGTACATTATACACTGTTTATATACTGTACATGCTGAATTAACTACATAAAAAGACCTGAGTTACAATGATGAAGGTTTTGAAATTATATTAGTACTTGGCTGCAGAAATATATAGGAACCGTGTGAGTGTTTTTGCTGGTGATAACACTGAGGTAGAACTCCATTAACTTTTTATTTAATGTTGAACTATCTGTGTTCTATTTTGAACTTAGGAATAGTAAAAGACTGTGAACATTAAGTGGGGTACAGGAGCCTGGGATGAGAATGGGGAGTTTGCTTGTATGAAACCTGAGAGTGAGTTATCTCTACACTATTTAACGTAACTTATTTAGTAACAAATTATTGAACTTACTTTATTTTAAGATGCTTCTAGGTCTTCCTATTTTTAGTTCAGATAGCTGAGGTCCATTTCCCTCGGTGTTGAACTTAGATTATTATTGCATCTAAGTTTCCTTCTTTAATGACACTTCCTTAACACAACTGTCTTTATTTTATAGTTCTTTCTCTCCAATTAACGGTATAAAAAACTCCTGTTCTCTGTGAGGTATAAGGTTTGTCCTCCCTGACTGAGAGGAGTGGGTGTACTGATGGGCGTCCCTGTAGTCTTGAATATGGCGCCAAAATTATTAAAACAAACGAGACTCCACACTAAGCAGAACAAGCTGATCTTCCTATAATAATAAACTTAATATTATAGAGAGAGTGAGGGGGTGAAACAAATGGAATATAACTCTTAGGGTGCTTTCCTTTATGACCTTCTTGGAGAGCCCACGCCCTTGACATTAAAAACTACATTACTTAACCTGGCAACAACTTGATGACCAGAATGACAATGAGGTATAAAGACCTTCAAATATCTTACTGAGCTAAAAATGGCATTATCTTACATCAACACCACCTGAAGATTAGCCACCCTACTGTTAACCCAACCTAAATTACTTAATATATACTAACCAATCATATAATTTCCTAACTTGTTCTAACCTAACATCTTAAAATTACCTTAATCTAACCTATCCAAACCTAATTTAACTAGACCTAACCAAACAAAGTCATAACTAATCACATTCTAACCAAACCTAACCTACCACATATCCTGACCAAACCTAACCTACCACATCCTGACCAAACCTAACCTACCACACATCCTGACGAAACCTAACCTACCACACATCCTGACCAAACCTAACCTACCACACATCCTGACCAAACCTAACCTACCACACATCCTGACCAAACCTAACCTACCACACATCCTGACGAAACCTAACCTACCACACATCCTGACCAAACCTAACCTACCACACATCCTAACCTACCACATCACAACCTAACCTACCACATCCTGACCAAACCTAACCTACCACATCCTGACCAAACCTAACCTACCCCTGACCTAACCTAACACATCCTGACCAAACCTAACCTACCACATCCTGACCAAACCTAACCTACCACATCCTGACCAAACCTAACCTACCACATCTGACCAAACCTAACCTACACATCCTAACCTACATCCTAACACATCAACCAAAACCTAACCTACCACACACCCCCTAACCACCACACATCCTGACCAAACCTAACCTACCACACATCCTGACCAAACCTAACCTACCACACATCCTGACCAAATCTAACCTACCACACATCCTGACCAAACCTAACCTACCACACATCCTAACCAAACCTAACCTACCACATCATTTAAGCACTAGGGTGTTTAAGAATCAGGTGAAATAAGCTAGAGGGTTAATCTTCTGTAATCCCTTCATTCTCACTCACTGGGTACAACACCACTACAGCAAATGTCTTCCAACACTTTCTTTCCTTTTCCAAATGTAAATATTATTTCTTAGTGCACTATGATAAGAATCGTTAAACACAGCCATACTGCATTTTTTTTATATAGTTTTTACATGATGTTTCTGACCCTTCATTCATTAACTCAAGAACAAAGTCTCGGAACATTTAATTAATCTTTGAACAAAATCTCGGAACATTTAATTAATCTTTGAACAAAATCTCGGAACATTTTCACACACACATAATAAGGTCAATGAAATATATGGTATCGTTCAGTGTACTTGTATATTTATTTGAAGAGTATGCAAAATCAGGACAAGGTTTAGGCGGAGCATCAGAGACAATGAACAGAAAAATAAAACACAATAAAAACGGAAGAAATAACAATATGAATCTTTGCAAGTATTTTTTTTTCTCATTATTTTTCAATTGTTTAAAAATGAAAAGGTTTACACAGTCCACATGCCAGAGCACTTAATCTAACTCAACAGATTGATAAATATTTGATAATATTCTCCAAATCATAAAAATAATATTCCCTAAAAGAAATTCACCAGATACTAATAATTAATAGACATTTCAAACCTCTATAAATGTAACCTTCAAATATTGGATTTAACCCCATGAGGCTGATGGTTTAACCCTTCAAGTAAGTTGGTTTATCTCAAGGATGATTTAACCCCTTCAAGACACTATTGTAATCTCATTCTTTTACAATATTATTTAATTCCTTGAAGTCGATGGTTTAACCCCTCAAGTAAGATGGTTTAACCCCATAAGAACGACAATTATATCCCTTTAGAATTTCAATATAACTTCCAGAGGTCGATAGCGCAACACCTTCGGGACGATAATTTGTAACCATCGTCCTCAAAGGGTGAAGATACAACTGTCACAAAAGCCTCGTTACTATTTAGTTAACTATCAGTATTATGCGCTGGACTTATAAAATACAATACACAGGTAAGCTAAAGCAACTTGATAGTGTCAAGACATTAAGGATTCAAATACCTAGAGTTTACTTAAGATTTTCATATTTATGTTGTTTTAAGATAAAGATTAAAATGTCACACCCAGTATAGGACAGTATCTTGTTATAAATGTACAAGAATTCTCTATGTTTAGTTTTCATTACTGTGGGCCGAGTTAACAGTCGGGTAATAATGTATAAATAGCCCATTAGTCGTGGTAACCCAGCAAAGAATCATATATTTCAAGGGGAAATCATTTAAGAGACAACTAGTGTAAGAGAGATACCAGAGGAAAACTTCACTGATGGACTAGTAAATTAAGACTGGCTACAACACTTGCATCCACCACACAACAAAACATAAGTCTGGTTCATCACCCAAGATCCAAGTACGGTAGTAATAAGAAAACTCGGTCATCACTGCCACGCAATACCACAACACTCGTGTTCTAGGAAGCCTCGTTGTAATATTAGATGAGCAAGTTACAAACGATTACACGAAAGACAATTTCTTTTTTAATTCACTTCATTTAACAACTGAGAAATGGCCTGAATAAATTCTATCAATAAACTGAACTGACCTATAATGTAAGTAGTGTACTGGGACTGTAGTGCATCTACTGTTCTTAGGTCAAATGTCAGATTAATTGTGAATGTGTTTCTATCCACTACATGGATAAGTTTTCTTCTCATCACCTGTGGCTGCAGTCATAAAGCAACAGTGATTTCTAAAAACTCCTCAAAATATGTGATCCATTTACTTACTAAGAGAGTTGGCAACTAACCATTTTTTTGCCAAGATTAATTCTCTCTAAAACAGAAAGCAAAAGTTGCAATTATCTTAATTTTATGCTTTACTAGATTAAGAACTGTAAATTTTTTGGTTTATGCAAATATTTCAAATTTTAAGTGTCTAAGACACTGCAGGTGACTGACCTATAAAAGTCTTTCTTACTTTGCTGTACATATGAGAGGTGCACAGATACCAAGTAACTTGGTAATAGTGACAAAGTAAAAGGCAGAACAATCACTACAAGGACAGTTCAGCTTACAGCAAACTTGAATAAGTAAGAGTACAACACATGTGTGATATTTAGTAGCAATGAAAACAATTACTAATATTCTTTAATTGAAATCCTGCACACAAAAACTTAAGTTTTGTTATTATTTTTACCATGACATACATCTTCATAAATCTTTCTTAATACTAAAAAGTAAACTTTTCCTTAGTGTGAAGACAAAGCGTATCCTCCGTTTCTAAACTTGAAGTTATCACGGCAAACTCAGCAACAGTTCTGTCAGGAACTCATCTGGATTTTCAATCTCATGAAGTAAACCTGGAAAGAAAAATGAAGTCTGTTACAAATACTGACTACCATAATGTGCAGTAGTGTACATAGACAATTATTCTGTACTTGTTCACACATTCACAACAAAGTGGTGGAGCCAAAATAGTGCCTGAACGACACAGTTTACTTACCTACAACATCACAGAACTCCATGAAAGAAGAAATGGGAAGAAGTTCCTCCTGGTATGTGGAAAGCAATTTGGAAGAAGCTTCAACCAGTACTTGATCATTATGCCGGACAAACTCAGCCACTGTTACACTCCACTCCCCCTCTGAGCTGGCCTTCTGCAGAGTACAGTACACAAATAATTTCAAGGTACAGTACACACACAATCCCATGGTACAGCACACAATACACTAAATGTGTGTTTCATTTACATATTATACCAAATGTTTCTTACCTTCACATACTTATTCAAATTTTCTCTGTACTCACTCAGGCACTTCTAGACAAAAACTCTGAAGATGTCTTGATACAAAAGACCACACTAAGTCACAGCTCCCCCTCCCCACTAATGGCTACAAATCCATCCTTTTGATGGATGTGCATAATTCTGATTGACTTTAAAGTACATTATTGTGCCAGCTATATTTCATGAAAACATTACTTCCCATTTATATATATTCTTGTCTATAAATACCGACAGGCAGCCAGACTGATGGTGGTCTTTCCAAAGATTACTGATACAAGTGAAAATCAAGAGACAATATATATAGAAATTGCTAAAAAATTACAAATATAAGAAATGATGAAGCATGTGAACATCACCCATAGGATGACATATTTTCAACATCAAGTTTCACAAGGAAATTCTCTTGAAGAATATAGGACAAACCTTAAAGAACATGTTGTATATGCCGTCCACGAGGGCCCAGAATATAGCAGCATGCTTGTACACTGCCCAGTCCTTCGTTGACTTATCTGTGACCCTGTTCCCCTGTGGTGGATGAGGAGAGACTGACCGAGCGTGTGCAACAACCAACAGCCGCTGGAGGTAAGTGACCCTGATTGTTGCCCACTGGGATGGTGAGTAAACTGCCAGGGCCAGCACACCCATGTAGAACACTCCCTCGGCCTCGTAGGACACCTCCACCCACCGCTCTCGTCCAGCTTCTAGGAACGTCGAGAGTTTTTTCTCCTCGCGACTTGCCGAACGCGTCCTGTAGAGAGGAGTCAATATAGATGTTAATGTGAATGTTATTACATCATTGTTTCACAGTTATGAAATTAGAAAAATACTAGAAGGATGTATTCACTGTTTTGGGATAACATTAAACATTATTAGCTGAAAAAAGTCTTCCATTAACAACTGGTTCACTAATGATAAATATTCTATAATTTTAACTACTTTTTGCACTACAGAGGATTATACTGTACTGGTAAATACTGACACCATTGTAACTACCAAACATTACCCTGAACTATTATTAAGACAATAATGACCCAAAAATCAGCCCATACATGGAACCATCACGCTAACACGGCTCGTCAACATAACCTTGCCACTAGTCATTTGCCGCGTGAGACTTTATCGCCGACATTAAACTTTCCAAGTCACCCGTAAAACAACCAACCCGAGTCCCAACTTACGTGTTGATGACGTACAGAGCCATGTGTAGTATGTACGGAATTAAGTTCATATTAGACTGACGGCCGCCGCCTCCCGTGTCGTCACTGAACGATTTTTCATTGGCAAACCTCAGCAGTAAAAGCTTCAGGTCATGAAGAGTTGAAGAGTAGTTAATGTCCCTGAAAACGGTGAAAGTAAAAGTGAGTTACAGTAGTGATGATGTCTTTATTTTTTCAAGCTTTCATCTATACCTTCATGACCTTTAAACTGCTTGTTGTTGTTGTTGTTGTTATTCGGCCATATTAACGTGCTTCAACGGGTGAGGTTACTGAGCACAGAACACACACAGTCAGTTTTTAATTAGACAACAAGAATTAAAAATGAAGAAACATTTACCCTGTACTCTCTTGACTTGGTTCCCTCAATCTAAAAAGAGATGTAAACATATATAAAGAGAATGGACGAGAGAGTAAAGCAAGATGGAGGTGTATAACAAGGTAAAAAGATTGAAGAATCGCCAAAAAATACAATACAGTATATGATAAATACAGTACTAATGCATTATATATTTAACCTTTGGCTTCATCTTTGACTTAATGAAACAGATTTGCACTTGATGTTTTGACTTCATCTATTGGTGATATTTTTTTAAGAAGTTTAAAATAAGTTGCTATCAATACAAGTTCAGCTCTTGGAAAGTAGAAGTTTATAGAGAAAAAGACACCAAAAGGAATATGGACAGACCCATACCATAATCCAGCATTTGTTCTGCTAAAAATGACCAACTAAAAAAATTAATGCAGGAAGACTTAACATGGGGTTCCATTTTATAAGCTGGTAATGATCACGTGAATGAAAATATGGACATCAAATAACAAGAGGTAAGGAACAAACAGTACTTCTAAAACTGATGCTACTGATCACACACTAGAGGACTACTGCTCAGGTAAGACATTCCCGATAATATGAGACACCTTGTTCAGTTCCTGTCATACATAAAGTGACAGCTGCATTCTTGAAATAACATGGTAAGGATTGATGTCGTACAGCAGAGTACATCATCGCCATTATCATCGTTTTACAGCCACTTGTGAGAGTTTGCCAACATGTGAGAAAAATGATGTTGACAGCAAAGGACTGGATGTAGCTATATCAGTTACTCGATATAAATACTGCAAATGGTGATAGTGAGAGGAACAAGAATCATGTTAAGCTGATATATCCCCATGGCCGTGGCTTATCAGTCTGCCAAACATCTTCACAAACTGTTGAGTTCACAAAAGATTTCTTTGCTGGGACTATGATACAGTTGGTTGGGAAATGACAACACACTGAGCAAACTTTTTAAACTAACATAATACATTTTACAAACCTATGAGTCGTACACTCTTGCAGGTAGGTGTTGTGACGAGCAAGACACGACGCAAATGCAGACTCGGGTACTTGTGGACCCCAGAGAGGGAGAAGACCATTTGCTCTCGTGTTAGCATTATGCAGGGCAGCGCTCTCCCACTCAACTCGAGACCGGGTAGACTGGGAAGATCTGAAAACAAACAGAACCATTCAGAAAACTTGTCTTAGATATTGGCATAAAGTAATTCACCGAACCATATATGAAAAGAAAATAGCAACAATGACTATATTCCAGAGGTAAATGAACTAATATTATTATTTGGTAAAGGATATACACAACTACACACCTTACTGCTGCCAGGTGACAGTCAACGTGTACAACATTGAAGTGTGATACAGTACAGTAACCAAGAGTTTTATGAGGCTTGTTCTCAAATTCATCCACCACACAACGTTTGCTGAAGGTGTACACGGCCAACACTTTTTGAGGCTGACAACGATAACCTTCCAGACATATTGCACAGACCTGAAAAAAAATAGCAGACAATGTAAACAAATTTCCCTTTATAAACAGGTAAATCCGAGGCTCGGGAGAAACTTTCTGCCCGTGATAAACTCTGTCCTAGTTGGTCCCTTCCCTTCTCATAAGATCTATTAACCATACAAGGTAAATATATACATAAAAATACAGGGAGATATATGAGACTGTACGAAACACCATCCATCATCCCCAAGTTTTGTTTGAACAACATTCTTGACCTTAAAGTTCTAATTTTCCTTATTAACACTTATGATTAACAGAGGCCTAATGAGTCTTGTAATCTCTGGTACTGTACTCTATAAGGAGGCAAATATTCAGTTAATAACCAACAGCTTTAACTAAGTGTGGCTTTTATAACTTTTCTTATATGACCCAACAGCTGGAGTTCAAGTAGTGTTTTCATCCAATACAAGAGACCAATGAGTGTGGTGTGGTGTGCTGTGCTGTGCTGTGCTGTGCTCATATAAGGTAGCAATATGATACAGAAGACTGTCTACAAATAACAACACTTACTAGTCCAGACTCTTCTGTTATTTCTCCCATTTGTGACAATAATGTAGACTGTGATGTGATCTGTTCCTTCTCGTTAGCTCGAAGCCCTAGTCGACTTAATTCTTTCTTGCGCGTCTCCATCGCTAAACGTTTCTTTTCTTGCCGTGTCTGCCGCCGCACTTCTTGTACCTACAGAAAGTAATCAACATTCCAACATATAAATAGCCGATTTCTCCTACTACTACTACTACTACTACTACCACGCCTTCACAGTAAGTCCTGTACTAAATTCCCTTTTATAACTAATTCCATACCATACATGTCCCTTATTCTCTCACTGTTTACATAATCTCACACAACCATCCTTCCTATTGAATACTCTACACTAAAACGAACCAATGAGAAGGTTACAACAGAGGGAGTCACACTTCCCTCATTAAACACTCAACCTATTTCATAACTAATCCCAAACACCTCAGAGTAATTATTAATTTTTAACATAGTACTTCCATTAACTTTAGAAGATTATTACCTAATATGGCTATATTTGTCGACTTGACTAATTTGATAATTTAGAAAAGTTCACAAAGTTAACACTGGTACTCCATTACCTGAACAGCTATGCTTGGATCATCTCTCAAGGCCTCAAGGAGATTTTCGGCAACTGACCCAACGTGTTCATCGGAGGAGATCTGTTCAAGACGATGAATTGCCGGAATACAAGTTGACGCTACGGCTTGTTGTGTCCCTCTATGCTTGGTTGCCAGTCCTGTTAATGAGAGAGATGGAAGATACTTTGAGAAAAACGTACCTTACAAACTTCAAACCGTCCAGTAAGTGACTGTATAATACTATCCACAGGTTAGAGCTGCTACTAAAACAAAGATCCTCACAAAAATTACATCACTACTGGCCACTTCTTCTGTCACTCACCAGTAAGGAGCCTGAGGATGTACTTGAGGGATGGTCGCCCCAGGAACTCCTTCCACTCATCATTACACACCACCACCAGCTTCTTGCTCACTGGCATGTAATTCTCTATATATGCGAGGGCATCCTGGAAATAAGAGTTCATATTACAAATTCTCTTACTATTACCATGATTTAGCTTTTTCTTTATATAAAAAAAATCAAATTTCAATTATATATTTACAGTATTATCTTACATATAACCATGAGGGTGCAATAACACAGTAAGATGTAACTACCTTCACAATATTAGCTCTGATTATCATATCCTTCAGTTGATTGCCATTTTCATTACGCTCAATACCGTCACAGAAGACACAGAAGGACTCCATCTTGGCAGCGTCCTCGGGCGAGTGCTCGGTGTCAAACTTCTCAAACTCCAGCACGGGGCGGAAGTGTCCAACTAACAGTTCCATCTTCTCCTTGTGACAGAACACCAAGAACGGCAGCACGCGCATCAACCTCTGACGAACCTGGAACATTATAATAATATATAACAGTTACTTAAGGTCTTATCCACTTGTGTACAGGGTCCCCCTCTCTGAAAAATTGCCTGGCACTGGCCAAATAAAATATTTAAACCGACTTCCCCGTAGTGAAGGAGTTAGGTGACAAGTAGAAAAATTATATAGGTTTTGTAGTGCTAATTCAACAATATCATTTGCCAAAGGAATCACTGTACAGTACATAAACTTTCTGGAGTTTTTACCATCTAAACATTTCAAAGCAACAGCAAAAACTCACCATTCATAAAAAATTTCTAACTTTTGGCCTAAAGATAAAACTCTCATTCTTACTCTCAAATCAATTCAGTCCCTCCAGTGACATAGCAAATACACCCCAGCTGAATTTATTGACCCAAAATAATTACAGAAATTTTCCAATATTTTAACTACAATTTTCTCGAGGCCATACACACATACGACCTCAATTACCCGAACACTTTACCCACACTACAGTAGCTACTCTAAAAGTTTCTCACAAATTATATTTTAACGAGTAAATTTTTTGACACCGTAAAAGTTTACCAAAATGTGTATAAATGATATCTGTCATTAAGAAGAATTAAGCCACTTTTTTATGGACCTGATTTACTGGTTGTGTCCTGATCAAGGTGTTTACTGTGGAATTAACAAGAACTTAACTAAATATTCCATAAAGATCAATAACTCTGACTAATTATGACACTACACCCCATAACAGTAGTTTCAGATCATTAAAAAATAAATTATATATAAATTATCAAACTACATGAGAAACTCTACCTAATAACAAACAGCGGTGAATTTATAACTATAGACGGGTCTTTCTTTGACTGTTATTAATATGTATATCATAATGTTTACACAATTCTAAGACATTTTTTCTTCTATGATATTTCCACCGGAAGTTAAGGATAACCGAGATATTAATTTTTCAAGATTATTACTTTCGCTCAGTCACTGCCATGATTTGTTTACTTATGGTGGAGGTGGTCTGACCCCCTGCTCCCGCATTGCTCCAGGCCTCCGTCTTTGCTCTTTAAGGGTCTAGAGCACGTGCGGGGGAGGGGGTTAAATTGGTGATAGCAAAATGAGTAAAAAAATCGGGCAAGATTTGGTTTTGTTTCAGCCAATGAACAATGAGTGGGTGGGTCTGGAGGGAAGATTTTAATTTTTAGTAGCAGACATGGCTGAACCAGTAGAAGAGCTGTGCAGAAATTGTGAGAAAGATTATTTTACGACAATTGCCGAGTTTCACCAGAAAAATAGTGAGGCAATTTCTTTTTTCATAAAACGCGGTGCATATTACCGAATGTAGTTCATTATCCAAAGTGTAATAACCAGTGGAAATGAATATCAAATTCATTCAAAACTCATCAAAATACATAGGAAAAACCTATTTTTAATATCAAAATAAAGACCGGTGTAATACTATAAATTGACCCAAAGAACTTTTAAAAACAATGGTAAGAGACTGGGTCTTTCTTAAACCTAACTATTAATTACTTGAAGGCGAAACAAAGATAACTTGTTCCTACCTGAGCATTGGTGCGAGAGGACGTAGCAACGTAGTTCAGGAGCAGGTGAATGTCTTCCAGTGTGCCGCAGGTCTCAACAAACTCGGTGTATGAGGCCGCAGGCATGGATGAAGCTTCCACTAACACGGCCTCCAGCACCTGTTTCAGGGACATTCAGTATTTTGTCCTCATACATTTATTCCATCAATCAATATCTCTGTTGTTTCGTCTCTGTCTGGATGTTGGTTTACATTCTCTCAAAGACACAAGTATCAATCCACATACTGTACAAATCTCAATACTTGAAGTCATCTATAAGAAAAACTACTTAAATCACTATATCAAAGTGCTAGATTAGGTCAAACATAGAATGGACTATTAAATATGTGACAACTTTAATAACAAACAGTACTGCAGGACAAGGTTGAAGAGACGCCTGTAAACAGTATCTAATGAGTGTTACACAAGTTCACATATGACTCCGAGATCATTACCCTGACAACAAATGAGGCGCCCCGCATCAGAAGGGTGAAGCACCAAATTAAAAAAGCCGAGAAAAAAGCGTTTAAAGTTTTTCGAAGTTCAAACAAACATAACTTTTTTTGTTTTTTAAGCTAGAGGGTTAATTTTTTATCATGTAGCTCAATCACCAAAAACAGCACTTGTCTTACACCCCACCTCTTAAAAAATTAAATAATAATAATAAACTCATTTGCCTATCGGTATTTCTCTTTCCGTCCCTATTATTAGCTAAAGATTTATAATATTTTTAAGTATAAGAGTGTGTAATAATAAGGAAACACCACTACACTCATCCCCCCCACCACCATTAACCTCTCCCTCCCTTCCCCTAAAGTAATTAAAATATGAATACAAAGGCAGAGAGAGTTTGCATAATCTTTGGTAAAAACTGTATTACAATCTTACTTTGTTTAGTTCCTTCACTTTATTATCCCTGAAGACCGTAGTAACTTGAAGTGTAACTATAATGGCCTTGTCATAATCAATCACGTACTGATCAAAGTCTCTCTCTGCACTCTCTAAAAATAGCCACATATTCTTCATCAACTAAATCATTGATTATATTGATGCCGGCAACAGTTCAGTTTCATTATTAGACTGAGTTATGGACTCACTTTCACTAGCATTCGTTGGGTCAGGCTCACTATCAAGGTCAACGCATGTCTCGTCACTGTCCACTTCTACCTCCTCACAGTCTGATGTTCTTGTTGTGATACATTAATGTCACTGTGTTATCATTACTCACTTCCTTCACTTTCATCGTCATTATTGCCATCAGTACATGTCACGTAATTCTGTACCGGAACAGTCTGCAAAAAGGTCTTGTGATGCATAGCAGTCACTTTTTGTATTATGAGTAGACCAAAATCATCATCACTAAACATTTCTGGGGTGTCCACGTGAGCACTGTCGTCACTACACACACACTCAGGAATAATAGGCTCCTGAACCCACACCAGAGGGTCTGGCCTCACTCGAGTCTTGCTCTAATATCGGGCAGATATTGCACAGCACTTCTCACACCCGTGAAACACGAATAACATCAATGTTACGCCGAAAAGTTATCAAAAGTAGCAGTAGAAAGCACACTGAACCTCCTGATGCTATACAACACGCCAAAACTAACAAGGTGGCAGTATCTGGGAGCGCTAATTGGCCGAGGAGCTGTGACATAACAAGGGGAAATCCATTGTGATTGGCTGCCTCAGGGGGTATGGTCCGAGGAAGGCACGCGTCATTGGCTCGCGCTCCTGTCCCTCTGAACGGGATGTTGCCAACTTCTTTGACTGAGCGCACAGCCAGATACGTAGCTCCCGGCCCGAGGCGAAATCACACCTTATTTTTAAAGGACTTTCTACCATATTTCTATTCTAGCTAGAGGGTTACAACCAGCGCCAACATGCAGAGGAAGGGTGAAAATAGTGATATGCATCAAAAACACACTTTGGCCAGGGTGTTGCTTCACCTACTTCTAATGCGGAGCGCCTCAAATAAACCTAGAAAAACACGTCTTATACACGAACAACTGTCAAAATCACACAATATCATTGGGGTCACACATGCTTCCTTCCTCAGATCATACCTGTAGCAGCTGCTCAGTGAGGGACGCCCCGCCAGGAGGACCGGCAACAACCTCTGGTTCAGCTGCTAGGCACTGCTTGAGGGTGTGTAGAAGGGTGGCAATGGCGTTTAATGACGGCACCATAAGAAGCTCCCTGTTCACCCGTACCTGATGTGAACGTGAAGAAGTTAAAGAGGGAAAACTCATTCTCTTCCATGATAAACATTAAATACAAATACTGTTTTAGCAAATAATGTGAGTCTTGATGTAAGGTCGAGACTCTGTTGGTCAAGTACAAAAGATATTCATTGCATATTACTGAGGATTTAGATAAGAGATCATCACTGCCTAAAATAATACTTAATAATGCAAGTCCACCATCTTAATCTGAACAATAATAATTCACTTCAAATACTTAATGATGATCAACTTTTTACTAACTTACTAATTCCCCAATACACTTTACAATAACATCGTCACAAGTAGCGAAGGATACAACTATGGGTTATCTCAGTGGGTTGAGTATTAAAACATCATACAGTAGTTAAGGTAGAGGAGAACCCGTTTAAGCAACCTTACAGTACGTCAAGACGAGGTGAAGAAAAAAAACACGATTGGAACTTTATTATGGTGGAAGGAAGGCGATAAACTGACACACTAATGTTCTCACCTTAACACAATACTGGAAGAGCTTCAGCAAGACAGTGACCAGAGCCCGTGCATAGGACAGGTCACTGATTCTCTGTAGACACTCCAGCATCACCTGTACCAAGATTAATTAGTACCATTACCTCAAGTGTTTCAGTGGGTCATCCATTATTCTCTACTATTAGTTGATTTCTTTAACCCAAATTAAAGGTAAATGTTGAGTATTATTATTATATTTCAGGAGAACTTTGGGATTTGACTTTTTTCTTTTTTTTCCCCCTTCATAAATTACAAACTGGACCTTTAGCCTTTATACCCTACACACCTGCCTCTACTTTCTCTATTACTATCATTTATTACCAACAGTCTATCCCAACATTCAGTAAACACTAATATAATTTATACATTATAGATCATCATAACCATCATTATTAACAACATCATCATCATCACCACCATCAACAGCATCACTATTAGAACCATTCTCCTCACCAGAAAGCAAAACTATTTCCAGGCCCTTCCACCTACCTCTAGTCCGCCACACTGACACATGACGCCAGCCATGCGGTAAACTTGCTCATTGTCCACGTCCTCCTCTTTCTTCTTGTCGAGGGTCTCCACAAACTCCTCCGTGGCGTCTCCCAGCAGGCCTCTCATGCGGTACACGACACGCATTGCTTCGCTCTCGCTGTTTTCGGCCAGCCAAACTTTTTTATAAACCTGTTTGAATATATGAAGTAAGTAAATAAATGTAACTTAAATATATGAAGTAAGTAAATAAATGTAACTTAAGGTATAGAGTAAATTCATCTGACCTTCAATCCAAAACAATTATATAAAAAACAGGATATTCAAGTGTCTATCAATCAGCAGCTCATTTAGATAATACAACCTAACCACATAAAATCTAGGCAACAATAAACTTAACCATAAGTTCCCAGCTATAACTACAGTTCCAGAGAGCTTGTTCAGTGACTCAACTATCATACTAAAGTCTTCTCAAAGTCTTCAAGAGGAAAAAATAAACTTAACTGTTATAATCATAATTTCAAACTCAAGTAAGTGTTGTGTCATACCTCCTTGACCGGCAGATCTAGGGAGATGATCTTATTACACACGAGGAGCTCCATGCCACTGTCGTCCTCCAGGAGTGCCACCAACTCACAGTCTTGACAGATCTTGTTCTTAACGTCCCTCATCAACGGCCCCAACCCAGAGTCCATGCTGCTGTAGGGGTTACCCACCATACGGCCCTGCAACAGTCGGGTCAATTCAACGACTCTTACCTCTTTCACCGATGGCTTCAATTACTGTACCTCCCCATCAATAAAACATCTTTCCTATACTCAACGGAAGCCGACTCATAACTCCCTGACCACTTTAATTACCCTTCGTTTCAACCATGTCATGTATCAAGGGACCAAAACTCACTGAATAAATCAAGATATATCAGAGAAGAGTTAGGTGATGTTTAAATAGTAATGAGGTATTTGAATCTATTATGGAGGCAACAGACAACTTTTCTAATAGAATAATTCTGTAATCAATCCAGCAGCTAGTAATTTATGGTCAGACTCTCAGACATAAATGGCTTCCCACCAAGGTTTCATCAAAGTACTGTCTCCCCCAACTAAATAAAATCTAATGAAAATAATATAGGGAAGCAATTACATACAGTATTAGTTATGCTACTTTAAATGCTCCTGTGTGTACTTTCATAATGGAATTTGGAGGATGATCATTCTTCTAAAATATCATGTGCTAAGACAAATTCATGAATAGGTAGAACATATTCGGAAAAATATGGGTAATAATAAACATGGTTGACTACAAGACTTAAGTCAATTAAGAGTAAGAATTGGCAAGTGTGTGACCAGCAAGTATAGATACAACTACAACAGACTGGTGAGGTGAATGTGTAGCTACTGTACCTGTAAGAAGTCCTCCTGCTGGGGATCTTTCTCCAAGGTCAAGAAGAACTCCCCTACGTCGTTCTCCTCGGGATATATGATGGAGCACAGCCGTTCATAGATGAAGACAGGTGTGCGGACATCATCTTGTGGGTACTGCTTCAGGGTCTCCACGCACACTGCCATGAACTCCTTAGTCTCAGCCTCCGTGCCTATAACAGTAACATAACAGTAGCATGAGTAACAGTAACATAAAAATCAGTAGCATGAGTAACAGTAACATAAATAACGGTAACATAGGTAACATTAGCAATAGAATCTTGAAGTTTCAGCATAATGGTGGTTTTATTCTACTACTGTGAACATTATAGTCACAAGAGCTCTCTCCCCTGACCATCACTCAGTGTTTACACATGTGTTGAGAGAATCACTGTGAAGGTTTGGCTCTCACACAACTGAATCAATATGTACATGATAATTAAAACTTTGTATACGAACTATGCTGGACAAATGTTAAAGCCAGTGTTGTCTCTGAGGCATTAGAGGATGTGGTGATGGTCAACAGATAAAATATTTGGAGGCTTAATACTCAGTACATGGCTCAAAACAGCACAGATAAAACACTGTTGATCATCTCTTCTCCAGGTCCAGTAAAATGTGACATCTCATTGGTGGTCAGAGAGGCCCTGGGACCTACAAGAACATCAAGCACTACCGTACTGTACACACCTGACGTCATATCTTCTAACAACTCTAGGAACTTGTCCTGGGTGTCATCAATCAGTTTGGTGCGCTGAACCACCAGTTTTCTTAAGGAGAGATAACCACTTAGCACGGTACCCACCAGCCGGCCTTTGAACACAGTCTTGATGGCGTCCACATCAATGAACTGAGACAGTAACTCTGTCAACACTTTCAGTGCATAACCTGTAAAGGAAAAAAGTTTTCATCAGTACTTTTCGTTCAACAAATTATGGCATAATTCATCACTATATAAAGCTTTGTACTATCATCATCATCATAAGAACTTTTCCTCCTCTGGGCACACACACCCACCTCACGCAGTCCGCCACTACAACAAAATTCAGCCCATAAGAGCCCGCACTGATAGATATAAGAACAGCACCATCCCATCTATTGTTAAAATAATAAACAACTGATTTATGTACTGTACAGCCCTGTAAATGTATTGAACATATATTATTATGTCCAGATCACATGTAAGTTTGTATATTTTAAGCCACCAGCTGCAACCCTATTAATAAACCGTTTATTATTATTAGACACATAAAGAAGCACTACTGACCCTGACTGAGATCAGTTGTGAGTGTAGTTTCCTCCAAGGTGGTGAGCAACTGTATTTCTGAGGTGATGAGACAAGCAATAGTAGGCAGGACTCCCTTTAAGGCCAAGTAATGCTTCCAGTGGGCGCCCAGCAGTAGAGTCTGATACAGTGTCACAAATTCACCGGCACTTTCTCCCGCTCTCCCGATCTCTGGCAGGAAAGTTGTCAGCATATCCAACACCTGTAAGAGATGATTATATTACTATTAACTTCAAGGTTAATGACATGTAATAAAACTCACAAAACAAGTTAACATTTTAAAAAGGATTCTCTAAACATTTCCAACTCTGCAGTTATATTTACTGGAGAGTTCACGTCACCTATTCCTAAAAATGTCCATAAAATTTCTGAATATTTTCCCTAATATTTTCATAGTCCAATGAAGTGAATTTAGTAATGTTACAGTAATAATCAAATTCACCAATACTTACACACACACACAGAGGATAATTAGCTAAAAGAAACTGTAAAGAATGCTTCATCACCTAAGTTTAAATACTTTTGTCTTTCTTCTAAAATATACCTGGTATTTGGACTAAACTTTCCCAAAGAAAAATGTCATAATTTCAACATCAAACAGGGAATATAAGTGTGATGAAATGTGCTGATAATTAAACTCTGCCGAGACGTCCGTAGTGGATACCAGATTCACTCTCAGTTCACACAGTCCTCCTATTACACCAAGTGGATGGACAGATAATCACAAGCCTAAGACAGAAACAGTTTAAAGATCCACAGGTGTCATAAGTCCAGTGAATAAAGATGAGAAATGTTGATTATGAAACTGATCAAGATGTTTATGACACAAGAGCTGCATCAATTTTCAAATCAATCATTAATGTTTTTTCTCTGGTTACCGAGTGGAAATGTTTTATATGGGCAGAGGTAATGCTTAATGCTTAATGCTGCCCAACCTACAAGAGCATAAAAAGCAACATATGTTAAAAGCTGTACAACAATCTGCCTGGTCCCACACACCCACCACGATCCTTAACAAACTTTACCAACAACAGATAAAGAAGGAATTAACCAGCAATAATAATCTCTGCAATCCATCGATGTTACTCCAGCTATACACAAATTGCCAGCCGTGGTCTGAAACAACCAAGTCTGTGGAAGTTTTCAAGAGTATGTGAACCAAGGCTGAACCTATTCCTACTTACTGACAACACATTTATCTTTGACAAATCTTGCCAGGGTTCTAGAATGCAGAGAAATACCTACTATGTCCCCCTAAGTAATGCAATGTAATGTTATGTAACGTAATAACACACACACACACACACACACACACACACACACACTTAATTGAACAAGGTCAACAGCATATACCTCCTTCTTGCGCTGAACTGAAGTACACAGGGACTCCATCATCTGGGCGGTGACCTGTCTGGCCATACGTGACGACGGGTTGAAGAGGACGCGGCGCAACCACGACGAGTCCTGCATCTTCAGGTCATACTGGTGACGTATGGTGCGAGCCAGCCACCGACACCCAAACTTCTCCAGTAGGTAGCGCTCATGAACTTCATCCTGGTGGTGGTCACACGGTGTAAGTAGTATTATTACTGAAGGAAGGATTGATTGACTGGGTATAATACACGGCATCACAGCCTGTGGTCAGTCATTGAAGTTACTAATAAGCTTTTCCGTAATATGTAGTGGAATTATGTCAATGTGCTGTATCACCAAACAGTGTCAGGGTAAGTGCACAAGAGTATATTATTTATAAAAAGAATTAAAGAAACTTGTTGGCTATCATTTCTAATAAAGAAGTGTGCTGTAATACAAAATATGGCAACATAAATATACTGTACTTAAACACAATAATACAGTAAAGGTAAACTGAATGAAGAAGTTATACGATTTGTAAATTCAGTAGATTTTGCACAAGTAGCTGCTCTTATTAAGTGTAGGACTCCTTAAATCTCTGAACATCAGGTACTGTACAGTGACATTCTCAAGGCCTCAGAATGTGGGCTGATCTTACTAACATGCAAGAAAACATCATCATTAAAACATTAGGAACCAACCCACTCCTGTGACTTACTGTACTGTACACGGTAACTCACCTTCTTCATTTTTGAGACAGCTGTTTCCTGGACCTTTCTTGCTGATCTTTTCTTCCAAGTCTCATATGAGTGGCCAGGATCACCTGCCAGCCATTTGCTTACATCCACACCAACCTTCAGGAAAAAAGAAAGGACAAATACTTAACTATACAGACAAGAGGTGGCACAAACACCAAATTTGTCCTTATATTTCTACAATATTTGACTCTCTATTTAGATGATAAGTGAAGAAAACAAGCAACACTAATATCGAACTTCACCAAAACCAACTTTATCAACTCTGAAGAAGAATGTTGTTGATAATACCGTACCTTAGAGCCTCCAAGGTAAGCCGACATCAAGTCCGTCGCCGTTGTACTGGAGGCCGCCGTAGCCGCTACAGAGCTGGTGGGAGTCTTGTCTCGACTCTTACGTGGAGGAGGAGGTGTGGGGGGCCTCATGACCCCTTGTAGGATGCGAAGACAAGGAAGAGTAATGTGTTCCATTACCGTGGGGGACGCGTTGGACCCTCCTGCCATCAAGAACAGCTGGACGACACACCTGACCACATCAAACAAACGAAAAATTATGAAGAAAAAACTAATGAGCCGGAATGTTTAAGGTGCCGTGTATACTAACTGATGACGCATCACTCGGTAATGTGTAACAAAGTAAAGACACAATAAGAAAATTCCAAGACTTATGTTCTGAGAATTTTACAAAAGTGTGAACCAAGTGAGAGACAAAATACCTAAGTCTATATTCCCAGCAGGAGTCTTCTTTCTGGGCCGAGGAAGCAAGAAGCCCCATCTCGTGTCTGACGGCAGCCGCGAGGTCGGGCGATGTCACATGCGAGCGCAGTGCCACGCTTATCTTGTCCATGATGAGGCGATTCAGTTCCTGAGTCGCTGACAGATCATCCTTGGTCAGCAGACAGAGCAGCTGACGAACTTCACTGCGTACCTGAAGATCAAACACACGATAATTAGTAGTGTTGGTGTCCATAAAAATATATATATAGGCTTATTTTGGTCACTTAAATATTAATTTATGTCCCTTAAACATATTATCCCCTTAATTTCAATACACATCAACCATACACATCATCAATACATTTCAACCATACACATTAAACTTGTGACTCACAGTACACTCAATACTCTCACTTCTGTAGACTATCATAGGATCATTAAAAAAAAGCTAACAAGGATACATTTTATCACCTAACTGACCTCACATTTTAACTCTACAGCAGACTAACACTGGACCTCTACTAAGTTTTATCAATACATACACACATTAAGGTGACCCTATAGCTCCTCTTCAACAGACATCCTACATTTCCTCAACCTTTCGACTGCCTCTACCTTTCTCTCCTTCGTCGACTAGTGTGTTGTTTCTCTTCATAACTTTAGAGGCATTTCACCAGTTGTGTATCTACTTGTATGATGCATAACAGCCACGGCATCCTTCCAGGCTTTAGATGTTTTAATTAAATCATTATATTTCCCTTCAAGTTTCAGAGACTCGCTTGATAAATGTTTAAATATTTTACGAGAAATTCTAACCTTACAGTAGTTATTACCTGAACGGTGCCCCTCCGAAGATTGTATTCCAGAAGATCATTGATGAGTCCGTGCTGACAGAGTGATGCCCTCAGAGCGGCGTTGGTGGCCAGGGCACGGAGGAGGGTAATGCAGTGTTCGGTCGCCGACGCCGCACACCCGTAACAGCGACCGGCGGCCACCGCTCCCTCCTCGGGGTTGGCGTGAACAATTCCACTCCGTCCTAAAGGTGACACCACGGGCTTCTTTCCTCCTTCCTTCTGAGAGCGATCAAAGTTGACTAACTCTCGGCGGGATGCTTGCACTCGCTGGGGGAGAGGAATTCAAAATGTTTACAGTACTATTTTAAAGATATCTTTTGTAAAACAGTTAATATTCTGTACTGTATATAAAAATGTTGCAAATAAGAAAAAAGTGTTACCTTGTTATTATTATTTACTTACCTGGATAACTTTAGAGAGATCATCAAAGGAGTTCTTACAGTCACCACAGTACTTTTGAGCCAGCTGTTGGATGGCCCGGTTCACCTGAGTGCCCCCTGAGCTTCCTTCATCCCCACTCCTGGCAGCACCCTGTTCACTGATGCGCACCAGTAAAAGCTGCACAGGGTCGGGAAAAATCATTGTTTTGTAGTTATCTATAATGACTAAAAATAAATAAATAAATCATCTACATATACAGATAATTAATCCATAGGCTCTAAATAATTCATCAAACTCAGACTTACTTTCTGTACCTCTCTCTCTCTCACACACACTCATTCAGTACCCTCCTAGATCACTCACTCTATATCATACATTCCCTCAAACATGATAACATTATGCTCATATATAAATGCTGCATTTTAGGGGCAAAATCGGTTATTTTGCAAAATTACCAGCATGCATACTGGTAATTTGGCAAAATACCTTCCAAACAGGCTAACCAAAGTTAAAAAATAAGAACATGACCACTTAACTGTGTATCAATCTACACCAGCCAACCTAACCTAACCTAACCTCTCACTTAAGGTTAGGTTAGTTTAGGTTGTCTAAGTTATTTTGCAAAAACAACAACATAAACACTGCCACATTTATGTCATCTTTCTTTTCACCACATACTAACACAGATCAAGGCACAAGCCATATATTTCATCTGTCACCTGTATTTTCATGTTACTTTATAAACCCAAATGCTCAAATATTTTTCATATTTTACTCTCGTTCATAAATGACAATTACAGTAGTATTCACACTCGATTTTCTTTTCTTCAACCTCCCATTTTTAACACTGTATAATTGTCCTCATCTGGATGGAGTAATATTCAGACAAAATTACATAATGTATAATACTAAATGATGTATTCCTCTCTTAAGAGCCAAGAAAATATTTAAAAGACAACAACCTGTACCTCTAAGGTTGGTTTATAAGCCTGAAGTTGCTTGTAGGATCTATCTGCCTTCTCAAGCAAGGTGTTAATATTGAGAACTGCTTTCTTGCGGTCATCCTCGTTCTCAATGGGATCGACGGCACAGCAAGGTCGGCACTGTAGGGTGTAGTCAAACTTGGCATACTTGCAGTAGCCACAAGCGTTGCACAGGAAAGGATCTTTTTCGTCATAGTTTATGGCCCTGATACAAAGAATTAGTACCATTAGTCACAACATTAACTAACAATCTTATCTTACATTATGTGGGAGATCTTAGCCAGGAATAAACTCTAGGGCCTGAACTATGTCAGGTAATATGAGGCACTTCAGCTAACAAGATAACAGACAAAGTGGCTTCAGTTGTGTTAATTATACTTATTCCAGGATGATTAAACATTAACTGCATTTACTGGAGTTTTATACTATTATTGCTATTCTACTTCTGGCCCAGAGCACCTCATACCATATACTAGGGGGGGGGGGACTACTTGTACTTGATCCTAGTGTGGAGGCTAAGGTCCTGAATTTTGAGTGTCATATCAAACTCTACTATAATACACCATTTAATTGCTACAGACAGTTAATAATTTATACACAAAAAAGGCAATATTTCCTTTAAACTATGACATTATCCTCTATAGATGCCAGTGATTTTATTATAAAGAGATGAGAGAGAGACTCACCTGCACTTGTGGCACTGGTACACATTCTCCCCACAGTTGGCACACACACCAGGGGAGGCGGGAACAGCTGCTGAACACCGGGGACACTGAAGGGTCTCTGTCGATGCCTGCAGAAAATTTTATTCATTGTATAGAGACAAGTGAAGGATAATACTTACAATACACCATCAATCTTTACAGTACCTACCTACCTACCTACCTACCTACCTACCTACCCTTCCCTCCCTCCCTCCCTCCCTCCATACTAATGTACCTGACTTCTTCATATTGAGGTCAAAACATTACATCAAGAGGTCCAAGATTAAAGCTGCCAACATCTTCCTTTGACGCAACAATGGAACATCACATTGGGGTTAAGTACTACTGTACATGTATATTATGTAATAGGAAAATAAGTGCAGCAGTTACACTTCCTAGTAGATCGTGTACACCCCCGTTAAACCTCTCACCATTATCTAACATAACTCTTATTACACTCTACAATCTCTAAATGATTTTTGCCAAGTTTCATAAACTTTTGTAGAAAACTGTAGAATCTCTCGGGAAGTGAACAATTGTAGCATTTTTCAACACACACTAAGCAGCTAGTGTTGGATGGATGGCCAGACAGGACAAACTCCCTTCACCTATGGCCAGAGGATCATATATTAAGGCTGACTTAAGATGGATAGGGAGAGGGACATGAAATATGTTAACAAAAGAACATTAAAAAACCTTTACATTGGAATCTGGATTGTCTGATCAAGCATAATATAGCAGTAGTGAATAAAGAAATACGGTAACTCGTTACCTAACTTTGTAATCAATACATTTTACACAACCAAGGTAAAAGACTGACCTGGAGATTCTCATAGAAGTCAGTGTACTCAAACATAAGGTTGCAGGCAATGATGGGGAGAGGGAAGTCAATCTTAACCTCAATTTGTCCAGCAGATAAGGTCACCTTCTTGGCACGATGCCACATGGCTGAAATATTCAAACACGTATATTATTATTAAGTTGTTACAAGGATTCATACATTAATCTGAGGCACCAAATGATACATACATTAAGTGTGGTGCTCACTGATCTTCTCTAAACACTGGTTATTCCCACATACTCTTGTTAATAAGATCCCGTCAGCCTATTACCAAGATGGAATGATGTGCCATGGTATATATAAAGTTTGTGAGTGTGACAAAACTGTGACCACACCACTGAGATGATCATGACAGTACAGTCCTACAATAAACTAAATATTCTACATCAAGGTGCAGAGGAACTCACCCGGCTTGTTCTTCAGCTCCACAACAGCTTGTACCGAGCGATTGTTGTAGAAGACATTAAGGGTGCGGACCATTTTAGTGCGTTTAAGATCGGCTATTCTCAGGGTCAATCGGCTGATCATGTGACTTCCGACTAGTTTGACCAGCTGAGTTGTTGTGGTGAAGCGAGAATCAACCTGTCATTTACAAAGTTCATTAGGAATATGTTGATCTCAAGTCACGATGGTAAAGCACAAGTTTTCTCACAGAGGGGAACACCAACTGCTCTACTGGACACAGGAAGGCGAGTGTGTATCCAGGTACAATGAATACCGGCCAAAAGATAATACATTAGGGAGGTCATTACACAAATTTAACAAGCAAATAGCTCCCAGACCCCAGATAAAACCCGGTACAGTACAGACCTTTACAGTAGAGAGCTTGACGCTAGTGAAGGGGACCTCAGGGTTGTTGCACACAAGGCAAGGTTCAGACTCCAGGTAGTAACCGTCAAACTCCACCAGAGAGGCCAGGGAGTTATACAGGTTGGCATTAGGGTGGTTGGCCAGGAGCTGTGACTGTGTACGCAGGACTGTTACAGCGCGGTTAATGTACTCCATCACCTTCAGGGACGACATGTAATAAAACGTTTCATTATTGAAGCCTTTAAAAATTTCTTCATAAATAAAGTTATAATATAAAAAAAAATGACCTATGTGTTTGTTGAAGGTTTGTTCCTTAACTCTATAGAAGATGTAAAGAATAATATCTCTTAACTTTCCTTTAATTACAAATACCAACAGGACTTGAATAAAAAACAAATTAACATTCACCCAACTGTAGCTTTTGTTTAGATGAAGCAGACCAATGTTTTACTAAGGGTCAGGGCAGATAAACAGGGTTACTTCACTCCGTCACTACATTATCTCAACTAGTGATGTGTTATATATGACATGCAATACTGTACTCTGTTTCTTCACCCTGCTTGACTCAGACCAGTACTTGAAGAGACAACTTGACAAGCACTAGGCAGACCAATATAATGTTCTCCATTTTATGATAATATGAGGAATTTTGGGGGGGGGGAACTCAGGTACTGTAGTGTCGACATGCCATACAAACTCCTCCAAACAAAATCCTTCAATTATTTCCAAAGGGTAACTTGTATTATTAACTATTGAAGAAGTAATTACAGGTACAAACATTTTATGAAGTTAAGAAGCCACAATAAAATACACTGTTTTTGGATGATGATAAGAACAATAGATTAAGATAACAAGACCCACAACAACAAAACTCTCACCTTCTTCTCACAGTGTTGGGTCTTAAGAGAGAAGTAACCCAACAGGTCTACAAACTGTGCTGCCTTGCGACCATAGGCAGGAAGGTGAGGCCACAGTGACCACATGAGGGTGAGCAGGGTGTCTTGGTCCCTGGGAGGAGAGTGTCGGTACAGCGCCAGGACCAGGGAGTGAGCTTGCCACCGCACACCCGTTGAGTTAGACTCCAGGAGGAATGTCCGCACGAACTGACTGATGCGGTTTCGGTCCAAATATCTGAAAAAAGAAAAAAATAAGTTTAATAATATGTGTGAGGCCCGTAGATGAAACATGTACATATAACCTTACTAATGAAGTCCTATTAAATCAAGTTGGAATTTAACCTTTAACCAGTGGCTAAGGTCTCCCTACTCCGGCCGCCTATGTACAAAGAACATTAAATATCCACTGATGATAGCTGCCTTCCCTACACCTAACTCACACTCATTGATGGCTGCCTTCCCTACACCTAACTCACACTCATTGATGGCTGCCTTCCCTACACCTAACTCACACTCATTGATGGCTGCCTTCCCTACACCTAACTCACACTCATTGATGGCTGCCTTCCCTACACCTAACTCACACTCATTGATGGCTGCCTTCCCTACACCTAACTCACACTCATTGATGGCTGCCTTCCCTACACCTAACTCACACTCATTGATGGCTGCCTTCCCTACACCTAACTCACACTCATTGATGGCTGCCATATTACACGACTAATATCCCCAAATTGAATAATGTACTATATTTGAATTTCACTTATATTTAGATAAGAAATATAAATCCTTCTTCTATATGAACAAAGTCTGGGTAAAGGCAGTTGATACTGTGTCTAAAGTTGTCCCACCAAACTGACCTACACAGTTTATAATGTCATCTTATCCTCAATCAACAATGAAGAACTCCCACTTAATACTGTATATAAAAATCTTATCACTAACTTTACCTACTCATCCCATCACCTTAATATTGTTATACAGACACTGCAGTTACTCTGTCTAAAGGTGTGTTATGAATGGAACAACACAACAGTGAGTTAAGATGAAATGACTTTGATTCACTTACAGCCAGATACTCTTCTTTCAAAAGGTGTTACACGGTATTAATGAACTACAAAATAGCTCGCCTAACCTAACCTAACCTTACCTTACCTAACCTAACCTAACCTAACCCGATTCACTTAAGACATGCAGGACCATCCCTCCCTCACCTGTTAATCTGAGCCACAAGAGCCGCACAGTGAGCTTCTTCGCCTCTCGTCTCTCCCTCGCTGTCTTCACTCGAGGCTCTCTTTGTGCTGCTGCCTGACCCCTGAAACACACACCATTATACAGTAATTATAATAAATGAAATTCAATGCTCTGGTTAAAATAATTGGATGCTGAAAGTGGATACCTTTGACCCCTTTACTATGGGGACGCCACCTTTAATGTGAGTAATGTTAAGTGATTTTATTCAGCTTAGAGAGGAGCTGACGCCAATAATCCTTCATGCATCCTCTACTCTGTCTCTTCCCTTTAATTAATGCTCTCAAGGTCTAATTAATCCTCTCAAGGTCTAAATAATGCTCTCAAGGTCTAATAAATGCTCTCAAAACCTAATGAATTCTCTCATCATCATCATCCTATAACTATATTGTTAATTTATATATTTTCCACCTTGTTAGACACTAAACACTGCTCCCATATTTATATAACTTTTATCAAATATCAAGTCAAGTCCATCTGCCTCTCTGTCTGCCTCTCAAGTAAACATGTTTGACTGCCGGACAATACTGTAAAATTATTCAAGTTCTACTTACCTTGGAACTCTCTGAATTCTTGGATGTTGGACATAACGCTGCCTGTAGGAGTTGGAGGACTGTGGGAGCGACTCCTTCCTCCAGCAGGCAGGACACCTCCATCAGGAAGCCCAGGACACTCTCATCCTTCATACAGTATCTGACATAAGATATCAGGTTAGGTTAGGTTAGTCACTGAACAATACAAAAAATATCCCTCAATGTCATGGAAAAAAACATACTGTGCTCTTTGTTTAAACTCTAAAACCTGGCAATACCAAGAAAATGGTTAAGAAATTTATTATGGTATATACAGTAGCAGTAATGTGTTAAACATCAATTAGATCACATGATACTCACTTCTGCCAGTTGGGTGTGCGGGAGGAGGCAATGTCCACACACGACTTGAGGTGTTCGATCAGCTGGATGAGGGAGTCGTATGGAAGGCTTATGGGAGTCATAGAGGCTCCACCTGAGAAACTAAAGCCTCCTTGTGCACACAACACCTTCACATCCTGCAACACAAACATCACCACTTAACTTACTGTATGTCACACATTATTATCAATAAAGAAGTACAGTACAGTACTGTATTCCAATATGGCATTTCTCAAGTCCCTAAATAAACAAAAATTCACAAAGTATAAAGTTTACTGCCAACAATCAGATACATAAAGACAATGTACCAAGTGTTCTGGAAACCAATTCAAGGAAATCCATTCTGAGAAGATCGATGGTGTAAATCTTTCCCATCATCTCTCTTCCAATCTATATGGGGTGGTAGACATACATTATATCCCACAAGAAACTAAATTGAAACTCACCAATCAAAGAGTGATAAAGCCATGTCCCTGTATGAATAAACACCAGAAAATTGAAGTTTATAATTAAACCTACAAGAACACGTCACCATTCACCTAACTGATCACTAGACTTACTTTCTTAAATCATTCCTAACTATTCACTCTAACCTAAACCTTAAACACAATATTATTTCTTCATTTGGTCATATACTTTAAGACAAAATTTGACCACAATAAACAGGGTCTACACTGCGGGAATCTTCATGGTCTAATACGCTATAATACCTGTAATATAACAACACTTGAACACATTAATCATAAACTCAACATCTACCCTACAGCTGCTACGGTACATCCTCGTCACAAACCAAGTATTATGGGTTCTACGTCATTATATTCCCTCGTGGTTCTTGTTATATCAGACCCATTCATCTTCATTAATTCTTCCTGTTTTAGTCCAGTTATCTCTCTAAACAATAATGACCTTAATCCTGTGAGCCATTACATCCTAACAGCACCAACCTTTATGTGGTAGTCGAGGGCGTGCATGTCCCTCATCTGGCGGTATTTGTCCTTGTGGCCGCAGATAAAGAGCAGCAGTTTCCTCACTTGCCGCCGCACAACTGGAGTCTGTTGGGTCATCATGTACTCACAGAGGTAGTGCGACCACGCTGGTTCAAACTGACCTCCTTCCCCAAGTTTCTTCATCTGTTAAAAGAATCATTTGTTCATAAGTGATTTATTTACCTTTCCAACACTCGATGTGAAGAGCAAGTGTAATAAATGAGAACATACAGTAATGGAATAGAGAAGCACCACTGAGATATTCTGCAGTGAACAACACCACAAAACATCCCATGTGTAAAAGTTATTAGACAGAACCAAGCACCAGTAAATGTTATTGGTCAGATATCTCACAACAGGGTTTTATAGTTGAGAAGAAGTGACAGACTGGCAATCCTGGTACTGAACTAGACTCATGAGGACCCCCATAACTGACAGCTCAACATTTGTGCTTGGAACAACTGGAGTACCATGAGTAGTCACAGTATAAAGCTATGGATATCAATACGAAGACAAATTCATGCCTACATAATTGTAAATAATGAATCAAAGACCAGAGTCTAGTCATTCCTTAACACAAACAGGAGAAACAACTATTATGAAAACCATAAAATACATCAGATTTGGTCTCACAAAACACTAAGGTATTGTTAAACTGTGGGAAAAAGAAACTGGCATCATTTACCTGGTATGGTAACCTCAGGACCATTTCAGTCAGTAAGTGAGGGAACGCTGCGAACACATCATGGGCGTGACCCTTCACATACTGTCGCAGGAAGAATGGAGACATGTCGGGCGGTAAGGTCAGGGGACGAGGCTTCAGCAGCCCAGAACCAATCACCGTCCCGCTCTGCTCCTTAGACGATGCCCTCCAGTAGTCCAGCAAAGCCTTCAGGATGGCCAGACAATGGTCCATAGCTCCCGAGCGCACGAGGCAGCTTGCTGTTGCCTGAGGAATCACACTGGAGCTGTCACTACTTGGTCGAGCCCCTGACTTGCTCCTGGACATCATCACACCTGAGGAAAAAAGATCAAACATTACATCACAAATTGTCTTCTTAAGCCAATAAAACAAATAAAAGAATCAAAACAATACATTAATAAACATTTCCAGCAGACAAACATATTCCATATTGGGAACAACTAGAGGGAAATGTGGTGAACCAGAGCAAAACCCAACAGTGAACAACAATATAAGATCAACTTACTGAGCAGTCTCATCACAACCAGCTGGACCTCCTTGCTGGCTGTGCGCTCTGACACAGTTGTCACATCAATGCTACTCATGTTCAGTTGGGTCACCAGAGCCGTGAGGACAGCATCCAGGCTTGCCCTGTCACGGGTGTCATTGCCATCGAGGTCAGAGGTCAGCATCAGTAAGACCTTAGAGACAAAACCAATACAGTAAATAGATGGAATATTTTAAAGGAACATGAGTGTTTATGACTCAATAACTTGGATAAATACCTGACAATAAGGATCATACATAATGATAGAGGACTTCACACAGCTACTCCTTAAGCTTATTTGGTTTACAAAACTTCATAGAATTACTGACCTACAGACTGTATGGCTTGACAAGCTCCAGAGACATTAATTAGTCACAATCAAAGTTGTGTACATTGCTGTGGCAGAAAATCACTCGGACATTATAAACACGGATGATTCCCGACAATCTGCAAGGCTTCGTGACCTTTCATATAATGACTCGCTAACTCCTACAAAGGTGACTACAAATTTCCATTATTTACCTGGAAGAACGGTATTGTTGTGACCCCTCCGACAGATGTAAGTGAAGGAACACGATGAATGAGAGCGTCAAGAAGTGCCAAGCGAAGGGTGTGCAGGCCAACACCTCCCTCAGGAGGTTCCTCTTCTACTAATTCTCCCTACAATTGGAAAAAAACACACTTTAAGCATTCACAAAGTGACTACTATTCAGTTAACCATTTTTAATAAATGCCTCAATACTTTCAAATGTACTTTATGATACTGTATCCTGATAATAGAGAGTGTCTCAGTAAAATGTTTACAGATTTGTGGAGTGAGTGTGAATGTTTGTATTACAACAATAACATTGTCCTCAGTTGTTGATGTGTGAGGTCTCCCACAAGTAAGGACATTGTTGTTGTTGTGATACAAACATTCAAATGATTTCTACAAGAATCTGAAAGGCAGTGTGCAAAAACAGTAAATATATGACCTGTAGCGTGGCAGGTAGAGCCGCTGCTCCTTCACGAAGACCTGCCGATCCTGGTTCATGTCCGGTGTCTCCATACGCTGAGCTGCGACCCGACACGTTGTGTTCACCTCCCAAACTCTCCACCACAGAGCCTCCAGACTCACTCCCAGCACTTCCAGCCTAATAAGTAAAAAATATTTAGTAGAAATTCTTTACAAACATGAAGGAGATTGTATTCCAAATTTCCATTAATTTAATTTCTTCTATCATATTACACTTTCATAAAGACTAAGTTAATAAGTTAATTATTTCACTAAGTAGCTTCAGGTACACACACTCCAAAAGTATCTTTATGGAGGAGTTTGATGAACACCACGACTCCTGTTGTCTCGATAAAGTTGTCAAAATCCTTCGTCCAATGTGTCACATTGTCTGGCACAATATCGTACAGAAAGTGAATGACCATCATCCATGTACAGTACTCACATGTTCAGCAGGCGAGGCCCTCAAGTTAGAACCATCAGTGGCGGCCGTTGAACCATCACCATCGTCATCGTCGGAGCCGTTAGCGGAGGCCGTGGTGTCGGAGTAGTGGCCGTTCTCCTGCCCGTCGCCTCCCTCAACGTCTACACCCTCGGGTTCGTCTCCACCGTCCTGTCGGCCGTGGTTGCTCCGTTATACAGTATTGGTAAGTATAGACCAAGATAAAGATGTCTTTTTTATATTTCCTGTCAACTGTATAAACTATATGTTGTACGTATCTTAAATGTCTTTACATACAGTATATCAGTAATGTATGTTAACAAGAATTAGATTTTTACTGATAACTTCACCTCATTTTTTGGAAGACTATCAAAACGCCTGATGCATAACAGGTATAAATTATGATACTATGTTACCTGAGAGGAGCCTAATGCACTGGGCCTTAACCGAGTCACAGACGACAAAATGTGTCTTTAGTACGACTGATTATAATGAGGGTCTGCCGCTAACGGTTGACAGTCTACTAGTGGTTGCTTGAGATACTGTGTACACTAAGTCATATTCACACACACACTTGAATAACTGCCATCTCTATACTTCCATCAGAGTACAGTGCTATCATTACGTTACATCACACACACACAGACGCAAAAACCGTTTACAATTGGAATACGAAGGTGGAATAAACAATATTTATATAACCTGGACCTAGAATTGACTGAGGTCTATGTGTTGGGAGAATTACTGGACAAGGCTGGTGTATGAAGGAGAAGTCTGGGAGTTACTGTCTGATCTATACAATACAGACCCTGGCCTGGTGTAGCGAGTGTGGTGTCGGGAGGAAAACGTCAGTCCACAGCCACATCCTCCAGACCAACTTGTTCCAATTTACCTCAAGTCAATTACAACTGCACTGTACATATGTATGATGGCATGCTTGCATCAACGACTGGCTCACCCATACAGGTTATGCGTGTCTCTACTGGTCATACATATAAAGTTACAGGAAGCATGTAAAGACAACCTCCACTGGCTGCAAGGCTTGGATGTAAAGATTTGTGGGCACAGGAAGGTGAGGAAACAAAACATTAGGTGTTGAAGCAGATACAGTACAGTATAGTTCACACAAATAAACAGACTTTGGTAACAACAAACATTAATGACTACAAAAATGAGTTATTTAAAGACAACAGATAAGAATGCCACAACTGATAAGGTTAAACAAAATAACTGACAAAGTGTGACTAAGTTTACTCCTACACTGCTGAAATAACTTAATCACTAAGCTTCACAGTCAACACACACACACTTCATGGATTCCCACATTTTATAGTTCAGCCATCCATGGAAGCCAGACTTAAGGAAACATAAGCAGAGATTCTTGAGCATCTAACCTGCTGTACCTCTTGTGCATTAGCTTGGGCATTGCCTCCTTGCATCCCTCCTGAAGCTAATACTTGCAGACTGTGTAACACCTGACCGCTTAGTCCTTGGAGGCGGTGCAGCCCGGGCAGCCCACCGACCAGACCTTGTAAGCCCGGGTGCAGGTTTCCTAGATCGGCCGGGGCCTGGCCTTGTTCTTCGTGTAGCGAGAGGGCAATGGCTAGCTCCATCATGGCATCATCGTCATCAGCAGGAAGGTCCAGCATGCCTCCCATCAATGCTCCTCTCAACCCCAGGCCGCCACCACCACCTCCTCCTCCTAACACTCCTAGAGCCTCCAGACCATCGCCTCCACCACCTTTGAAGATACAAGTGATCATTCCTTTATGTGTCATTGGAAAAACAAATCATTAACATTTACCAACTATATGATTCATGACAGTGCTATAATGGTTGTATTTCGCTTAACTCACCCGCTTCGGCAATTGGATCGGCAGCCTCGGCTCCTTCAAACGGCGGTTCAACCAGGGCGGCTCCCGATGGCTCCTGTGGGGTTGCTGTGGGTTTTTCTGTGTCATCCACACCAACACCTGTAGGGAAATATTAACCTTTGCTCTAAACCATTTCACATATGTTGTCATCACGTAAAGCTCAGTTAATACACAGCCTCACAATACACACCCGGCGTGGAGCAGCGAGGAGGACTGGGAATGAAGACCTTGCGTCTCTTGTGGCGGGGCCTTAAGACTCGGATCAAAGCTTGTTTTGCACCGAAGCTGACGGACGTATCGGTACACAGGAGTAATTCAGTGTAGAGACGCACGGCAAGAGGAACGGCCGAGAGTGAGCAGACAGTGTAGGCATGGATGATCTCCACTACCGCCTGTACTGTGGCCTCAACGTGAGTCAGTCCTGAAAATGGTAAACAACTCTACAATGATGCAGGAACTCCAAGGGGCTAAACTGATTACCAATAATCACAAAAATACAGAGATCTTGAAATCAGTTTCCTCTACACTAAGTTTTATCACACACACACGACTCTCATATACAGGACTCTATTGTACAAGAGCAGTAGGAGTCACTAAAGGTTGTAACACTGACCAGGTTGACACATTGGTGTGAGGAAGAGGTTGGTTGGCTTTGCACTGTGCAGACCCCAGAAGACACTCATCAGCTGGGCCAAGAAATGATTGTCGTCGCTGCCGATGTCGTTGCCGTTGCTGTCGCCGCCCTCGAGCGTCGCCTCCGAGTCGGAAGTCGTGTCGGAGGCCTTGCTTAACGTGGAGTCTCCGTCGCTCTTCTTGGAGAGGGAAGTATCTCCCTCCGTCTTAAGACTCGGTGAGGATGATGGAGCCTCTATTTTCTTACTATCATCTTCAGGTGGAATGAGTGTAATGTCTGATGATACTTTCTCTGTGTATCTGTAGTAAGCAAAATATAAAACCTTAATACACAACATACAAACAAACAAACACAAACACACACGCACACACAAACACACACACACAGACACACCCACACACACACACACACACACACACACACTAATTGTAATATACAAAATACTCTATTTCCTAAAACAGAGACTGAAGGAAGAAGTTAAGAAACGGTGTCTTATTACTTGTGGCAAAAAGCAGTACTGTACTATATACAACTTATAGTTCACATGAAGATTAGGCACCCCAGCATATTACACCCGATGATTCAACACCTTGACACTAACATCAGGGTGTTTAAACCTAAGGTAAGTTAAGTTACTCTTCAGGTGGTCAAGACACTAAAATACAACACACAGGAAACTTAAAAAACTGAGTTAATGTAGAAGGTGACAAGTCAGACATACAGTAGTTACTCTACTCATAATCTGGTTAAGCGTGTTCTTACTTGACTAGGTTGTGAGGTCTGGCCACGGCCACATTTCTGGCAGTGACAACAAGGCGGTGGTAAGTCTCACAGTCCAGCTGCTGGGGTTCTGTCACGAGGCGGAGGTTACCGAGGGCCTGCAGGACGCTCAACAGCTGGGCACCGTCCTTGTGGTTGTGGTAGGCCACCCGACTCTGGTGGAGCGATGCCAGCAGAGTCCGGGTGTGGTGCTACAACACGACACAAAACAACCATTAAAAACACAACCCAGTGTTTCAAGAATTATATTAATGAGTCTTATAAATCTCAATTTCATAATATAATCCATGAAATCCTTTGAGGTACATACAGTATAAGAGAAACTCCTAGTGAGGACAATGTTTTACTATGATGAAGACAGACCAGAGGGAAGAAACTAAACACCAAGAACTATCCCAGTAGACATAAACGGCCCTGCCAGACACAACACCTCAACCATCAAACATTATCACTTACATTTACTCACTATAAGTTTATATCTTACACTTACCATAAATCTTTGGTGGAACTAAAAAAAAATTACACAAGTCACAATCTTCTACACGTTAAAATGTCCCCCACAACATGGTCACTGACCGAATACTTTAACTTGAATTATTAATCAAGGACAAACATGAAGAGCTCCTCCAAGGGTGACGTAGCTGCTTCTCAAGAGGTTTGTTCAGTAAATAAAGCCCCTATAACTATGGACGCATTAAAAGAATATGGAAGTAAAGGAGACACAATCACACGTTGGGAATTTTACTCTTGATGTCTGTTGCGATCTTTCAGTCTTCCAGTAAGGTCGAAGGGGAGCACTAAGTTTAGAGGTGAAGTTTATAATAGTAAAGTACAGTTAAGTCCTCACTTAATGTCGAGGTTACGTTCCTGAAAAAGCGACGTTATACGAACTACGTTAAGATGATCAATTTTCTCCATAAGAAATAGATATAATTAAGGAGTTACGTTCCCCAGCCTCTCGTTGACCCATGAAATACATTACATATACAGAAATTCAATGGCATTTTTATAGGAAATAGTGTACGTAGATATAAATAAACTAAATAATTTTGCATTGTACTCGCTGATAATATGTGGTGGGTAGTGGAGCGGAGGAGGGCGGGAGAGGAGGAGGAGGAAGGTGGCGAGTTACCGAGACCCAGCGGGTGGCTCCTCCTCCCGACTTAAAACCTCCATTTTCGTAGCAAGGGACTGGCTTGGCGTCGCCTGGAGACGCTGTGATGTTCCACTAGTGAGGGGTAGCGCGCCGAGCCGAGAGCGTAGCGCGGCCAGATGAGAGAGGGCGATGCGCAGTAAAAAGTAGTCCGTGACGAAGCAAAAACAACGTTAAATTGAGTCGTCGGGAAGTTAAACGAATTATTGGTAACTAATGAGTAGTGACGAAAAAACATTAGGAGGGGAAACATTATACGAGGACTTACTGTACAATATACTGTACTGCATAATCTTCAAGGTTGCCTCTAAAATTAAAGTTTCTATGTAAATAAACATTGCGGTAGTGATCATGTAACAATGCCATGTTTTGGGGAGTAAAGCAAGTCATGGTTAAGAGGAAATACTGGAAAATTCAGCTTCGACAAAGATTACCCGCCATAACACAGTAGACGAGTGTCCCCGCCTGAGGCACGAGCCAATCACAGTGGCCTGTGGGTGTGATGTCACGGGCCTAACTGTGCTGATTGGCTGTAAGTTGAATTCATGCCCCAGCAAGACGGGCACTCGGTTTCCAAACCCAGAGTCTGTGTTGGAGTTTTGTGTAGAGGTGTGGGACATCTGTGGTGGCGTCATGGCAGGTATTTGGGTGTACAGTATTATATTTGGTAAATCCTTAACTTCCCATTTGTTGTGAGATACATGGTCCCCGTTTAACTAGCTAGGAGCAAAGGTTTATTGTTTTGAAGTGGAATTGTGAAACCCTAATAGAACGTATTCAATAAATGCAGCAACCATTAACGAGTCCTAATTCAACCCTCCCTTATTGAGAAAGGTTTTGTTATAAGTGTCATGGTGGTAGGCAGTGATATAGTGAGTCCTGAGCAACAACACACATATCCCCTTGTGTCTCAGTTATCACAGGTTACCCCTATTCCCCAGTTATCATCAAATCTGCCCTTGCTCCTCCTCCCCCCCCTCTCACACCCTCCTTCCTCCCGCCTCACTTCCATCTCACGAGTAAACAGAGAATGAAAGGAAGAAAATAAAGAAGAAACAAAGAATTAAGAACTAAAAAAGGTAATATAAAAGGTATTATTACAAGTGCTCGGCCCCAAACTATGAATTTCTGACCGCGGAATGAAAAAAGTAATAAAGGTAGAGCACCCACGAATTATCACGATTCGACCGTATAGTTCAACCGTGTCGACTCACTTGCACTGTCGACGGTAGAGGTAGATTGAGAAGCCTGGTAGCCAAGTCCAGCGCTCCGGCCCGGGCTACAATCTTCTCTGCTGGCGTGGCGACGAAGCAACCATCGAGAGTTTCTAGCGCGGCAGAGACGAGGCGGTCGATGGCGGTGAGAGGCAAGGGAGTCGAGGACGTGCCCCCAGTGGCTGTCGACTCGCTGCCACTCCCGGCTGGCCCACTGGCTCCTGTACCAGTGACCGTTGCCGAGAAGTCCTCGGGCTCCTCTGGCCAACCAAAGTCTTCCTTGGTCTTCCCATAACTGAAGAGTAAGTTATATACACATGACATTAGACAACATTAATCATATACAGGTGAAAAAAAAGACTAATAACCACAAGTGAAAGGCTGATAAGGTAGCAGAAATATATAATACTTCTCAGACTAACTCTTGGTACTGTAGTGTATTAAGTCTTCACAAACCTGACTCCAAAAACCTGATTATTAAACTAATTGATACAAAGTTACTGACAAATGTACTAGATGTGAAGAACAAATTGAATGTCTGAAAACCTCTCAACAAACAATGACATCTGTGGGGACAAGTCATGAAGAATATATTACCGTGTCCGATGAAATAGCAAAACTAACCGAGTAATTTTAAACGAGAAAAAAGTAATTCTATAAATCGCAATGAATATACGAGTCATTCTTCCACAAACACAACTATAAAACACACTCGGTCAAATAATAAACATGAACTTCAACCTTCTAATGAATGAAAAATAAAATCCAACTAAGCTTTATATAGAGTACAACACGTCATATCTTGGCAACCATCACTGTGAGGTGCGGGCGGTCAGCACAGACAGTTAACATCACTCACATCTTGACAAAGTCGACCATGGCAACATTTGATGGGTCGGCTGAAGGTCCAAAAGTAATGACGATGCGTTTATCTGCCTGTAGAGACTCCTCCCGCGTCAGAGGAATGTCGAACCAACGACTCCGTGTGGCAGCTATCGACACACTGCGTCCAAAGATCTACAGAGAGAAAGGAGTTAATGTGATTCCTGGAAATTTATATCTAGTCTATGGATCAGCATGCGACAGTGGGTGGTGGTAGTGGTGGAGTAAGGTAGGAGTGGTGGAGTGAGAGAGAGACTGCTTGATACAACAAAGGTCTTCTATTCTATAAGACTTGTACGTTACCACTATGAGGGATAAACAATATTTAACCCAAGTTACAGCCGACACTCACCTCCAGATAAGCCGGCACTCTCTGGGTATCAACGGCACCCACAGCTACTCTAAGGGCGCAGATAACGATGGTAGTGTCGTTGTTGGTCACCTCCAGCTGAAAACCTCCTGGCTTGGTGGATGCTATGTACATACCTGGTGTATAAGTGACACATTTAACAAACCTCTTCATTAATCAGAATTATTCTATTCACACATTTTACGTTAAATAATTTAATACGTAATTTCAACAATAAATAATGCTAGATAACTCTCAGGTAAGACTCAATAACAGAAATTCTATAAGAGCCACATCATTACTTTTATTTCTATGACAAACCCTCAAGTGTAAGCCTACCCTGACTGTTGAGTCTATTCTTCAGCTGCTGTACGTTATAGACCTGCAAGAGATCATTTCCTCCATACTCGATGTCATTCATCACCGAACAGTGCTCGAAGAAGTCCACAGGGAAGACGACTGAGCCTGTAAAACAATATCATCATCATGAGATAATTACCACAACACTGCCTGGGTTTTTTTCATCGTATATCATCGTATCATTCGCCAGTCAGCCTTCGCCGTGATAGGACCTCTCTCCAGACCCTTCACCGCCAAAGCCAGCCAGCCTCTGCCTCATACTGTTAACGACAGGAATGTAAACGACCACCTCACTAACCATCACTAGACACCACACGCTGCCATTTAAACGCAGAAGACGCCTTTATGAACGACTCCGTGTAATTATGCAAGTTATGGACAGACAATGACGCACACAACAGAGAAAGTTGAAGCAGATTAACAATAACACGAGCAAACTTACCCGACGGTCGGCCAAGTTTGGGGGCCTTCTTCTTCCTAGAGGGACGAAGCGATGATATAGCGCTGACAACTTGCATTTGTGGTGACAGCCAGAAATCTGTTGGGTGAGATAATATTTTTAATACACACAACACAACACACACGAGTACACATACACGAGTACACACACAATACAAACATACACATCACAGTCAAAACTCCGCATGACCAATTCCTTCATTTTATTATTTTTTTTTTAATCCTAAATCCTATTACATTCCACCTAACCTAATCTAACCTAACCTAGAATTTTCATTACCATATCCTCTTTTTTTCTTTTACATTCCTTAGTGACAGAAGGATTACATCACATTCTTTCTTGATTCAACTTTCAATTTTATTCCATTACACGCACGCACGCACGCACGCAAGCACGCACGCACGCGCACGCACATACACACACACACACACACACACACACACACACACACACACACACACACACACACACACACACACACACACACACACACACACACACACACACACACACACACACACACACACACACACACACACACACACACACACACACACACACACACACACACACACACACACACACACACACACACACACACACACACACACACACACACACACACACACACACACACACACACACACACACACACACACACACACACACACACACACACACACACACACACACACACACACACACACACACACACACACACACACACACACACACACACACACACACACACACACACACACACACACACACACACACACACACACACACACACACACACACACACACACACACACACACACACACACACACACACACACACACACACACACACACACACACACACACACACACACACACACACACACACACACACACACACACACACACACACACACACACACACACACACACACACACACACACACACACACACACACACACACACACACACACACACACACACACACACACACACACACACACACACACACACACACACACACACACACACACACACACACACACACACACACACACACACACACACACACACACACACACACACACACACACACACACACACACACACACACACACACACACACACACACACACACACACACACACACACACACACACACACACACCAGTATATCATAAATGTCCTTAATTTCAGCCGAGTGAATGACAGAGTTTACAATGAAGTGACTTACAAAGGTGGGGGATATTTATAGGGAGAGACAGATATGACAATTTATAACGAAGAAATTTACAGAGCCAAGGAGTTATGTACAAAAAGAAGCGCACGTGACCAACATCAACACGACGAACCTGCAGTCTGTGGGTTGGCATTGTATATCCGGAGAGAACCGTCTTCACACAGGAGGATAAGAGTGGTCTTGGCCTCGTGGTTGGGTGACCAGGAGTGCCGCAGTGCCACCAGGTCCGTCATCTTGCTCTTGGCGGGCAGAACGCGGATCTCCTGAACGAGGATGTGGTCAGGCTTCACCATGAGGATCACGGGGTTGTTGCCTTCGAGGAAATAATATAATTAGTTGGAACGTTACCTGAACAACCTGCAAGAGGACGGATAACTAATGAGAGGACTGTTAGCTATGAGAAGACAGTTAGCCAATGAGAGGACACTTAGCCAATCAGAATACATTAATACCACTACACACTGTACACACATAATGGCTCCAATCACCAATCCCCGGTGGGTCTTGCAAACATTAACAGTGTTCAACTACTGTACTGTATCATCCACCATCGGACCCAATGAGTGAATTAGTTGTGTGAGAAGAAAACAACAATAACGGTAGAGAGAGAGAGAGAGAGGAAGGAAAGAGGGTGATAATAGTGTTTAAAGTGTGCAGGTTGTAAGTTATTGTAAGGAGAGAAAGAAAGAGAAGAGAGTCAGAAGAAAGAAGAGTAAGAAAAAAGAGAAAATGAAAGAAAGGAGAGGAAAAAATACAATAAAGAGTGAGGATAAACTTACTAGACTGGGTAAGACAAGTGATGAGTCCAGGATGGCCGGTGACTTCCCCCCACTGACACAACGGCTGGGGGGCCATCTTGCTCCCACTACCACCACTGCTACTGCTGCTACTGCTGCTGCTACTACTGCTGCTGCTGCTACTACTACTGCTACCTCCTCCTGAACCATTACCTCCTTTAACACTCACACCAAACAATTTCTCCACCTTTTCATTCTCATCTGTGAATAATAAGGTACCAATATTTAGTCATCAATATTCACATGATTTAATTAACTCTAATCCTTAACTGCATGAGGTGGATAAAATATATTTACTTACAGAAAACAAATGAAAGTAAGAATGTGAATGACACCATAAGCGGTAAATTACACCCAAAAGATCAACAACAACCATCACATGTGTGTTTAGCCGAGACGAACAGGCTACAAGAGAATAACACCACGAGACTCTTACTTATGGAGACAAGAGGGGCGATGAAGCTCTTCCCGTGGGTGTAGCTGAAGCAGAGCACCTGTAGTGTGTGGGAGTAGTACACAGACACACCGCCACCACCTATCTGACCATTACAGTCCTGGGTGTGGGAAACAAACATTAATATTCGGGTTCTTGGGTTTATTTACATGGTAAGAACTATGACTCACAAGATAAGAACTATTCCTGGATTTCATTGGGCCCGAGATCTCATTTGCTATTCACATAAGATGAGGCATATAATTACTCTACCTTTAACATTGATAGCTAATAATTTGGACCATTTCTTTAGTACTTTTCATAACATAACATCATTTCCCACTACTGTATGAAAATATTCTTAGATACTTTTTTCATTTTCAAAACTTTAATTACAGTAATAGCAATACTTGTAGAAGTCAAATTTACCATAAAAATGAAAAAGATAATAATAATAGTAATAATAATAATAACAATAATAATAATAATAACAAAACAGATAAGTAATATGATATATATTCTATATAGGTATCATCAACCCCTTCAGTATGGGGATGTCACTTTTAATATTTCAATTGGCCAACACCAGAGGATTTTATTCAGCACAGTGAGACCACCATACACAAGGGGTTAATATTTAGCACTAACCTTGAGGTCTTGATGCTGAACCTGTAGTACATTTGTGACGTAGAATGGACCGTGTTGGGCAGAACTCTCCTCGCTCAGCACCTGGGTGTAGATGTAACCTGACGATGCCATGGCCACCAGGAAACAACCATCGTCCTATGGGGAGAACATTTTCACATCACATTCATTAAATAAACCTTCCTATTGATCCTGCTCTTAAATCCTGTTTCATCTGGAGTTCAATAATGGTGTCACAAAGTACACACTATAAGAGAGCAAGGTTTAATACACGCACACACAGTTCACTTTGCCGAGGACTTGTTGCAAGAAAGACAAATCAGCGTACGACAATACATATACTGTACAGGTGTTCCTCCTCCTATGAACACAAACCTTCAGTGATTAAAACAAACCTGTCTGTCTGTAGGTATAATTGACTCTTTATACATCAACATACAGTCAACGGCTGGTAAGATTTACTGTTATGTATTTATCATTGGGGTGAAGCTGTACTGTACATATTTTATTTCATTTTATTTTTTTTTTACAATATTTCCGGTATCTACAAGAGTCTAGCTGGACATACAAACAAGTGTCAGGAACCTAACCCATTGGTAAGTAGAGGAACACCTGTACAGTAAATCTTATGCAATAAATAAGCCATTTTATAAAGTTAAAAAAAAGTTATATATATATGTTCAATATTTTTATGCCCATGACTCACTTGGTATATTCACACTTTCATTCCCTTCCTTGTTACATGTTGGGCGACTGGAACCAAGACACACCCACCCACCCGTCATCGGTTTAAAGTTCTAGGATATATAAGATAAACGACAATAATATCAGAGACAAACAATGTTATACCTGAGCACACACAAAGCAAGCATCCTTGATCTTGCCAGAAGGAAGGAGGAAGAAGTACTGAGGAGAGAGCGAGTCAGCACTAAGATCATATATTTTGACAAACTCGGCAGTGACGAGTGCCAGCTGGGTCTGCTGGCCGGGCAACCACACGGCTCTGATGATGTAGTTTCCAGACTCTAGCTGGGGGTGCAGTACCAGGTGGTCCGATACACTCCCCGCACTTGCAAAGGTCAGAACGTGGCAGTCCTGTGTTTAAACAGAGTCAACATTGAATAAAAAAGTCAAATATAAATTTATTATCCTAAAAAAAAATAAATATAACAAAAAATAAAAAAATATGCACTCAAAATAAATCCAGGTATTGTAACAACTCCATCAAACACTGACATTCATACTACACCAACCTTCAGTCCACAGACAGCAAGATAGTCATCATTGGCTGGGTTGGCAGTGATGGAGAGAACAGTAAATGGTACCGGAGCAGATGACAACCGTGTCAGGGTGAGTTTCCTCTTGGCAGAATCGTGTTGCTTCAGGAGGGAGGAGAGCTGCAGGACCGTGATCTTGCCTTTCTCGTGAGACACCGCAAGATGTTGTCTCTTGCCTCCCGGTGAAGCCAGGCAACACATGGCCACCCGGCGGATCATGTGAGCAGACACCAACTGTCGGATTGTCTGACCTTGTTCTCCAGAGTAATTCAGTCTCACATTTTCAAAGGCTCCTTCCTGAGATCCTAAAGTAGCCACCATAAGTTGTTCTGATGGCTCCACAGTCTGTAACAAGTATTAACATCAGTCTTTACATTATACTATACAGTACAGTGAGAACACACAAGTAAAGGAGGTCCCCAACTTACAAACGCCCGCCAATACCAATGAAGTTAAACTTGAAATTTACAATATTTTATTTACCCGATGACTTATTTTTTGCTTTCATTTACTGTATTTTGCCATTCTATTTCTTCTTTTGTTTTAAATTAAGTGATTTTAGATGTACATAAGGACTTGGGCTATGATACAGTGGGAATTTAAACATTGTTTTGTAGGTATGGTACAGTATGCATGTGTTCCGCCTTTCGAACGTCCTTAGGGATGGAACCCATTTGTAACTCGAGGACCCCCAGTAATGCTATAGCCTTCCTACCAACTGTCGATACAATCTTGTAAAGCAGTCAGCAAAGATCAAACAAGTCTAATGGTTAACCTGTAAAACACCTACATCATGGAGGCCTTATACCTGCATCAATAAGAAACACTAAATTTGTGCCCTCTCAAGCTGGTGGTGAGTGGCATCATGAAAAAAAAATGGCCTGGGTTCAGGTTTTCCCATCTCTTTCAAGATTTATAATGTCGAGACACAGTAGGACAGATCTCAAGACACATTCAAACACTTGAAAGATGGAAAACATGAAGCCAGCCCAATTTTTCAGAATATCACACACCAGAAACACGAGGAGAGACAACTTCAAGCTTGCCAAGATGTCATGCAGAATGAATATATAAGAAAATACTTCACCACACAGAGGTAGACCTATGGAACAGCCTACAAGCTCAAGTTGTGTTATCAAGAACAGGGATCCTACACAGGGTGACCACTACTACAAAAGATGATCATCAATGACAACACACCACTACGCCTCACAGAATAATTAAACTACAGTAAAGACACAACTTGATTCCTTCCATTATCACAGTTCCAACAGGTTTCCTACTACACTATAATAAACTTACTGCAGGATACCTTCACTAACTTCAACAATGATCAAAGTACTCTCCCTGTATCACCTCATAACTCTCTAAATCCCAAGTAATTCTGAATCACCACACAGATTCATACTTAAAGACTACAAACACTAAAATCTATTATGTCAATGAAGAAAAAACAACTATGATTAACACAATGGGAGTTTAATAAAAGCTTTGTTAATAAGAGTAACTGGCAGCCACTGACCTTGGAGTTGGTGTGTACTTGGTGGAGGGCGGCCAGAGCACGCTGGTAGGAGCCGACAGAACTGGACTCGGCTGCACTGGCCTGGATGGTGGGCATCAAGTCCGACAACAGGTCCAGCACCGTGGCAGCAACCTCACTACTGCTCACCTCACCCACCAACAGATCTCGGACATTTTCTGATGGACACAAAACAGAACCACATACAATATTGTATGTACCACATTCTCTGTGTACAGCTGACTTTAAAAGTTATGGTAAAATACTTTATAAAAATTAATAAACTACAAAATTAATAATGTTTAGAATTCCTCAACAATTAGAACTAATAAGAAAAATAGCTATCACAATCACGTGCTGATAATATGTAAACTGGACCACTTACACCCAATATATTAACCTCTTCACTACAGGTACGCCACTTTTAATATATATTTTTTCTCGACGCCTGGTGATTTTATTCAGCACAGAGAAGGTCCCATACACAAGGGGTTAAAGGGAAATAGAGAAACTATATATCCACATCATACGAATGAAGTAACAGCCAAGAAGAATCATTAACGGACTGATTATTACAAGAAAAACAAAAAATCAACTGAGGAAAGTGATCAGTCTTCTCAATCAAGTTAAAAATCACTTTATTTGGGTAAATGGGAGCTCCAGTACCACTGTTATCTCTTCTCCTCACACTGTACAGTACTTCACCCAGTCCATGTTCTTTGATCTAGACATGTCAGGCCTCTCCTTCCTACTCTGTAATACCTTATGAATGTGTGTGTGTGTGTGTGTGTGTGTGTGTGTGTGTGTGTGTGTGTGTGTGTATGTGTGTACAGTAATACCCAACTTCTATTCTTTCACCAACTTAATGGCTTAATTCCCCTGTACTGGATGTAAAGACAGACCAAAGCCACAATGCTTCACTCAATCCTACTCACCCAGTTTCTTAGCAAGCGCCTGCCTCTGCTTGTGTGTATCGTCCCGGTGCTTGTCCTGTGAAGAAAGACGTAAAGGATAACTTAGGATTACACGATGCAGTTGATACACCGAGGAGAGGGAATGTTACAAGAAGAAATGAATCGGAACCACAACTCAAAGACAAATAGATGTTGAGGTCATATTGAAAGGATAACTCTAAACAACCAAATTAATATATTCCACATTTGTGCAAGACGGAGGAGGAGGAGGAGGAAAGTAAACCACACAGTGAGTTAATTATCTGGGAGGGAAAGATGGAGGTGTGTGTGTGAAGGTGAGTATGGATGAGGACAAATGTACAGAGACGACTGTATGGAAGAACATATCACAGGATTACAAAAAAACAGGTGTAATATTAGTAGTAATTATAATCCCTTCATGGAGGTAAATAAATTAGGGGTTAGTCAGTTTATTCCTTCTCTTGTACAGAAGATTTAGTCAAATAACCACTTAAAAAAATCAAAACTTAACACACACATAAAATAATTCCTTTAACAGCTATAGCAAAGGGGGAAATACTCCTCAAGTCCAGGCAGCTTTTACATACAGCAATTAAATCAATCCTTGACATCTGCTGTAGGACCCAAGACTGTGTGAGAAAGTTTATGATCCATCAAACTTCAAAGGTTGCATTTGTGAGTACGTACAGTGGGACCTCTATTTAATGGCCTTCTGTAATAGCGAAAAAAGTCTGATATATCGAGGGTCCGTTAGATATGAAACCTCCATCTGACTGATGATATGGAAACAGCAGTCAGTTATAAGGAACTTTTACTTGCCTAAAACCAACCAATTTTGAGGAAGTGTTCGATGTCTCACCAAGTTTGAAGACTATAAGGCAAGGAAACGGTTGTTAATAAGAGCCAATTCCCATACAGGGGGTCTCCAACTAACAAATGAGGTTAAACTTTAAATTTACAGTATTTTATTTTTCTGACTTATTTTTTACTTTAATTTACTGTATTTTGACATTCAATTTCTTCTTTTCTCTTAAATTTTAGATGCATATAAGGACTTAGGCTTTGTTGTAGTGGGATTTTAAACATTGTTCTGTAAGTACAGTAATGCGCATAGCATGTATTTTAACTTAAGAACGTCCTCAGGAACGGAACCCGTTCATAACCCGGGGGGCCCTTGTACATAGCTATCGGTTAAATCCCAATGTATCAGCTTATTTTAATTACAGATTATATAATTTGTTTACTGTCAAGATCAATAGTTAGTGGTAAAAGTTGTTAAGTGAATCAGTTCAAAAAATCACAGAGCTTCCTAAGTTTATTGTTCTGAACACACCAAGGCCTTTAATAGCCCTGACCTGTGGACCTTCATGACTGACAGGTAAATAACTATCTGTCGACCCTTAAAGGTAAAAAACTCATTAGGGTCGATCCCAGTGCTGAGAAAACACATTAAACACGGGGAGATAATTACCGACTGAGTTCCCTGCGATGGTGAAGATGGTCGTCGCCTCAGAGATGACGGCAGAAGAGGCTCCACACCAAAGGCTGCCGGACCACTGGAGGACCCAACACCATCCTCGTATGATGCAGGACTTCGTTTAACAAGAGCCTGACACACAAGGAACACGCCAGTACCGTTAATACAGTAAACATGAAATAAAGGCAACAAGTTTATCATGAACTTCAAATGATATTGTCAAGTCACTAGCAAAGATAAAAAGTAAAGCTGTTGGCTAATGTTGTGATGTAGAAGCCAAGTTAAATTGTGCCACAAGATATTACTGCTGTTCTGGGTAAGGAGGAAGCACAAGTAAGCCATATGACCAACACTTAAGCATAGTGTAGAGCACTGTATGTAAACATGCACACAATATAAAGACCTTCACAATTGGGTGATATTTTAGAGGAATGTTTCAGAAGAGAATCAGACTTTGTTTTCTCATAACTTATCAACAATACAGGATGACAACCAGGGCTGGAGACTGGTGGCTTTAAGTACTGTATACATTACCGTGATACAGCCCAGATGGTACACAAGATTATCTTTGAGGAAATAATTTGGAACTTATCAAATTCATATTAATGTACTGTACTATGAAGACTTGTGTTTTGTTAACTCTATTATTCAGTTTTGTTTCATTTAACAATAAATGGACTAAAACAAATACCAATATATTTCTCCATTATATTTACTTATATTTTTAGCAGTCCATTTATTTATTCCAGAGCACCAGAGTGAAGACAACATGACTAGCCTTCCCGACTGTTCTTAACAAACTGCCTCATTAAATGACTTTCACCTCGGTTTATAATCAAAAGAATTAACTCCAATACGTACAATAACTGACTTAATAATATAATAAAGCTTTGTACTGCACCAATAACCGAGAAATGATTATACCCTGTACAGGTGTTGACCGTTATATGATGGGTTAAAGACCTCAAGAAGCCACCATTAAGTGATCGCACTGAACGTACTGTACACACTGGTGACCTGACTTGTGGGAGACAATATTGTATGTAGAGGAACACAAGAAAATGATAAATAAAAGGAAAGAGTTTGCTTGTTTAAGGTCATCTCAAAACACCACTGATGATAAGTAAAGAAATACAACACAGCATCTATGTTCAAGTTAGTCTCAAGATGGAGTGAACTTTGACATTAACAGAGAAAAGTAGAAATTAATATAAAGACTTTGTGGGGTGGGAAGCTTGATGAGTAACCTGGCGACAAAAACAGACGAACTCCACTGAGAACACGGACAACCAGGTCCCTCAACACAAGTAAATATGTAAGGATTAGTATGTTTTTAGGGGTTTATTATGTCTTAACGGGTAACCACGGTGTACTGATCAACGACAATAAATGAAACATAAAGTGGAGATTGTATTCACCTGCAGCATCATTATGGTTGAAGACAAAGACTGATCCTACCACCTCAGTTTACTTCAATTACCAAGTTGGAAATTCCCAATAAATTTATATAAAAAAAATCCCCATTCATTAATTCATAAACGACAAAGAATCACCATTTATAAACGCCAACAGTCATACTCGTGCAGAAGTTGAAGTGTTTGGTAGGGAAGACAGTTCAAGACGTCAACACATGTTACCAGGAGCCGAGAACATGTGTCAAGGTTAGGGCCAAGTTACCATAAGATAGTGAAGTATTAACACACAAACCCCAGAACCTTAAACCAAACTATGTTGTCATTATACACGTTAAAAGGACAGTGACACATGATCTATGTTGCACACTAATAAGCAGGCTCATGTTGCACACTAATAAGCAAACACTATGCCAGTCACAGCAGACAATGATCAACTTACTTGGCATGAACCATCTTCTTTAGCTCCACAGTCACAAAAGAAAGCTCCATATTTGGCATAAGTTACATCATGACCGCGATGACACACCCGGGCACACACTGTACACACGCCAACACCGTCAACCATGCGGCAGGTGTGACAGTGGTACCAGTGCTGGTGCATGAATTCCTTCTGGGTTAATGTAAAAGTACACAGCTTGTTGCACATGCTGTCTTCATCCTGTTTAAAAGTATCTTGTTAAGTCTCGGCATTTCTCACATGATCATATTTATAAGTCTATGAGGTGCGGTCAGTCTTACTCTGTCACCCTGACCTTAAATTTCTATGACTGGCACCTATGTTAGAACAGTTTCATCGCCAATGGTGAAAAACAATTGAGCACTGTCACCATCAGAGACAGTGTGGTCTTCACAATGTTTCTTTGACTGGAGCACTACAAGAGATACTTCAGTGATCAGTGCCTCATATCTGACTGGCCCATATTCTATACATAAACATTAACTCTCTCATAACCTCATAGAATAATAACTTCAAACGCATATTTGTGTTGCCAGGGAGAGCATCACGACCAAGTGCAGTGCCAAGGGAGACATTACACTGCTTTTTATAAGTCTTTTAACACTTGCTCAATGTACTGTATAATAGATGTCTTTATCAGTACAACATACACCCTGTACTTATCATCAACCTTGAGCCGTACATTACAGAACTTTGGATATGTCTGCCGGGAGTCACCAAACCCTTAGCACCCATTTAGACTCGGCCCTTGCCAAGCACAGGAGAACTCTACAACATAACCCCTGTGGCTGGTGAGGGATCAGTGTCTACAATTAAAATATTTTCATATAATTGATGAAGTCCACAATATTTGGCAGCTTTACTGTATGTAGTGAACCAGATGTAGAGTATAAAATAACACCACATACAACTGGAAAACATTTGAAACACAACTACTGGACATATGAGTGAGCCATCAACAGTAGTCTTCAGCAAAACATGTTACCAAATATTGTATTACATTCTCTAAATCTGTCATGAACCTTATTTGAGCTTCTGCCTAGGAAAGCTCTTCTCTATACTGTAATGACATCTCACTCACTCTAATATACAATGCTAATTTTCATAGAAGTCTTCCTTTTGGCCATATATTAGTCATCTTTGAAAATCTGTAGGAAGGAGCTGGGCAGTGTCATGTTTCATCACAGCACAGTATTCATATTACAGTTCAGAAGCCAAGATTCTATTTTCAGTAACACCATCTTCCACTCCTATAATTTTCTCTATGCAGAAACTGAGCAAATTAATTCCAATGGTGAAGTCTTTAAGAATGATCTCGGGGGGGGATTTGTGACCGACTTACCCAACACGACGAACAAAAATAAACAGACTAACTCGTCAAAATAGTAATTATTCTCCTGCTAACTCTTCCCACTATCACAACCCAGCCTGTAAAGCTCTCGTACACACCACAACATTCCCGTCAACTCTGCCATATACCGTCTTGGCAAACATTTCAGCCACAAACCTCCGTCAAACTCTCGTTCTGCAAACAACCCCTTAAACCACATATTACTTTACCATTTGTAGTTTCTTATTGTCTTATTTTTCAGTCAAACATAAAACTTCCAAATCATAACCAAATTCCACACAGTATTAACACTCTCTCTACACCTCACAACTGTCTTACTTCTGGTAACATTACAAGATGTCTACAATTACTCTCAGGTCTTGTAGTTCACGAGGAAGGTGCCCAGTGCTTACATGCCATGACCACACACACACTCGAGAATTAATAATCCCTTTATATAGTTTTCTACTCCCATGTACCAACTATAAATTCTCCCACTACCACCACCACCACTTACAATACTCATTAGCATCGCGATTGACAACCTACAGTAGTCCTTAACGCCATTTCCATAGTAAACCCGATACTTCTTGGTCTCAATAACGTTACTACCCACTACGTATGTGAATAATTGTACTCGCACTCCGACACATCCTCCCCTTCACCCAGATACTCACAGAGTCTTCCCCTGCACTGTCGTCATCCTCTTGTGTTAGGTCGTCAACCCAGTCAGAGTCGGTATCGACGGTCAAGTCCAGTTCGTACGGAGGAGACGTCATTCCACTCCGATAGGCAACAGCCCAGCGTTCACTGTTGACCTGAGATCATTCAAGAAAAAAAAAAAAGAGTATTACGTTATTTATCTATATACTGTATCAATTAAACCTTTACCATCTAAATTAAATCAGTCATTCATGATTTACAGTCCAGCAAGACCAAATAAAATAAACCTATTTCATAAGAACGTTTAATCAACCAGGAAAACAAACACAGGTACAGTACCAAAAGATACACATTACAGGTATGAGAACAGATGTTGAATTAATACAAAATTACAACCTAAATCCCTTCCTCCATCTAAAGAAACATTATATAATGAACAATGATTCAGTACTGTATACATATAACCTAAAATAAACAAATATACTGTATAGGCACTTCATTATATGACTCTACTGTATTCCCTTAAAGCTCGCTGGGGTTAGTTAAATGGACTCCGTGAGAAAGCAAAATCCGCGAGTTTTTCATGTCAGTCCCAGGAGTGTAAAATACATATTTAAATAGCCGTATGCACATGTATAACAACATTATGTATACATAAGACAATATAATAAATATGAAATAACATAAATAAATAAACAAACATGACATAACACTGTATGGACATTAGGTCCACATAGTGATAGTGAGCTGTGGTAGTGTGGTAGTGAGAAACAAGATAGCATATAACCAGCGATTTAGCTTTGCCACTACAGTGGGCTATTGAATCTGCAAATTTTTTTCTCCAAAATATACCTTGTTAATTATAGGGTGCATCTTATGACCTGGGAAATATGGTGCTGTGTACTGTCCTGTAGTGATCCCCGGCACACAGCCTCACATTTATTTTATTTATTTTCCACGACAATCAGCGAGTTTCCGAGGGACATGAGCTTTAACACCGTGAGCTTGAAGGGAATACTGTACTGTACCACCCATGATAAATGTAGTTACTATCAGACAATGTTTCACTTGACCATCATCCCCCGCTGGCCCACACCCGAAGCAACAAGACAAGCACGTGGACGCCTTACCTTGAGAGCCGCTACAACGTCACTCACATAGGAGAGGAGATGACACATGGCCTCCAACAGTCCCTTGTCCCTCTCTCCCACGAGGTGTTGTTTACTGCAAGGTGAAACACACAAATTAATAATCAATACTTCAAATTCTAACACAAACGTTGACGCTCTATCAGAAACAAAAATGTAACTTGATGTTTTTGAAGGATTTTAAATAATAGAAGAGTTGTTGTTTCATCACTACAACATACAAGACATTCAACAGAGTAATACGTTCAGCGATGAATTAAAAACAATACTTCTGTACTTCTAATAAAACTTATGCCGTTACTTTGTACTTTTGGGATATAAGAAATAATAATAATACAAAACTGACAACCTAAATAAAGAAGACTGAAAAAGCAGGTAAAAATGGAACCCACAGATGAAGAACAAGAAATAAGAGGAGAAACAGTGTATATGAAGATCCAGTGATCACCTACCACTGTGTCACCCACTGAGTAGCGGCCCTGAAGAGTGTGACGTGACCTGTCCCTGACCCGGCACTAGCCAGGGAGGACATGACAGAGAGCAGGTGCGTCATACTGGTCAAACCTTCACTGCCGCCGCTCACCAGAGATGATCCTAGTGGGACTAAGGATCGTAGCAGACCGTGGGCGACCTCCTGCGGAAATATACAAAAATATATGTCCCAATTAACTTCCTGATCAGTGAAGACAAGACTGATAATAATATATCATAGCGTGAAGAGATTATGGGGGACGTTAGAGCAGTTCAAGTGAATGGATGGAGAGGAGCCTGATAGTCTCTCTACCTCCTGCCCTCCAACACACCAGAAAATGGCTTACAGGAACATTAAAAAGAACAAGCAATACTTCACACTACTTCAATACGTCACAAGTGTGCATTCATCAGTAACTGCAAAAATCTTTTTAACGGTTCCAAATGGCTCAGATATTTTTTTTCTTCTACATTAAGTTTTAAACCACCAGTCTACATTTTAAACTAATTATTACATTACACTTTTCATAACACAAGAACCAAAGTATTTAAAACTTTTAATTGTCTCCATCTTGTCAACTCTTCAACCTTATCTTTTACCTAAACACAAAACCTTTATCTCTCATATACAGCTGAGCCGGTTGGTTAATTCCCAATTAACCAGGTTGGTTCACATATATTATATTGGGCTTTAGTAACGAAACTCAATTGAAGTTTCTTGTTTTATTAGAGATGTATTATGTTTATATAATTCCTGAGTGTAGATCAACCGTAAGTTCCACTATTCATGAGTGTGATGAGAAAGGGACGGCGTTTATGTATATAAACGTGAATCAACGTCCGTTGGTGTGAGTGACTGCCTGAAGGCGTCGCCTTGGTGCGCGCTTACATTGGTGCTGACATATGGGCTTCTCCCTCTTGGGAAAGCTACCGTTCACATGTTCAGTTCATGTCCTCACAGATAGTGGAAAATTACAGGGGGTAAATCTGAATATACATCAGATGTAAATAACCCATTTATATAATACTTCTGTTGATGAGACAGGGGCCATTACACAGCACAACATGTCTACAATCACGAACCTTCAATATTACTGTGGCGGCACAATCACCTTGCAATTTTAACAAAGGCATCAAAGTTAAATTTCCACTTGTAAGTTGATTTAATTATTATTTAACTACCTCCCCCCCCACCTCCCCCTACCCCCCATACACCACCTCCCCCTACCTCCCATACACCACCCACCCCTACCCTCCCTCCCTCCCTCAGTCTGTATATCTACCTTTAAAATAATTAACAAAAGAATATAAAGAAGAAGAACTTGTATCAGTTGTTATCACACCTCAGCATTCTGGGTGTCCTGAGTTATGATATATGCTGTCAGAGTCCTCAACAACTGCCAGCTGTTTGGTGTTGCCTCAGAGTCTGTTGTTGGTGTAGAGGTCAAGAGGTGAGTGGACAGCCATCCCTGCAGTATACCAGACTCGAGCCACGACCCGACCGAGATCCTGCTGCACACCGACGCTAATGTGTGGTCTGCTGGGTTTTTCTCGGCTGTTAAGGAACATAACATAAAGAAAATAAGCTTCATTCTGGCATTGTAACATAAATACAGTACTGTAGTTATTTAGCATCGTCTGTGTAGAGGTTCCATACACTGAAATGATAAAAGTGATATTTTCAAAAACTGATCTACTGGCAGCCCATCACACCCGTCTACTGAACCAACTAAGTATTAGACTCAACTTTAGTGAGAGAAGCCAACAACACCACCCACAGTTACCTGATAACATATTTTACTAGTTAATATACAGCCAGGTCTCTTAATGACTCCACACTGCCATATTTGCTACATAAAAGTGAAGAATCTTTTCTAACAAATAGTTCAATGGTACAACACCTCTCTAAAAGTGCTGTATACACCTGCCTTATACTAACTAAATTGTTGTGTTGTACAGAATAATTGTTATGAGCTGTAAAGAAACAAGACGCCACAAACATTAAGCATATGATGATGACCATAACATAAACATTTACTTCACAATTGTGTCAGTTGACTCACCAAGCTGGAACAAGCGAATGAAGAACTTGATAATATGAGTCGGGAGATTTGAAGACTTGACGTCCCCACTGATGGGAGGACTGAGAAGAACCGAGGCAAAGTGAGACTCGGCGAGGAACTTATCCAGAGCCAACTTGCCAGTAGGCACCTCCAACAGCTCCTCTAGGAAGGTGGTACATCCTTCCAAGATCTGTTCATCCACAACTCTGAAAAATATCATTTCTCCATGTACACTTCACTCAACTCAATGCTTTACTCTATACTGTACTGGTAGGTGTTATGACAGTACAGTACTACTTATACTTGTTGCAATACATCATACCTTCTTTCTAAAATTATTAATTTATTCAATATCAATACTGTCTACACCTTGAATTATTTTGTACAGTGTTAAGTGTTATTCAAGTTCTGCACCATAAACTCAAGACCAGATCAAATATTGTATAAAATTCAATAAATATAATAAGACACTAACTTACCCATCACAAGCTGCAGCTGACTGAAGAAGACTCTCCACATGTGTGAGTAAATGTGAATAAAGAGTAAGTTGGAACGGGTCAGGTGATGTTGAACTGTCCCCACCTTCCTGAGCGGGCAGGAGGCGGTCCAGCGCAGTCGACACAGATTCCGAGACGTGGTCACACGTAGCATCCACGGCCAGGCTCACGAGGGTGCTGGTCAGCTGCCCTCCAGTTTTTTCATCGTCGCTGCACCAGCTGAAGAGAAAAGTGAAATATAAAGTATTATATTTATTGAAACTAAACTATATCTGATCGTGTGAGGAATAACAGATGGAAGGAAGGAGCGGTGTTACTACTAATAACTTAATACACATAATATTACACAACAGCATTTTATAACTGCTACTGATACCTAATAATATTATTTGTTACTGAGAATTAAACACAGGTGCTCTCTTCATTTGTTGTATTTCACTATTTCTGACACCACACTCTTCCATACACTGCTGCTTCATGGACAGTTAGTACTTCCTTCATCCTCCTCTTGGCCTTCTCCTTCCCCTCTAACAATTTAACTATCAATAATATTATCTTTTAATCAATTTTCTAGTCTCAGTTTATCTGTCTCTATATCTCTCATTTAATGTTTTGTTTTTCTTATTATCTGCATCTTTTCTTCAACCCACACATACTGCAGCCATCACTCCTCTTGCCATCAGCGTCCATGTTTCATCCACATTATGTCAGCTCAACAACTCCTCATTTTGAACCACACAGCTCAAATATAATCCTTACCGAGTTATGTCTTCAAAATACATTCTTACCGAGTTATACCACAAATGAGGTTTAAAATGTTATTACTGTAACGTGTTTTAAAGATCCACCTACATACTGACAGACCGGTGGGCCTAAAGACGCACACGAGATACAAGAAACATTTTCATCACATACTCCCATCATTTGATAATATTAAGGTAATGAAACCATACATTTGAAACTTAGGGAGGAATGTCCTAGACACTATTACTCACCAATCACCCGGTTTAGGATTTACTGAATGTTACACCAGCAAGTTCTGTTCAGTTGTAACTTAATACCTTCAGTTTACTTACCCAGCCAGATCTGTAGCAAATGTAACCAGTGTGTGCATGACGTGCTTCAGGGCAAGGTTGATGGTAAAGGCTGGCTGGGCTGACAGTGTTGCTACATGACCCATCACAACACCTGACACATAAGTCTCTCCAGGCAGGACATCTCCACTCATACTGTTTCTCTGCAGAAAAAAAATAAAACAATAAATATCTATGTACACAGACACTATCATGGACATAAACTGTACCTGACAAGTTACACATTGATGAACTTCATTACCTAAACTGTGAAGGATATAACAGACTGATGGATAAGAACATACCAGTTTTAACAATATCAAAATCTATTATGGCCGAGCTTCTTTTAACCAATAGTTAAACCCTTAAAGGCGAGAGGACCATTACTTACCCATGCATGTACTGCTGGGAAGTCTGTCATGGTATTAGCATTCCAGTTGTCGAGTGCTGTTTTAAGTGGGGCGGGCAAGGCTGCACGAGTAAGACACGGAGGATGTGGACCAGCGCGGGGTGCGTGTCCGCCAGACACTGCTAACACCGAGCAATAGGCATCCAGGGCCTCAGGAGGCAGTCTGCTACCTTCTTCTAATACACTGTTCATCTGCTGCAGAAGGCTCCATCTGCACACATATTTAGGAAAGAATTCAGTTCATTGCAATTACAGTTGACACATCTTGTACTGTACCTCTAATATGCAGAGGCGGACCCCAACAACATGACTACACAACCAATACTGTACTCTCACAATCTGGCCATAGTAGTAAAGTTGACTCACTTCTAAAGTTCAATTATTTCAATGAACATAAAGTTGTCCAGCGGTAATCTTTTCTCTTACAAATATAAACTGAATAAACTGACTATCATTAACTTTAACTGAACAAATGAAGGACTAACTCACCAAGATAAAGCTGCCTATAATGTACAGTCAAACAAATATATAGAAATGAAAAAGTGATACTTGTTAAATCTATTTTCTATATCAACACAAAATAAATGTTGGAATCTCAAAATATTATAAGAAATGAGCACTTTAATATCATTACAGGTAAAAACAGGTGTAGAGGGACACATAACCTTTACCTGAACAATGCAAGCAGCTGGGGCTTATCTCATGAGAGGAGAACTGTACAGTAGAGCAAGTTTAGATAATGAACATATAAAATAAGAACGGTGTACTGTACAGTACTATATTATAGAGGAACTAAATACAGTAAAGAGAACAATGTGAGGAAGGAACAGTTGTAATTCATGGCTACACACTCTTACAATAATGTGAGAACTGTTGTACCTTGTGGCACAAGCTAGAGCTTGTATCAAAGTCAGAAGGCCAGAAATAGGAAGTTGGTCAGCAGATATATCGAGAGCTCTAAGAAGATCCGCTCCATCACAAGAGCGAAGATCAATCTCTCCCTTCTGACAGGCCTCATCGAGGGTCACCTGGAGGCGGGCCAATACTGTATCCAACATGTAGAGGTCAGAGAAGGCTGGCAGCTGCTCACCATTCATCAGTGGCATACCCACCATGGCACTATAACCCTGAAATAAAGAATATAAATACTTCAGTACCTATAAATCTAATGTAAAGTGCTACTGTGTTACCATACAATTGTGGTGATAACCAACCAACATAATGACATTAAGCAGAACAACACACACAGTATTCTCACAACTTACTTTACTTAATAGAGAAGTGATGAGGAGATTGGCAACCTTAAGGTCATGCTTCAGATTGCACATTGTCTTGGCAACAGACTTCAACAGTGCGTCTGCCTTCTGTGTGGTCAAACTCTGGCGTACTAATCCATCCTGTCACATGGAGAAGCACATTACTCAAAGTTCAAATAATACATAGATGTCTGTCTGTAAACTCAAAATACAGTGCAGTAATACAGTACTTGACATCAAACCCACTTGGTCAGTACCTTAATTACTCAATAAGGATTAGACAACAAAACATATTGGTTTAATCACATTTTATTACCATTCTTTATTTTTTTCTATTTCTATGTAATGAAGATGAACTATACAGTATACGCAAAACACATTCAGTAATATTTATTTTAAAATTTACTACTTGGTAAGAAGAGTCAACCATGATTAATCTGACATACCTTAATCCACCCATTGAATATTTTGTGTGAAGCACGAGGACCCCACAGCAGTGCATGGAGAAGGTGGGAGCCCTCCAGCTTGGCCTCAGTACCTGCCATGGCCTCTAAAGCTGATACAGAAGGTGGCATGGTGAGAAGGAGTCGGTAGGCCAGGGAGAAGGCGTACTGGACACCACACAGACCCAGGTAAGTCAGTTGGGGATCATTAGTGTGACGCAAACTTGGGTCATTCTGGCAGCCTATTCCCAGCAGGCTGACGAGTGTATCATACAGGGTGCTGTACTTGAGTGTGTCCGGTGTGGCCAGGATGAAGCTACATGCCTGGAATAAATTAATAAATAATTACCCGGTACATCCATTAACTTACATAATAACACCAAAAGTATTGACGAGTTTCGTGAAATATACGGCAATCATTTACCTCAAAGAAACAATCAGTATATCTACATACAATTCTAAGAGCTTTTTATCTACCATCTACTATCTAAAAAAAAAAAAAAAGACCAAAAGAATCATATAACATCTTTAAAGACTTTGAACACAAACTGACAGGACCTCAGAAGTGATGTGTTACTGCCAATGATTCTTACCAGACCGTCCAGCTTAGGGGTGTCCTGGGTGTTGGTCTCAGCGGGTGTGAGGGTGTAGAACCTGGGTCTTATGGTGTAGTCTTCTTGGGAATAATTCTTGCGGTAGTTCTCCTCCAGGTCGCGCCACACGTGGTACATCTTGCCTCCTGAACCAGTGCCCGAGTCCTTCCCCGAGGACTGACTGTCACACTGAGATGATATGGGCTTGAAGAGATTCCACTGAACCTGAAAATAAAAGCAATCAAATAATTCTCAACATGACCTGTTTATGAAGGTTTTGTCTTAAGTAAAGCACAAAGTAACAGTTCTGTCTTAAATACAGCACAAGAAAACATCCATCAATAACCAACCTGTTCTATCAAGACCTGTGGGGCTTCATACAGGTTCTTCATCAAGTAGTCAAATATTAGGAGGAGGCGAGCCAGGTGAAGGACCTGTGTGTCTCTCATGGGGGTGTTGATCACCGAGGACACGTTCACCACAGCCGAGGCCACATTCAGCAACACGCTCTTCTTCTGCATAAGTTGGAGCGAGTGGAAGAGGAACAACAACAACTGAGCGTGTTCGACGTTCAAATCTGAAGAGAAAAAAAATGATGATATCACAGCAAAATGCCTTTACCTAACACTAGACAATTTGTAATAATACAAAATTAACACAGCATTACATATATTTTCTCTTAGTATAACAAAGATACGAATCCAAGACCTTTGGGAGTGAGAGGCAGAGCCAATAGTAACAACAACTAGTATGGTATAATGTGAGTAAGAATTATCCTATCCAGTGTTTCCTCCTGGCTACTGTGTCATCAAGTAAGAGAACACTTCCTCAAAAGATCTCAATTGAAAGTCAAAACGAAATATGACCAGAAACTGTTTGTGAACAGTGTAGACAAATAATTGACTCAAAAAACAATAAAAAACCTGATAATTATATAACATAAGCTGGAATATGAGGAAATAATAACTCAAAAACAAAAAAATTATATTGTACCAAGAAAAATTCAATAGATAGTATTTAAATTAACTTAACTGAATATAACCCAGATACTAACACCATAAAACGCACAGTTGTTATATTAATGCAAAAACTATTCATATCTCCCGTCTAAGAGTTTACAAGAAGGAAAAAATCATTAATATATAACGGCACCTTCTATTTCTGCCTCCGGAGCAGGCGGGTTGGTGATGGACTTGGTGAGTGTGGTAATGACGCGATGCCATATGAGCACACAGGCAGTGTCTGAGTCACACTTGAGTTCATCCTTGTCTCGACGCTGACGCAACAGTAGAATCTGGAGGGGGACAATACAGGTGAAGCAACAAATTATCAAGTGTGGAGACCTTCAATCACTGTCAGGAGAACATTCTTTACACCAAATGAGGGTCTCCAGCATAAACAAAAAAACCACTTATCCTTAACTGACCAATGTATCAGGTTAGAAATCTTTCAAACATTAGAATATAAAACAGAGTACTACAATAATATATGTTTTAAGCAGCCAACTGACCTGGGCCAGAACCGTGAGAGTTCTTGGTAGCACCTGTAGCGGCCAGTCCCCATCAGGAGTCCAGGGAGATACACCAAGTTGGCCAAGGAGTGTGTTCTGCAGGGTCTCACTCAACAGCCCAGAAGCTATCACATTGTGGGTGTAACGGTAGAGGGCATAAGAGAACTCGTCGTACAGCGATCCCAGGACTGGTCCCAGGTACCCGGTGAGACTTCCTGTAGGGGGGCGGGGAGGACATGACTCGGCACTGACATGATTGAACTAAATAAAGAAATGCTAAAGATCAACATCCCTGATATGACATAGACCCACTTGATCATTTCTCCTTATAAGCACATGAAGATATTGAGTTACTACAAACATGATTTTGGTCACTTTCTGATACATGTAGTACTGAACACATTCTAAGTACTGTACTGTACTGTTGTTCTAATACTCAACAATATATAATAATTATAATACAGGGGACCCCCACAAAATTCGTGAGGGTTAGGTTTTCAAAATGTCTGTGAATCGGCAAATAACATTTGCGGAAGGGGGGGGGGGGTTACATTTTTACTTGTGTACAAAGAAATGTATATTCCCTCTATGTGTTTGGTCTTGGGACAATTATTTCTTTTACCTGTATTGTGTGTGTGTGTTTCTACACACACACACACACACACAAAACACATACAAATAAATAATAATGGGAAAATACTCTTATAAATAATCATTAACAATTTATTAAAAATGTGAGTTTACCCTCAAGTCCATGCTTTATTAATGAAGAACGGACTTGAGGGTAGACTCACATTTTTTATAAAATTGTTAATGATTATTTATAAGAGTATTTTCCCATTATTATTTATTTGTATGTGTTTCGTGTGTGTATCTACACACACATAAATATATATATATACAATACTGTACTGTACAGGTAAAGGAAATTACTGTCTCTAGAACGAATGGCTCCCTGTCCTGGCCGCGAAAATGATGGCAACTTTAAAACTACCCTTAGACATTCTTGGGTACACACAGGGTGTCATCCACGAATAATAGAGGACCGCAAAATAAAAATCTGCGAACTTGAGAGTCCCCTGTACAATAAACTATTGAATGGCTGGATAAAGATACCTGAAGCAAACTTTGTCTAATATAGACATAAAACTTGCACCAAGATTAAACCTCCCGATGATAACATTACCGTCAACACCCAAGAGACGATCGCTTACCCGAGTCAGACCTGGCAGTCTCCCTGTCAAGGTCACGTATTATTGCAGCCAACACGACCATGTGCGTCTCGGCCAGTCCCGCGCGCACGTACTGCTGGACGTAAGCACACTCGCTCTCGATCAGGTAACTGTTCATCAGCAGGAATATGTGCGATGCCAACGATATGAACTGTGGGGTATGAAATTCATTCTTAAAAACTTATCAAAGAAATATAATATTCTTGATATAATAAATTCTCCATAATATCAACATTTTCATTACCACCAAATAACACATTAATGGCCCTCAGAGGTTAACATATATGGCTGTCAAGAGATACCACACAGGACATGAAAGAGAAGAATAACAATTATATAAAGGAATGTGTGAGAAGGATTCAGGGAGGTGTTTGCAGGGTCTACATATCTTTCAAGTTTCAATGACCCAAAAAAAGCAAGTTAAGTTTATATTTTTGTGAATATAACCAAGAACTTAGGCTATACTATATGCTTCATTCATTCACCTGTTATTACAACCTGTCTACTTGGTGCTGAATCTATACTGTACAGGATAGAGAACAATTGTCAACTCACTCCATGCGGTTCTCCCTTCTCTGGCACAATGGTGGTGACCTCAGAGTTGTGGCGGTGTGGGGTCTTGGCCTGAGAGTCATCCGGGGAGGAGGAGGAGTCGCTGTTGCCCTGAACTCCTCCCGAAGCAGGGTCGTCGCCTCCTTCGCCCGGGGTGCTGGGCTCCTCGAACCAGGCGCCGATGATGACCGAGTCGTCGTCTGTTGCGGGGCCAAGCACTGGGTTATCACCACAGCCTGAACCCCCACCCAACACCAACACCATCCACATAGACACAACACGCGTCAATAAGGCGGAATGATTTAGTGCACGTGAAGCAGAGAAGCAACAATATATCTTAAGCATAAAATAACAATAATCATTAATTTTTTTATCCGTAAGATTTTTTTATTGCTCAAGAGTTAAGATCATTTACACATTGTTGTTCTTATACTGCAACACCAAGTAATTAAACATTGATAAGAGAGAGAAGCTAAAAGTACTGTTAAAGTAGAAAAAGAAAAGAAAAACATCACATGCATAAGTCAGGATTATCTTGATACACACTCACTGAATCATGAAAAAATACCATTAAATCTTTTCTATTATCAACAAGACTTCTTAAAATGCTAATCTAGAGCGAGTTAGTGCCACTGATACAACAAAACTTCTCTATCCAAAACACAAGTCAGTTTAAAGAAGCAGAGGTAAAATGAAGCAGTGAAGCACAAGAGGATAAAGAAGAAAGCTAGGTACAGTATCGGTCAAAAGTCTTGTTGCCTCTCCTGCTACTCTACAAACCTCGAGATTCTGACTCGTGAATCCGAAGCGTTCTGGTCAACAGCTGCTCAAGTGTAATCTCGTTCCAGAACTTACCTAAAAGAGCTTTCCTACCAATGTTCACCAAAATTTAAATTAAAATTGATTTAAGTGCATAAGGCAATCCACTTTCTGGTCCTAAGGTCTCACCTAACCCAGTACAGTACAATACAGTATACCACAAGAGCGTAATTTACTAGTGTGCTTCAATTAAAAAGTGAATCAGTTATGGTATTCGTGATTTACTGCAGACAAACTGAAAAAGCGGCAGAAAATACAAGCGCAAAACATTAAAACACAATAAAAAAAACACAGATACATGACTGTACATGAACACGTGCAGATATCATGAAATGTAAAATACTGTACTGTACATGTTCCTGTATAACCATTACACTGCCACCATGATAGCCACTTATATCATACAGGTAAACAGATCAGGTGTTAGAGACACTAATTAACACACACCACGAGACTAATAACAATTCCTGGACATAGTTAGAGTTACTGGTGTCGAATTATATTGGGTTGTAATAAAGCAAAATTAAAATGAATCATATAAAGTTGGTTGAAATGATAGACCTGATTAGTAGGTATCAGTAACACACATTCAGTTTAAAATCATCAAACTACAAAAACTGTACTGTAATATACTGTAACGAAAAACCAATTGTCTCAACGAGTACAGAACAATTAGTATTGAGTTGAGTTAACTATCAATATCTGTTAAATGTTAAATCAATCTTAAATCATCACAATATTAAGAAAATTTAAATTAATCTTTTTTATTGGGGGGATTCTCAATTCGAAAAAGACACAAAAGAGAGAAGTTTCTTACCTTCCTCGCCCAGACTACCTTCAGAGAAGTCATCTTCATAGTAAGTAGTGGAGTCTGATATACTGAAGGTGTCGCCCTCACCCATAGCACGGTGGGTTCTCTTCAGACTGCAAGCCTTCACACACACAAGAAACAAGTTAATTTCAATATGGATGGAACTGCCTAGTGTTTTCCTATTCATTTTATACCTAAGAAAATTTGTATAACAAACAGATGACATTATTTTGTTATTTCGATGTGATTCAAATGTTAACAGCACTCTCAATAACCACCACAGCTGCTTATATTGGAATTAATCTTGAATAATATCAATTTAAACCAAGAGCTTAAAGAACAGAGGCATAAAACAAGACTAATGTTACATCTAAGATACACAATCAGACAGACAGACTTAGAAAAGAAAAATGGCAAAAATATAAAGCAATCAGTATTTGGTAATGTGAACAGCATAGATAAATTTCCTTTCATTACATGTACATAAATTTCCTACATTAACCACACAAACACTCCTACCACAGCACTCCACAAAGTGTTCTTTACACATGAGTTTTAATATAGAGGGTCATTAGTTTAGTCCACAACCCTAAATGACTATTATGTTTTAGGGCATGTAGTAGTATACAGGAACCTATAAATTAGTAGGAATAAAGTCTGATCATTGTGAAGAACTAAAACTATCAAACCTTTCTGTACGAGACAGTGGCCAGGTAAAACAGCAACTGATTGAGTGGAACAGCCGAGAAGAGCCGAGACAATCGCTCGGTAGCTGTGTACGACTCCAGGGGATCTAGACGGGCAGGTTCTGGGGGTCGGGGCGGCGTCCAGCCTTCAACTTTAACGTCCTCTAACAAACCTGTCATCAGAGTCACACCCTGCGAGGCCAGTGCCACACACACTACACCAAAACCTTGTTGCCTGTAACACAGTCATACAGTACAGAACAGTGTGTCTCACAAAAATATTCATGTTATTCTGTTTTCATTTTTTTTACTTTATGTGACATAAAACCTTGAAGACCAAAATAATATGTGTACAGTACAGTACTTACACTTTAGTTAGGTTTATCCTCGCTGATGCAGAATCTTTCTTGCTAGGGCTCCTCCCTTTATCATCCTTCTTGTCTTGCATCGCAGCAGCAGAGGAGACAACAAGCATCAGCTGGTGGAGTCCTGTCATCACCAGCCAAGAACCCATCAACTGCAGGTTCTGCACATGCTGTAAATAATAAACAAAATAATCAACAATAAAGACAATCATGGCATTTAAAGCTCTAATCTCAAACAAATCTATACCGCAGTCTGTTCATCATGGAAATGTCGAACACCTCCGCCCTGTCATATCTTAGCTCATGATTGGCCAGTTAGAAAACAAATAATTAATGAAGTGCTGTACAGTATTGATTAAAATCTGCCCCCACAGAGGACAGTGCCACATTACAGTCCTTTATATCACTTAATATATTTATACATACTTGTAACAAGAGTAGTACAGTATAATAAAAGAAATATTAGCGAAAATGATGAATGCAAGTTACAAGTGTTGAAGTAACATAAGATAAAGTGACCCATGCCAAGTGTAAAGCTGCAATAATGTATACAAGTGTCAGAAGAAAGTTGAACACAATATCTTACATGTCCACCGGCTCTTGTTGATGATCGCACAGCGTTCAGGATAACATTGAAGAGGTCCAAGGCCTTCTCAGCGATGGCCGGGGCAGCAGTGTCCAGGTCATCCTCTCGTGGGGGAGGTGGTGTCTGGACAGAGAAAGTTATCCTTTATAAATCTCTCTATTACTTGTAAAGAATATGTTGGGTGTAGAAATAAAAGGTAAATGACACTTTGTATATTCTACTCAGTTACTGAACCTACTATAAAAAAAAACATTTTCTTTTACAAATTCTTTATTGTCTGAAATATATAACTTGTCTGACGCTAATAATTCTTATTTTCCAAAGACAAAAGAAACACATAAATAAAAGTGACTGCAGGAACACCTAATGTTGCCACAGCTCACATTATAAAAAATAGTCTCACCAATTTGATGTTGTCTACATATTCAACTTCTTCAACCATAAATAATACTGTACTGTTATGAAATATTGAGGTATTTTATGTAACAACGGATGCACTAAATACACAATGTCTTCATGATAATTCTGTAACTGAAATTCTAATGCCAATGGAAACAACTGTGACTGAGGAATGTGATGGATGAGAGATACAGTACACAGGCAACTACAAACTACTGTATTAAACTTCAACTGATGTACAAACAACAATGGCTGTAATTCTATGCTTAAAGGAACAAACAAATATAAGACATTACTGGGAGGAGGTGAGGTGAAGTCTAGGTAATGAGACAAGTGATATAAAGTCAAGAGAATTTCACCTGATCATAAAATTGCTGAAATACTGCAGACATCTCAACCTGTGTTAATACAGCTCCTATAATACTCTCCCTTCTCTAGGGGACATTATTGTGAATATTTACTTTGGCTTACAACAGACGGCTCTTTTCAGCAGAGAGAGAGAGAGACGCGTACATAAGTGGTTAACAGAGCAGAGAGAGAGAGAGAGACGCGTACATAAGTGGTTAACAGAGAACTTTAACCTTATGGCACTCAACGACCGATTCTTGCTACTAACCTTTGAGGATGACGTGCCCTGTGAGGCAACAGCAATAATAGCAGTAGAACAGGCTACAGTAAGAGCAGCAAGCAGGGCGGCCATGGCAATTGTGGAGAGCTTCTGAAGGCGGATGGAGTTGAGCGGCTCCAGGAGAGGAAGAGACATAACTCGCCACACTGTATTCAACTCGATCACCACAGTGTTCAGTCTGGGAAAGAAGGAAAAAAATTCTATATCAGTAAACAGCTGCATAAATATACTGTATAATACTTATGGTGTGTCTGTAGTTTATGGTTATGACTGTTAAGATTACATGATGGACCGCAGATGGGTGAGTACAGGATGGTGCTGGTGTAGGCAGGATGGTACAGGATGGTGCTGGTGTAGGCAGGATGGTGCTGGTGTAGGCAGGTTGGTACAGGATGGTGCTGGTGTAGGCAGGATGGTACAGGATGGTGCTGGTGCATGGATGTAGGCAGATCTTTGTAACTGTTGAGCCTTACCAATGATTTTTATCCCTAACATTTAACATACTGTAGTCTCATCAACACGAAAGATGATCTAGCATCCATTATAAGACACGATACTGTACTGAGTTTTAGAGAATGCCAATACAGTATATGAAGAAGGCAATGATGATGAACACCTGAGGATGACCTACCCTGCTTTCACTACCAGAGCTTCTGATATAGTTGTGGGGAAGCCGTGCCCTTTCCCCTCTAGAAGATCTTTGTACCGTTGGGTGTACTTGACAATGGTGGGAAGCCTGAGGCAGACATCTATCAGCTGTTCTCCACCACCCAGACTCTGTAAGGCTGATACACATCGTCCAGCAAACAGGTTCTGTAAGGGGTGAGCAAAAATTGGTACAGTAATCAGAAAAATACCATTATTGCTGAAATAATGTTTCATACAAATACTTATGAGATAAAGTACGGTATTTACTACCCAACTACAAGTGAATAAAGGTTTGATGTGTAATTGTACCTGACAAGACTCACTTCATAGCTCATATGAGTTGTCAATAATTACTCAATCATTTATCCAAAGCACATTTAAGAAGACTACCGTATGTATCTGCTGTAGGTAAAGGGATACACATGAAGAGTGAACAGCTCTTGGGTACTATTACATTAACCTTTAACAGGCAGCTAAGGATTCCCACCTTGCCCATGAACTGCATATGCATAAATGGAATGCACGGGATATGAACACCCTCTGATGATGGCCACCATTCCTATAGTTAACTTCCACTGATGATGGCCACCATCTACAAAGGTTGTGTTCCCCTATAAGTACAGTAAATAAATCGTTAATGTGTCAAGTAAACAAAAGAGTAAAACACTTACTCTCATATCCAAGGCCGAGTCAGACACACTAGTAAGTGGTCCATCTGTGTCTTTGTCTGCCGCTGCCGGGGGTGTGGAGGAGTGAGGGGGTCGGGGCCGTGAACCTCCTATGTCATGTAGCGGTGACACCAACTGCTCCAGGATCACGGCACTGGGATCACTGCGCCCTCGTCGAATCTCTTTCGACGACGTTTCTTTTTCCCCTGAACACACACACACATATTATGAGATGCTTCAACCTGCATTACACACACAGTTCCAAGGAATGTCAAGAGGCACCAAGTTTATTCCTCAAGATCCAAGTATTATAACACAAATGGATCAAATAAACTTAATCCACCCCATCAAGTCATTCCTTAACTGTCACTTAATGTAAACTACTTGATAATTTACAACTACTGTACCATCACTAATACTGAACCTGTACTGTACACATACTCCACAAAGCATGTTTACAGAAGTGGTCCCATGAATTTTAAAATAAACACAAACTCCCGTTTTCTCGGTAGCATGTGTACAATTAAAGACAAAAGTCGTGTCGCGGTTTCGTCCAAAGATTAAACATAACTCGTGAAACATTACGAGAGCCTCCCACCACAACACAGAGCGCACCAAAGGTTTAACCCTTCAGCATACGTTTTCACCAAATTTCACGACACGACTTTTGTCTTTCACTGTACATCCATTAAAGTAAATACCAACATTGAACCTCTCATGGTAGGTATTGTATCTCACCCCTTGATAGTTCCAGCAATAACACAATAATAACACTACAAACACCTTTACTTGTTTATGTTTTGACTTTTCTCCTCGATCTTTCGTCTCTTTGTATTAAATGTAAACCCACTAAAAAAGTTGTATCAGTCCTCTCTCTCCCACCCATGAGTCATGAACCTGTCAATCCGAGACATTGTTGGGTCTACAGAAGGTGCCCGGTGTGATGTCTCGGATTCACAGGTTCACGAGTCTCGGGGTTCATGGATGAGCGAGGTCTGATAGCACTTTTTTTTGGGTGGGTGTACATAAATATTTCTTCACCACTAGAGCCACTTTAGCTCTTCAAAAGCAATTCTCAACATCTCTCGACTAATACTTTCCACCAGATACTGAACTACACACTCGGGGTCAAAAGTTGGCTCCCTCCCAAACTGAAGCAGCGTCGACCCTAAAGGAGATAAAACAACACACCTATACCAGATGACACTCGGGGTAAGGAAGATCAGACTCGTGCCCAGAGAAGAATGAACTCTAATGTTGACAAATTTGAATATATTTTTAGAAGCAAACTAAAGACGTATTTATTCTAGAAACGACGACCTCTATAACATTCTGACCCCAAACATCAATAAGTGGCTTTTCTTCTCCACAGGAAGATTCTACCCATGTTTGGCAGACAAGGCTTACGCAGAACTGAGACAGATGAATGGACTGACAGACAACCAATACACACAGACTAAACACTATATGCCACAGTAACTTTATTGTGGTACCATAAAAAAAATCTTGAGTTTAATAAATATAATCAAGTAATTACTAGACAATATTTTCTTTGTGTATTTGACATATGTGTGAAGGAACCTGTCCATTAAACACACACCAAGACCTCCTCCTAATGATAAGACAGAAGCAGGTACGGTACTGTGAGTGGCAGCCAAGTACAAGACATCACAAAATTACCAACAAAACTTAAAACATTTTCCATACACCGAAAATTAAAGAAGAGAAAAGAAGCAACAAAGATGACCAAAGACATACAGGTAGGTGTTGTCTACAGAGTAACTTAAAGAAAGAGAGAGACCAAACCTACAGATGACACAGATACTCAACAAGGTCAAAGGTTACCGACAGGACACGAGTGTGACCCAAACATTAGAAAGAGGGGTCGAGGCCATTACAGTACGGACAAATCTCGTGACACTGTCTCTCGCGATGGCCGAGCATTGAACGGGTCTCAAAATACCTAACCTAACCTGACCTAATGTGTCGAGTGCAATATCTTGGCAATTGCAAGAGACGTGACAACATCAGTCAGTACAATTAACCAATGTTGTGTACGACACCTTTACTGATTACAACTACAAACTTTCATCTCAATATATCAATTATTAAAAGTTACTCAATGAATAGTAAAGTGTGACGGACGGACGGACGGGCACGCACGCATACACGCACACACGCACGCGCACGCACACACACGCGCACACACACACACACACACACACACAAAGATGGTGAAGAACACATCTAAATATATCTTCACTGGACCGAGGAGATATTTGAAAACGAGTACAAAAAAAAATAACTCCAGTAATGTAATAGATCAAAGGCCAAAATCATAGTGACGAGACAGAACAGGTGTGAGTAAAGGCTATCAGACACACAGGTACCAGGTGTAAGAGAGGAAAGTTAGAAGAGATGAGAGAGAGACTTCCGGTACCTTCTAATGAACATAATATATGAGCTAATTATTAATGCTGAATAAGTAGGAGGCAAACTAGATACACAAGTAACTAAATATAAGACTAAAAATCACAAAACAGTTGATAGAACCAAACTTAAACACCAAGAGACATTCAATAATGGCCATACAGTACACAAGACTCATCACTTTATATCAAAATTAATTCGAAAACAAAGCAAAAGTTAGTAAAAAAAAATAAGAAATGAAAATGAGTAAAAAATAATTCAGCAAGTTCACAAAACATTAGTTAATACAGCAGCATTCTCGGGGATATGACGACAATACCACCACATTACTACAGAAAAATTTGATATAGTCATTAGCTCATACGAAACTTGTACACTTGTTAGTCTTCAATTTAGTGTTTGTGTCTGTTGGCTCATCTGGAAGTTATCTACACTGTACGGAGGAAGATCTATATGTGCCTTTTATTTCACAGATGAATAGCAAAAAGTCTAAGCCGCTCGCCCAAACAGCTGACCGGGGATAAAGTGTAAACTGTATGCTAAATTCACTTCACCTGTAGACAGTACATTCCAGGTAGTACTGTACAGGGACACTTGTAATTACTCCAGGTTAAATACTGTATGTTAGATACCTGTACAAATATCACATAACATTACTTTCAAGGTCAGGGAGACACCACTTTACACGAGCCTCACAGAGCTGGACGCGATAATATGAACACTGTGCTCTGGAGCAACGTTGTCCAAATTTAGGTTTCACAGTTCATATCAAGACTACACCGGACTGTCTGTGGCCACACCGGACTTATTTTTATTCCACACTTAATATGGTTGTACTGTATTGTAAGGACTTAAGTCATTCAAGGTTCTTTTATGACTCACTTACATTCTCATACTCTACACTGAAACACAGACCTATCAGTATTTAAACCCAATTCTCAAAAACTCCTTAAATCATTACACATGCATCATGCAAATTTAGCTACCTTATAGACACTGTACATAGATTACCATTTTTTCCCCTTTACATTTTTCCCACTAGACTAATGTATGATGGCTGAATCAACAACCAAGACTCTGCCTTCCTGTGTCGAGTCCTGGTATGGTGTTCTCCTTTACATCACCTCAATACATCTAGCTGCTGTATCTGGTTTATCCCTGACACTTCACACAACCTGTCACCATCTCTCAGCGGTGCCTCGACCTCCCTCCCTGTTGTGGGTTTTTGTCATTAATGTACAACACTGCCTCTTACATGTACAGGATGTCTCTGTATCACATTAATCTCCCTCTTGTGATAGCACTGACCACCATAACCAATTTATACTCATGTTGTTCTCATTGGCTGCAGCCTTCCAATATACCCAAACACTTATTGTAAATTCTTTGAACTTTCACTGATAAAACATCTTTGTAAGTACAGTATATAATCATACTGTATTAAAGGCATGTCGAGAGGTTCAAATACAGTACAGGAGGGGTGACTGTACTTTAAAGGCACAGTCAAGTTAGATATTAAAGATTACAAAACAAAATGATGTGCATCACAAACCTGCAGGCATACTGAAAGGAAGTTGGAAACAAACTACATAATCCAGCAACGTAAACAAGGGAGAACCAAGTATAATGCACTCCTAACACGTGGCCGAGGCATCCTTATCCCTGTATAATAACAGACCTTGTGGAGGAGGTGTACCTGGAGCAACAGTCTTGATGTGTGGGGGAAGTTTAGCAGCCTTCATGGCCGCAGTGAGCGATGCCTGGTCGGCGCGGTGTAGAGCCCCGGACCCACGACACAGAGCTTTGATGCCAGCCAGCAGGTGCTTGTCGTGAACACACACCATCCGCTCCTTCTCTCCGCTGCTTCTACAAATACAATGCATTGATCTGGAGGATGAGTGAATTTAACAAACCTTTCTTATATAAACTCTATACTGTACTGTATAGTGTATGGATCAATGGCAGATGAGTCCCCAACTTACTTCACCTGTTTAAAATCCTTAATGCTATCTGGGACTGTTAAGTTAGGTTAGGATTAGGGAACTAGTTCATCCTAAAATTAGGTAAACCTGAATATACCAAACACTGAAAGGCAACAGAGGCAGTTCCACCTGTTCCAAGATGCACCCAAATTCACAATATGGTCTCAAATGACAGGTTAAAAAATAAAGTAAAATTAGCACTAAAAAAAATCTTTATATCAGGGGACCAAAGGTTATGCTAAAAATTCTTTATACTACAGTATTTTGTTGACCAGGTAAGGTGTAGAAGCTGTTGCCAACACAACAACCACACCCTGAGTTAACGAGTTGCATGACCCAGTGTCGAGTTCCCCCAATCAGTAAGATATCCTACTGTACTAGCATAAGAGTACGGTATTCAGTCTTAAAAACAAACATTGCATCACATAACTCACTCAGTCATAGAGGTAACAGTAGCAGCTGTTGTTGTTGTTGTAGTAACAGAACTTGCACTTGTCACTGTACTCGATGCTGTGGTAGGTGTGGGTTGTGTGTCATCTGTGGTAGTTGTGGTAGGAGCTGCAGGTGAGGTGACAGCTACTGGGATAGTCACACTCGGGGTGGTGGTGGTGGTGGACGCGGTGGTCGACGTTGGAGAGGAGTGTGGGGCTGGGGTGGTTATGGCAGTAGGCGGTGTTCCCACATGACTGGCCAGGAACTGCAGCAGCACTTTTGCAGCATTAACAGCCTGGCTCACACTTCCCACACTCACTGTTGAAAAATTATAACCACAATCATTCAAGACTGCTTTACTGTATATACTTGCAGGGACAGTTATGAGATATTCAATGCTAAAATGCCCATTGAGAATAAAAACAGTATTAATGCAAAAGTCTGTCTGTGAAGCCCACTCATGACATATCCCACCCACTAACAGCAGTGAGGCGTAACAACTGTTGGCCCCATAAGGTGACCCGACCCGTAATGTAATCAACTCAAAGAGGTCGTAACCCTCAACATAACTAACTACAGATCATTAAGTTTGCCTCAGGTCATCTTGTGATACACCTGCCCAGAACCATTGGGTTTCACTACTATTTGTTTAAGTATTAATACAGTACTCAGAGTCAGATGCCTCTACAGTATACATGAAAATCTTTACACACACATTTGTACAACACCTACTGCACTGTACCGTGCAGTACTGTGATGTACTGTACTGTGTTGTACTGTACTGTGTTGTACTGTACTGTGTTGTACTGTACTGTGCTGTTGTACTGTACTGTGCTGTGTTGTACTGTGCTGTACTGTACTGTGCTGTACTGTACTGTACTGTGTTGTACTGTACTGTGTTGTACTGTACTGTGTTGTACTGTGTTGTACTATACTGTGTTGTGCTGTGTTGTACTGTGCTAGGTGTGTGTGTTGAGGTAATAAACCCATGAGTGTGACTCACCCTGGTGTGCATTGCTGGCCAGGTAGTCAGCAGCCAGGACACAGAATGAGGCATAAAATGGCTCATACTGTTCTTCATGATGGAGGATGTCTTCTTTGCTGGAAGGTGTAATACAGTATAAGTTTATGATAACACTAATAGCTTTTAATCACCTCACACACATTAGTCTTGCTCTTAATCACCTCACACAGTCTTGCTCTTAATCACCTCATACACATTAGTCTTATTTCCATTAGAGAGAGAGAGAGAGGTAATAAATTAATGAGAGTTTATCTGAAACTGATTATCATTTCATCTTCTGAAGCTATTTAATGGGAACTTGAGAAATATACACTATTATATTAAGACAGAAGACAAGACCACAGGGAACCAAGAATATATTAATGTGGATGAGTGAAAATGACACTTAAGGTCTGTACCAGATGGACCACAGTCTGAACACTGCTGAAGGAAACAACTGATGTACAGTATATATTGAAAACCCTAAGTTAAACCAACAAACCTAATAATTGGTTTAGAAAAGTTCCATCTGTATAGTTTGTGTCAGACGCTGTTTTCAGTAATAACTTCCATGGTGGGACTACAACAACCCTTATTAATGATATTTAAAGCATTGTTCTGGTGAGTTTACGGCAGCTATACACACACACTTTCTTCCCCCTATACAAAACACATTAATATTTTCCAAACATTATAAATACAAAAATGAAAACAGATCAAAATTGAGAAACAATATATGTATGTTGTGTTGTCAAGTAAGAGAAACAACTGAGACCCAACAATTGTGTGTAAATGAGACAAAGTCAGATCATCAACCTGGGAGTTGGTCACATATGGCAGCAGGGTTTACCATTAGACAACCCATTATGCTTCCCAGGCGGTAGTACCTCCCTGCCTACTATCTCCTGGGCCTCACTGTCTCCATAAAGTCTAATATACCAACATTATATACAGTATATTATATGCTTGGTATGGAAAGGCTACATCACACACCATCTCTTAAAGGTCGCACTACTGGCTGTACTGTACACTATGATGGATTCACTGTACACTGCTAGGTGAGGCCCAATGGATGTCAGAGTGAACACCGTGACTCCTGTTGTGTCGGTAGGGTTGTCAAATCCTTCATCCGTCGAGTCATATTGTCTAACTAAACATTTTGCCGATACTTTCAGTGGGGAGTGTACATTATATACATTAAAATAAACACCACTAAACATTCCTTAACTAATGTACAACTTTTAGGAACTTGAAGTGGCTCCCTGGCCGTAATAATGCAGCTACTTGGCCCACAGGTCGAGTGGTCATATTAGGCCACTAGATTTGGTTAAATATACTGTATTTTGGTTAGGTTAAGTTAGGTTAGGTTGTAGTTATGGCAAATGTATTAAAAAAGTGTATATTTAAAAGTTTAACTTAACCTAACCTTAAACTAACCTAACCTTAAACTAACCTAACCTTAAACTAACCTAACCTTAAACTAACCTAACCTTAAACTAACCTAACCTTAAACTAACCTAACCTTAAACTAACCTAACCTTAAACTAACCTAACCTTAAACTAACCTAACCTTAAACTAACCTAACCTTAAACTAACCGTAAACTAAACTAACCTAACCTGTAAAAAGTACTTCCTCAAAAACATGTCTACGAACACAAACAACAACAAAATAACGCGTCGTCGGTGTAGTCGTCAACATTAACCCGAGAAAGTTTCACCCACCGAAAAACTTACCATTATAAAGCAAAATGTTAAATGAAATTGATGTTTTTCCTTAAGAATACAATACATAGTTTACAGACAAACCAACTGTAAATTTATATAATGATTTTACTGAATATCTTTTACTATTATTATTTTTACAGCATTCCTTATATGGTGAATGAAGAAAAAATATCAGAAGGTTCTAGATATATATATATAAATTACTGTATAATTAATAAACTTCCTATCATAAAAAATATAAATTGTTATAGGAGAGACTATTAATGGTCTTCCTGTTGCAGTATTTGTCACAAGAGATAACAGTAAAAAACTGAAGTATTTTATATAAGTCGTAATAAAAACTGTCCAGTAGATCATTTCAACAGGTAAATGAATTAATGCACTTGATCTTTAATATAATAGTTACATATATAAGTTACTACGGTGTTAAACTAGACTATTATTAACTAGCTAAGTCATGGGTGGCACAGCTGGAGTCATGGGTATCATGGTCCAACATATTGATTCATCATTATAATATCCAATTCTACAGTATTAATAATATATTAGTGAGATAAAACACTAAAAAACCTCAACCAATGTCTATAGATATGAGTTATATATTTCCTTAGGTTAATGTTACGGTTAATAATCCTCCACATAATTCAGATTTATTAAGATATTATAAGTCCTACGTATATTATATTGTGACTAACCTTTTAACAATAGCTTTAACTAGTTCTGGAAGGTCTTGTTTGTTAAGAGAGCCATAAGATGCAGCTAATATAGGCTTAACAAGTTGGCTCCACTCTACCCCACTGCTGGTCGCCGCCATGTTAGCCTCAGTAATGGTCGCCCTCACTCTCCCTCACCCTCCTCAATAATGTATTTTAACACCTCAATTAAGATAAATATAAGTAATAATTAATATATTTCTACATATATTTAGTATTTAATTAATATGTTATTAAATATTACTTTAATTTTCGGTTTGTAATGTTGGATAGAGTTATGAGGGTGTGGTGAGACGTCATTCTTTACCCCATAGTCAATGTGTTATACTTCAGTCATCACTCGGGTATAAATACATCTTAATGACATATATCTGTAATAAATCAACTCTGGGCTGGTCATTCTTTACCCCATAGTCAATGTGTTATACTTCAGTCATTACCAGGGTATAAATACATCTTAATGACATATATCTGTAATAAACCAACTCTGGGCTGGTCATTCTTTACCCCATAGTCAATGTGTTATACTTCAGTCATCACTCGGGTATAAATACATCTTAATGACATATATCTGTAATAAATCAACTCTGGGCTGGTCATTCTTTACCCCATAGTCAATGTGTTATACTTCAGTCATCACTAGGGTATAAATACATCTTAATGACATATATCTGTAATAAATCAACTCTGGGCTGGTCATTCTTTACCCCATAGTCAATGTGTTATACTTCAGTCATCACTAGGGTATAAATACATCTTAATGACATATATCTGTAATAAATCAACTCTGGGCTGGTCATTCTTTACCCCATAGTCAATGTGTTATACTTCAGTCATCACTAGGGTATAAATACATCTTAATGACATATATCTGTAATAAACCAACTCTGGGCTGGTCATTCTTTACCCCATAGTCAATGTGTTATACTTCAGTCATCACCAGGGTATAAATACATCTTAATGACATATATCTGTAATAAACCAACTCTGGGCTGGTCATTCTTTACCCCATAGTCAATGTGTTATACTTCAGTCATCACCAGGGTATAAATACATCTTAATGACATATATCTGTAATAAATCAACTCTGGGCTGGTCATTCTTTACCCCATAGTCAATGTGTTATACTTCAGTCATCACTAGGGTATAAATACATCTTAATGACATATATCTGTAATAAACCAACTCTGGGCTGGTCATTCTTTACCCCATAGTCAATGTGTTATACTTCAGTCATCACTAGGGTATAAATACATCTTAATGACATATATCTGTAATAAACCAACTCTGGGCTGGTCATTCTTTACCCCATAGTCAATGTGTTATACTTCAGTCATCACTAGGGTATAAATACATCTTAATGACATATATCTGTAATAAACCAACTCTGGGCTGGTCATTCTTTACCCATAGTCAATGTGTTATACTTCAGTCATCACTGGGGTATAAATACATCTTAATGACATATATCTGTAATAAACCAACTCTGGGCTGGTCATTCTTTACCCCATAGTCAATGTGTTATACTTCAGTCATCACTAGGGTATAAATACATCTTAATGACATATATCTGTAATAAACCAACTCTGGGCTGGTCATTCTTTACCCCATAGTCAATGTGTTATACTTCAGTCATTACCAGGGTATAAATACATCTTAATGACATATATCTGTAATAAACCAACTCTGGGCTGGTCATTCTTTACCCCATAGTCAATGTGTTATACTTCAGTCATCACCAGGGTATAAATACATCTTAATGACATATATCTGTAATAAACCAACTCTGGGCTGGTCATTCTTTACCCCATAGTCAATGTGTTATACTTCAGTCATCACTAGGGTATAAATACATCTTAATGACATATATCTGTAATAAACCAACTCTGGGCTGGTCATTCTTTACCCCATAGTCAATGTGTTATACTTCAGTCATCACTAGGGTATAAATACATCTTAATGACATATATCTGTAATAAACCAACTCTGGGCTGGTCATTCTTTACCCCATAGTCAATGTGTTATACTTCAGTCATCACCAGGGTATAAATACATCTTAATGACATATATCTGTAATAAACCAACTCTGGGCTGGTCATTCTTTACCCCATAGTCAATGTGTTATACTTCAGTCATCACCAGGGTATAAATACATCTTAATGACATATATCTGTAATAAATCAACTCTGGGCTGGTCATTCTTTACTCCATAGTCAATGTGTTATACTTCAGTCATCACTCGGGTATAAATACATCTTAATGACATATATCTGTAATAAATCAACTCTGGGCTGGTCATTCTTTACCCCATAGTCAATGTGTTATACTTCAGTCATCACTCGGGTATAAATACATCATAATGACATATATCTGTAATAAATCAACTCTGGGCTGAACATGTAACCCCATACAGTGTCTGGTACTGTTGGATCGCCAATAGAAAACCTTAGTTTTCTTGAGAAATATATCACAAAAAACAATGACCAATGTAATACAGAAACAGCCAGAAGAGGTCAGTTCACCAAGCTGGTCTTCCCTAGAGCAACAGAAGCTCAGTTCAATGGGTTCATATCTAAGGCCAGGTCAGGTCAGGTTCAATGCAGCTAGACTCATCATCAAATTCAGCTTTTTGTTTGTATAATGTTTAGGTTCGATATTATTAAATATCGTTAATTTGTGTCAAATTATGTTAACAATTAATTTTGTTTTTATTGAAATTAATTATCAATATATTGCATTGATTGACTGACCGAGTGATTTTATTTGGAATTCATTACATGTACAGTACGGTCCAGTAAAATACAATATGAGTATGAAAAAAATTACATCATACATGTAAGCACTTTATAAATTATCATGTACAGTACTGTACTGTTACTGTAGTACAATCACGATCCAAAATTTGTATTGCATGTAATTAAGGTACAGAACGAATACTGTATATTATAATGCTTTCCATCCCTCAGGTCTTTTAATGTTTCTGTGACGTCCACCCTCTTGTGTCTTGTTTGAGAGGCCATCAATCAAAAGGCCTCAGCCGACTTGGGTATTGGAGATGATTCACTTGGAGAATAATTCTAGTAACCCTACACTGCACTTCTTCTAGTGAGGTCAATTGTGGAGTTGAATGAGAAGTTACTTATCTATATATTAAAAGGTAAAAGGGTTTGTGTAGCTTTTCATCACCAAGTTCAGCTATTGCTCTATCATAGTGTTCATTACCCACAGGAGCCATGAGAGTATTGCTCAATTCATACAGTAACTAATTGTGTTCTGGCTCAGTGTGTTCTTCAACCTTTACATTTATTCCATATCTTTCCCATTCTCAGATCTGTGGTATAATTGTTTGACCAGAACACCATGCAACAAGTTCTGAAAAAAAAAACACATTTCTAACAATTTTTATTAAAGGTGCCAATCTTTGTTGAAAAACCTGAACATGTGTAACCTCCAACAAATATGTACAATATACACACATAAATAATTTCCAAAAAACATAAATTATATGAATAGTCCATAAGAGTTGGTACAGTACAGTCAACATTGATTGTACTGTACTCAAGGGTCAGTGTGTAAGTGGTGTCATTTACAACCAGTGCAGTAATGTTATGAGCTAAACACAGATACTGTACAGGGTGTTAGAAAAGTCCCTGTGCTCCTGTAATAATTAACACTATAGTTGTTCCTTGTTATACTGTACTGTACTGATGACACTAAAATAGGGAGTGTAATTAAACCTGACGAGGACTCCGCAAAATTACGGGAAGATCTAACAAATTTTTTGAATGGTCTGAAAAAAGGCAGATGACATTCAATGTGGACAAATGTAAAGTACTTAGTATAGGAGATGTAAACAGGGATACCAGACGAACAACGATGTTATAGAGAAATCCGAATGTGAAAACGATTTAAGAGTAATACTTTTATTTTTTACTTTAATGATAAGTAGGAATCTTAAGCCAAGTAAACAATGTGTATTTGCTCGTAACAAGGCTAATAAAGTACTTGGGTTCATACAAAGGAGTTTTAGTTACAAGACTAGAGAGGTCATCCTAAAACTATATCTTGCGCTTGAGAGACCTCACTTGGATTATGCAGTTCAGTTCTGGTCACCGTACTACAGAATGAATATAGAATCCCTAGAAAGAATTCAGAGGAGAATGACAAGACTAATCCCGGGCATTAGGAACCTTGAGTATAGAGTCAGGTTAAAGCATCTTAATTTGCACTCCATCGAGAGACGTAGAGTGAGGGGCGATATGATAGAGGTGTATAAATGGAAGTCGGGGCTAAACAAAGGGGACATTACAAAGGTACTCAAACTACCCAACCAGGAGCGAACTCGTAACAATGGTTTTAAATTAGACAAATTTAGATTTAGGCGCGAAATAGGTAAACATTGGTTTGGAAATAGAGTAGTGGATGAGTGGAACAAGTTACCAAACATCATCATTAACTCGAATACGCTGGATAGCTTCAAACAAAGGTTGGATGGATTATGAGCAATAGGGGTTGGGTGTAAATGGGACTGCCCAGTATGGGCCAATAGTTACTGTTTCCTCCAGTCTTATATTGTTATCTGTACCTTGCTCTACTTACAGCAATTATTGTAAATGGTCACAGTAAATGTTGGAAGTGGATGCCATTCTCAATACAAGTATTAGTATAACAAGGTATATAACAATGTAGGTATAACAAGGAATAACTATAGCATTACTTCACTAACACCCTGTAGAAATCCCTCATAATAAATGATGATGTGGTATAAGTCCTTTTGGTCTCTGTGGTCCATATGACTGCATCACATCTTTCCTGTACTGTACTGTATGAATACTATCAACTGATGATTACACAGATTTAAAAAAGCATTCATGGTTCCTGAGTTAAACATTTGTATGGTTAAGTCCACATCTTACACTTCTATAGTCACCACAATTGGCACCACTACACTGTTGGGTAAATGCCGTACAGTATACAGTACAGTACTTGACTTCATGAGCCACAGACCCTCAGTTTTAATGCAAGAATCCAGTTGAGTTTGCTGGATGGTGTGAAGTTTGTCATTTAAACTAAGTACAGTAAGTCTTTGTACGACGAGAGGAACACAAGACATGATTGGGGACGATGACTTCAAGATACATTACCAGTAGCTAGTAATTGTATTTTTAATTGTATTTGTCTGTCTTATCTTTTTCCAATTTGTTAATTAGTTAAAAATATCACTAAAATGATTCAATATCATTGTTAACATGTGACAAACTCCCTTCAGGTAACAGGTAAGTTTAGTGTGTGGTCGTGTCATGAAAAGCGAACAGGTAGTGGACAACAAGTAACACCCCTTATCCCTTTACTTCAGGGATGCCACTTTTAATATTTTATTAGGTTAACGCAAGATGACTTTATACAACACAGAGGGAACCCAGTACACAAGGGGTTAATACATTATCTCCACTAACCTCTTCATTACTAGATGCCACTTTTCATGTTAAGTTTTACCCAGAAAGTTTTGGTTACCCTTCAACTACCCGGTACATTCTCCATATTATTCTATCATTTTTCCTAAGTGCTGAGAGCAGCTTCTTACATCCTGATCATTGTCTTCAGTCATTGTCTTCATGTCTTCAGTTGTCGTCATGTCTTCAGTTTTTGTCCTCATGTCTTCAGTTGTTGTCTTCATGTCTTGTTGCACCACTGGCCACAACAGCCACACATCCTGCACCACCATCAATAACATAAACTAGACACAATACAATACTATGAATTAATAACTATCTAAACTGAACTCCCTTATAGTTAGGTTAAAAAAAACTACATTTCTCCGGTAATGCGTTAAAAATGGCAAAACACAGAGGACTACGCGGCTTGAATCATGTGTTGTGAAGTCCGACAGTATACCATTTGAACATCTGCACATTCTTTGTTTTGACTCGTTGCAACGTACTGAGGCTACGGTGTATGGTACAGTCCTTGGATCTGAAGCAACGGCTGGTTTGTATGTTGAATGTGGATACTATATTGTGATTTTCTCCACAATATGTGAACCTAAAATTCTCTCAAAACACTTCCATTTTGTGGGTTTTTTCTGTTTACTTCTTGCATCTGTACCACATTACTATGAGAGGAGATAATATTGTAATATTTAAGAAGAGAACTCTGTGGCTGACGTCCATCTAGGCACAGTACGTCTCATCAACAACTGGCAGTGAAGAAGAATAGCTCACCATTACAGTACCGTGCTTTAATAAATAGCTCACACCTCTGACAAAAAGTTCAGGGTATAGCTATGATAAAGGATGTCTCATAGGTTGTGCTCCACAGGTAAATAATTTTTTTCTTCAGGTGAAAGAATCGTGAGAAAGCAACGAAGATAACAGAGAAATTAACACCAGAGGAAAGCCAGATACTACACACTGATCACCTGCAAAACAATTTAATCAATACCAACATGACAGGATATGCTAATCAGAGTGTAGCATCTACCTTTCTGTACATACATTAATATTAACCTGCTTCTCCTCTAGTGATAATTGATTGATTGTGATAATAACATCTCTGGCGAAGTCTCTAGTGTTACTTTCTCTCAGCTGGAGAATATAAGAACATTATTTTCCTATGGTTGTGTGGCCTATAAGACATGTTGTACTTAATCTCTGAACATAAAACCTCCTGCTTTTCACCTCATTACTTTACACAAAATATAACCAGAATTTCTTTAGTATCTCATAAAAAATATTTACACATAAGCACAGTTCAGTACTGTACTTTACTATGGTTCTATAACTGTTGTTGACTTCCTTGTTGAAACTGTAGCTGCATCTGCTCCTTGAACTGATCTTGCATGTCTAGAGCCTTCTTCTTGAACTCATCACTCTTTGTTTCGTCTTTCTTCACACCGTCTCCTTTGCGATACATCTGTTCGCAGGGAATATTTAGTATTTTATATCTGATATATTAGTTCATATTTATCAAAACCTACCAATAATTTAATGGTTATATTTCATAACTCCTTCACTACACAATGCCACTTTTAATATTTTATTTGACTAATGTTAGATGATTTTATTCAGCTCAGAGGTGACCCCATACAGAAAGGCTTAAGAAAAAAATCCTTTGATATTTACAGTGACAAACCGTAGTGGTGCAGTACCATTTAAGAACCTTAAGTAGTAAAACATGAACATTAAGCCCAGATCATTCCTTTCAGAGGAAGAGGAACAACACCCACAGAGAGAGTCAGACTCTGTACAGTATCTAGACACTACCAGTGAACTTTTGACAATAAGCCAACCTCCCGAGACATATTTTAATCCTTAACTCCATGTGTACAGTAATGGGTCCCCTCTCAGCTGGAGAAAATCGTCTCATATTAGTGAAATAAAACATTAAAGGTGGCATCCCTGTAGTGAAGGGGTTAATATGCAGTGTTCCTCACATGATAACAACCATTTTTTTTAAACTGCACAACAATTTTAGGATTCATCAAATGTGTCAGGTGTCCCAGTTGTCCTCCTCACACTACCAACACCTCAATAGGGCTTTCAGTTGCCTTTATTATCCTGGAAGATGCACATTGTCATCATCATGATCACCTGTGAGACACCTGTCATCATCATTACCACCACACCTGTCATCATTATAAGCACCTATGTGTGACGTGACATCATAATGATCACTCATAACTGTGGGAGAGAACAGAGGTATAGGTAGTGATAAGGTAGCCAGGAGTCTTCTCTATTGTGGCCAGAGAGGAGTTCCCTATTGGAGAGAAGCATCATAAGATAAGCCAGGACTCTTTATTAACTCCTGCCAGTGTTATGACCACATTTGACTTACCTGGCATCATTATGAGCTTTTGTGGCATCAGAATGAACACTCTTGAAACATCTGAGATGACACTTGTGAGACACCTGAGATCATTATGAACACTTGTGAGACACCTGAGATCATTATGAACACTTGTGAGACACTACCAACACACCACAAGCACCTGCGTATTATTTACATCATCAAAAGCTCTTGTGAAATACTTGGCATCATTACCTGCTCATAAGACAAATACCTATGGGCCACTAAGGGTCATCATGAACTTCTGTGAGGTGTATGATATGAGACGTACTAGTTCTTGTGAGGCCTAAGTGTTGTGATAGGTGATCCCCTACTTACCATCATTCAGAGATACAAACAAACCTGTCCAATTGACTGTTTGAACCACCTACAAAATAAAAAAAGGGCTTACAAACAAATGGAACGTAACTCATTCATAAGTACAGGAGCACTTACTGTATAGTGATGATAAGGATGAAGTCTACTCATGGAATGGATGAAAGGCAACAAGTGACCTCAGTTACTGTGACATCATTAAATATAGACATCTGTCGCTGTTATGAAGATCAGCGAGCGACACGGTACAGCAGTTACGATACAAGATGTATTAACACTTTGAGCATTTGTAAACCAAGCCATAATCTGTAAAGAGGCTGATGAAAACAGCTCAAGAACACATGTCCCCAGAAGTGAGAAATTGAAACTTGGAGTATAGACAGACAGTGTTAATACAAACCAGCTGTAAAACATTGATGGTGATGCCTCAAATCAGTCTATGTTATAAATTGTTATGAGTCAATAGATAATAAATATTCCCTTTGTTTACAGCTAAGCAAGTTGAGAGTATTAGTACATACTGTATATGTGGGTATTTGTTCACACCCCTCTAGCCTTTTCCTCTAACTGTCCAAACTTGTCTTGTATCGTTCACCTCCTATCAGTACTGTAACCCTCGACCCACCCAACACTAATGGGTATAAGACAATAATGATGACACAGTGATACAAAATACTGTACCTGAGAGATGTTCGCACAAGCGTACATGTTGCCAAGGTTACATGCCTTCATGGAGTAATCAAAGGCTTTGTTCATATCCTTACTGACAGCATCCTTCACTCCCTGGATGAAAATCCCCGAGATGTAGTAGCAGGAGAAGGCATTGTTGCCGGTGCACGCCTTGTCTAGCAGCTCCAAGCCCTGTATGGTTATAAATCTGGTGTATACACAGGTTACATATTGGAATTAATTATGAGATCATACCCCTTGTGTACAGGGACAAATAAAATATTAAAAGTGGCATCCAAGCAGTGAAGGGGTTAATGTGAAACAGTTCACTGCATGCAAAGAGGAATAACAAATTTTATATACAGTGAAAGTTGGTCCCATAAGCACGACTACCAATTAGGGACAACGTGGATACAGCACACTTCGACCACCTTCAGACACTGTAGGTGTGTCGTTGGTGACTAACATAATAATGTACTGTTCCAGATGACCGAAGGAAGAGTGTGACCATCAAAACTTATAATTGACGCCTCCAAGTAACTCATTTTAGGGGTTATGGTCGAGTCAAGAGAGAAAGCATCTTCTGAAGACGTAAGTCACATATTTTGGGGTCCTGAGAACTCTGGGTAATTAAACACATACTGTACGTACATGTGTCATCAAAAGGTAAGAGAACTTTATATCTTTCAACTGTGTCCTTTGTAAATATCACCACACACAAAATGTTCAGACTAATCCTATACTTTGTTGTACACATTCATAATGATGACTACTGTACTGTACATACCTTTTCATAATTCTTAGGTCTGTGATCATTAGTTGGTGTATGAGACACACACATGAGGCCACCATTGAGACAAGAGTCGTAGTCACCAGCCGTGCAGCCCTTCAGATAATAACAATAAGCTTCTTCCATGTTCTGTTTACATCCCTTACCAAGAAAATTATAATTGGCATATTTATAACAGCTCTTAGCAAATGACGATTCATCACAGTTGCTTCGATAAACTTTGGCAGCTTTTTCAAAGTCCTTCTTCACACCTTCCAGATAGTCACCAAGCAGATGACAACCTGGAACACATGACAACATTCTTTACTTCCTTCTATACTCTATGATGAACTGAAACATTTAGAGCCTCAACTAATGACTGGAACTACTTCATAAATTAGTCACACTTTAGCATCATAACACAAGTTTCTGAGAGTTACATATAGTACACAGCTGCACAGGAAGGTTAACAAACAAATTATTTTCCTACCACAGTACTGCAGCTTATAAAGGGGGCGGGGCGGGAGGGGTTTTATTTACTCTATTAATATTATCTTCTTATCTTTTTAATATATCTGTGTAAGATATCTTTTATAAATCTATCTTATATTTTTCTTTTCATTATTTTATTTTCTCTATATTTTTCTAAGTCTTTATAACAGAATGCTTATTACTTTATTTCTATAACTAAATATTCTTTATCTTTCTTTTCTATATACAGTTAACCCTCACTTTACGCGTTAATGTAACCCGGAGGGTCCCGCCGTAAAGTGAATAACATAACATATGGGATTAATTGAAATGGAGTCCGGGCCGATCCCCAAACTCCACTTTTTGACGACACACAACTATGTTGTAGTAAAAATATTATCTTAACTTTATGATGGTATGCACACACAATTAATAATTAAGAGAAATATCAATAATATTAGGTTTTTTAACACTTACATTAGTAGAAAAAATGGCTGGGCACACGGGGATGGGCGGTTGGTTCCGAGGCAGAGGGCAGATTATTGGCCCTCACCTGTGTCACTTGTATCAATTGTATCACTATCCACCACAGAGGCTTGCAGGGCCTCTTTGTCAAACTCCCCAAAGTCCATATAAGTCCATATCCTCACCATAATTATCACTATCACTGACTTGGGCCGGCTGTGGTGGGTGGCGGGTGAAGAACTGGTAATGTTTTGATGACTGGGCGACCTTGTGCGCACCATGTTCGCGCCGCTTACACAACATGGCGGATGGCGGGAGGTTTGGATCCAAAAATGGCGCGGCTCGCCAGCCGCTCTCCGCGTAAAGGGGTACACGCACCGCGGAATGTGAGCATCCTGGGTTCCGGCAGGGCACCGCGTAAACGTGGAAACGCGGAATGTGGGACCGCGTAAAGTGAGGGTTAACTGTATTAAATATTTGTTTCAATATCTTTCCCTTTACTTCTTTCAATATTTATCAGTGCTTAGTTATATTTTATTCAATGGATTAACCCTCATAAACCACATCATTCTTTAACAACACCTATTGGTATAATTATTATACTTACAAAGGTAGACAGCTACCACCCAGGCTTTTAGTAGAATATAACTGCTATCATTAGGTAGATACGAGCTTAGACACGTGGGTTACAGTACAGTATTTATTTTCTGAGAACCAATTGTTAGAAGGGAAAGAGAGGCGATACTCACAATTTACTCGGTCAATAATTATTAAAATCAAAAGTGAATAAGACGACAATTGAAACACACTCAGACAAGAATGGACCACTAGGTCTTATCCACTAGGTCTTACTAATAAGTAACAAAATAGATCTTTGATTATTTGGTACAATACTAAACAATTATTATATTATTTCTTTGACAATAAAGATTTTACACAGCTGTCAATAGCACAGATATTAATGAACATGGAACGTGTACCAGATCTCCGTTGGGAGTAGACAGTGGATGGTTTACTCATATACAAACTCTAATACTGGTACAGTACTGTAATAATCAACTTGGAACAATTATATTTCTGCTAATTATCCCCAATCATGTACAAGAACACTATTTGGCACATATAACGGAGATTAGTGCACCAGGCAAGACTCGGTTACATTAGGCCGACACCGCTGGCGTTTACTACTGAGCTGAAGCTCGTTCAATAGTAGCACCAGGGTAGACTTGGTGCAGGATGCCTTATCACGGTTTTCCCTGGGTGCGCCGGTGATCTTGCCATATTAAAGACATCCTTCAGTGGACATCTTGGACCGGTAGCTGCGGGTATTGAGCTACAACACACTGTGCCTGGAGGAGCGCCGCAAAAGTGTCAAGCTTCCTCGTGCACGCGTTTATATACGGGCTAACTGGCAACTCAGGCATGCCAAAAAGGACAATTCACGTATTGACATACACTTTATTTAAATCAGCTGCTGTACATTTGGCTATGAAAATCAGTGTCATGAGTCAGATCAATTTCTTACATCTATTGTTACAATCTGATAAGAGTTTGAGCTTGACAGGCATTAGTGAAATGGACGTTAAACACCCAAAGTGACGTCGTCTCTCTCTTACGACCTCGTCAACATGGAGACGAGGGCCGACTGCGAGTGTGCCGTTAGATCTTGGAGATAAGAAGGCTGACATATTCTTTTCAGGAGATTAATTACTTTTTAAAATATACAGCTGACAATAATTTCAATACAAACACCAGATTCTGTGATGATTGGGAACAAAGTGATCTAACTTCAGTAGCAATTGGCAACTCAATGCATCCCCAGGGACGATATTAGGGACTCGTCACTTTTACTGGCAGACTCTACACTAACTTATTAACAGTTTTTACCAACAGTAAATACAGCTGAAGCTTTCAACATTACTCACAATGGATCTTGAATGTTTCATCTGTAATCAGACACATTTAATACAATGTATTATAACTGTGTTCTCTCACAATTTCAAACCACTGATGATACGGCCACGTGGCCACTTATGCAGCCCAGAAGGCGGAGTGATTTACTATGTTGGCAGGAAGCGTCGAGCCACGGCGTTCAGGAAGTGATGAACAAATTTCTTTCCGGTCTGAAAGCACAGGGATTCCCGCAGTGTGGACAGTCTCTATTTAAAGGAATAATGCCGTGGTCTTTGAATAACTGAAGGGTCACGTTGTATTTATCCCTAAATTCGCAAATTACGTCCATATAAGACCGGCGACAACTTTCACACGTCGTGCTCAAAATGAAACTGCAGCGAGCCCGGGGAAAGGCACAGCACCAGAGCGAGGCTTCACTTCTGCCGGGAAGACAAATTAGTGGAGCCCAGGCGTCTAATTATCTATGAAACGAAAAATTTGCACAATAAATGATCATCATATCAAACTCACCGATGAAAATAAAGTAAGAATATAAACAGTAATTAAAATAACTCGTCCGCGAGTTAGTCGTCAATACTAACCGGTTGTCGTAAATGTCGCCTCTTTTATAATGATAAGTTTCCGTGCACAACAGAACAATGGTTAACTACACAACGATCAACTCACGGCGAAATAAATACCAAATGTTACCAGAGTTACGGTCAAATAGCGTTAGTAGGAACTTATCCGGTCAAGGCAAAATATCCACTGCCAAATAAATTACCCATAATATATAACTAATGGTAAGAACAGTCATTTTAACATTATTTTATAGTTAGATAAGGCTGGTTTGAGTCACCTGCCACAAGTCACTATAGACAAAAGCTTTCTTATTATCATTATCTTTACATGCATCATCAAAACTTTATATCATTATAAAGATATTAAGAAAGATGTTTTAAATTAGTTACAAGGAAACATTAGACATTACTCACTGTCAGGTTTTCCTTCACTGAAACATCCAAACCTATATTCTATTCCTAAATTATCAATAAACTCTTTGACGTCTTCTTCTTTCTTCATGTCAAAGGCCATAGTTGAGACTGGGGAGGCTAGACAGGGGAGGCTAGACTGGAGGGGGAGACAGGGAGGCTAGACTGGAGGGCAAGACAGGGGAGGCTAGACTGGGGAGGCTAGACAGGAGGGGAAGACAGGGAGGCTAGGACTGAGGCCAAGACAGGAGGCTAGACTGGAGGGGGAAGACAGGAGGCTAGACTGGAGGGGAAGACAGGGAGGTTAGACTGGAGGACAGGAGGCTAGACTGGAGGGGGAAGACAGGGGAGGCTAGACTGGAGGGGAGACAGGGGAGGCTAGACTGGAGGGGGAGGGGAGGCTAGACTGGGGAGGCTAGACAGGAGGCTAGACAGGAGGCTAGACTGGAGGCCAAGACAGGGGAGGCTAGACTGGAGGCTAGACAGGAGGCTAGACTGGAGGCTAGACAGGGGAGGCTAGACTGGAGGCCAAGGCTAGACAGGGGAGGCTAGACTGGAGGCCAAGGCTAGACAGGGGAGGCTAGACTGGACCAGCCGGGAATCTTGTGTAAGTAAACAAACCTCAGCTGATGGTTGAAGTGAACCTTTATGTAAACTGTAGATCATTTATAGATATTTAAAGTTTGTTTCATAAAATTAATATTAGTGTTTTCTTAAGAACTATAATAAACTGAAGTATAGGAAAGTGAAGAGAATATATTAAGAATATATTAAGTGTCATGAATATAAAATTTATGAACAAATTGATAGTTTATTTATTTTAATGTCTCTACCATATTTTATAATACTATCTCACTTTATTAATACTGATTATCTCTCATTATAACACTCTTTACTACTAGTTGGGTCAGGTGATTAACTCGGTAACTTGTTCTATTATATAAAAAAAAATCCGTTCTGTTTCATATTAATTTACATAATTATAAAATTTACTCCTAAATTATATTATCTAGTAAATTTAGTGGATAAAATCAATGATATTATACACCCTAGCTTATTTAACCTGATTATTGAACACCCAAACGAGTCATTGGAGGGTAGACTATGTTAATTTGGGTAAGGTTAAATTAAATTAAGTTAAGCAAGGTTAGGTTAATTTTGTTAGATTAGTTTGTTTAATAATCAGATAAAATAAGCTAGCAGGGGAATCTTTAGATGGTCCAAATATTCCTGGCTCTAAAAACTAAGGGGCATTGCTTTAATGTATTGACTCTGTTCTATAAATAATACAATTCAATTAGTTATCTAAGTATATCAAGAACAACTATAATATTAATCAGTAACTACAGCTAGACATTCCTTAGTAAATCTGTATATTGCATCACCAAAAAAAAATCATTGGGTCATCATCACTATTCCTCTACATTGATAGATTAAATTAAACCAATATATATTTTACATGTTCCATTATACAGGTTAAAAAAAGATTAAATAAATTATATTAATTCTCCTAAGCCATATAACAATAGATTAATTATTATTCACCTAAAAAACCCCACAAGGAAACCTCCAGAAGTAACAAAAACTCACTATATATAAATTATTAATCAACAATAATATAAACCAATAATATAAAAAAATAAACTATATATATTACTTAAAAAAACCTTAATAAAGACTTAGATATAATGTTATAATAAGAGAAATAGAGAGATTATAAGAGGAGGTGGGAGGAGTGGCAGGCGGATAGAGAGAGTCACTTGGTGTATAGTGAAGAGCATTGTGGTAGTCAATCCCTCTACCACACCTGAGTAAGAGGCAGTGTCTCTATTATAACCTTCTACCACAATTATAACCCTTAGAAAACATTTTAATTAATAGTTAGAAGGTTATATATACGTTCTTAAAGTGGTGATATTAATAGTGGTTGGAGGAGTTGGTTGGTGGTTGTGGTGGTGACGTGACACTATACCACAGTACTACCACACTATCTCCATCACTATATAGTCTCTTGGTGGAGGAAAAAGATTCTTGATTAATTCGTTATTGATGGTATTTGATATTAATATACTTGAAATGTGAGTGTGTGGTGAAGTGTGGTGTGTATGGTGTGGTGGAGGTGTGGTAGGGGGAGCATTGCCCTCTCTCTCTCTACCTACACACACCATACACTGACATCACTTACCTCACCATACACTGACATCACTTCCCTCACCATACACTGACATCACTTCCCTCACCATACACTGACATCACTTCCCTCACCATACACTGACATCACTTACCTCACCATACACTGACATCACTTACCTCACCATACACTGACATCACTTCCCTCACCATACACTGACATCACTTCCCTCACCATACACTGACATCACTTCCCTCACCATACTAGTATATAATTAAAGTGTGTGGGAGTGTTTTATGGTTATTGAAGTGTGTGGGAGTGTTGTATGGTTATTGAAGTGTGTGGGAGTGTTGTATGGTTATTGAAGTGTGTGGGAGTGTTTTAGGGTTATTGAAGTGTGTGGGAGTGTTGTATGGTTATTGAAGTGTGTGGGAGTGTTGTATGGTTATTGAAGTGTGTGTGGGGAGTGTTTTATGGTTATTGAAGTGTGTGGAGAGTGTTTGTGGGATGGTTATTGAAGTGTGGGAGGTTTTTGGTTATTGAAGTGTGGGGAGTGTTTTATGGTTATTGAAGTGTGTGGGAGTGTTTTAGGGTTATTGAAGTGTGTGGGAGTGTTTTATGGTTATTGAAGGTGTGTGTGGGAGTGTTTTATGGTTATTGAAGTGTGTGTTTTTATGGTTATTGAAGTGTGTGGAGTGTTGTATGGTTATTAAAGTGTGTGTGAGTGTTTTAGGTTATTGAAGTGTGTGGAGTTTTAGGTTTGTGGGAGTGTTATTTATTGAAGTGTGTGGGAGTGTTTTATGGTTATTGAAGTGTGTGGGAGTGTTTTATGGTTATTAAAGTGTGTGGGAGTGTTGTATGGTTATTGAAGTGTGTGGGAGTGTTTTATGGTTATTGAAGTGTGTGGGAGTGTTTTATGGTTATTAAAGTGTGTGGGAGTGTTGTATGGTTATTGAAGTGTGTGGGAGGTTTCCAAATTGTGTGAATGACTGTACCTGTACTATATTTCATCACCTGTAATTAACTGTAGTGTACCTGGCATTATGGTGACTATAGGTAGAGTAGGTTAGGTAAGATTCAGAATAAACTAATGATTTTTTATATATATATTTTTGCTTTCATTTAAATTTTAGGTAATTATATAGGACTAACCCGCGAGCGAAATTGTTTGAAACAATTATAAAAACGCCTAACCTAACCTAACCTACCTAACCTTACCTAACTTAACCTAACCTAACCTACCTAACCTTACCTAACTTAACCAAACAAACCTACCTAACCTTACCTAACTTAACCAAACCTAACCTACCTAACCTTACCTAACTTAACCTAACCTAACCTACCTAACCTTACCTAACTTAACCTAACCTAACCTACCTAACCTTACCTAACTTCCCCTTTATATTAAACAGAAAGAACTGATGAAAATAATGTAAGAAAATAATCAGTAATAAAAGTAACTTGTCTGGGTTAGTTCTATATATATTAACCAAATTTTATTCTATTCGTACATTACTTTAAAGTCTCAATGAAATATGTAGAGGTTTTCAAATAGTGTAGAATGAATGAATGCCAAAATTAACTTCTTTACTGTATATTTGAAGCTTAAAACATGAGGTTTCCATAAGAATGATTAGTGAAAATGTGATCATAATGCCTTTGATAGTAAAAATGAAGGTTACATATAGGAGAGTTAGAGCCAATGATTTATATGTATTTGCCAACATTTATCTAGACAGTATATATACACTCCTACACGGGGTATATATTTACCTCCACACCGGCGTATAAAACTTACCGTATTGTGATTTTATTTACAAAGCCAAAGGAAACTTGATCATTGTCCAAAGTACGACATAGTACGTACTGTAGTGCAAAGTGCCTGTACGCATTATATATATAGAAATATATAGTGGTGATCGTGGAGTGGAGTGCAGCAAAGACACGCCATGAATGGTTGACTCCAGTGAAAAATAAGTTAGAATGGAAGAGGCAGGTAGTGGTGAAGGGGGCTCTGGCGGTGCCTTCAGTCAGATGGATATACTGACGGCACAAGTGCTGCTCAAGAAAGGGAAGCGCTATGCTGCCAAGTATCTCCGGGATGAATGTTTACGAAACCTCTCACCTGGGGATCTGCAGACACCTCGCACACAGGTAAGTCTCCTCGTTATATATTAGGTTAAGTATATATAATAGTTTAATTCTTTTTAATGCTCAAACTGCTGTAAAATATGGATTGAAACTCAGTACTGTACTGTATGGTGAATTATTGATTCTTAAAGTTTGCTTATAAAATTAGGTGTTGGTTATTGTTCAGTTTACAGACGAGTGATTTTTGTGGCCAACACCAACAACTGCATTTAATTCCAAGTCCAGGTTAGGTTAGAGTTTACAAAGAGGAAGGGTGGATGACGACTGATGGTGCAGTTAACATTTACTTTGAGATATTACGTTAAGCTGATGTTTATTTTGTTACACAGACATAAATAAATCAGTAGGTAAGACAATTCTAAGGCACATTTCTTCTAGAGTGTTTCTGTCGGAATTTTATATTTTTTGAGTACAGTCTCTCCTCGACTTGCGACAGGGTTCCGTTCCGACGACCAGGGCGTAAGTCGAAAAGGCAAAAATAATATATAGAAATTCTAAACTGGGCGTCTCCTTTTTTTCTCGGCACCACGAGAACTCTCACTTTTACGCTTGCCAGCCATTTTAAAGGGAATTACAACAACAAAATTTGTCAGTACACAGCGCGATCACTGACGTCGGGACTCGAAAATACGTAATGTGAAAAATATTTTATACGACCATGGCCGTCGTAGGTCCGGGTTGTCGTAGGTCGAGGAGAGACTGTAGTTCATTGAAGTTACAGGTAGTCATCCATTTTATTTTAATTTTTATTTTAGTGAAGTTTCTGACTTTGTATTCTATAAATTGAAGTTGGTGCTACTATAGTGTGCAGTTTACAAAGATGTCTTAGAGTAACCTAACCTAAATATCTTGTAGACTACACGCTATAGTAGCACCTTGAAGTCTATAACAATTGAGAATCTCCTCCAATTACTGAGTACCTGTAGAGTAGTTTTGTTAATGTCTAGACCAGTGACTAAGGATCCCTGTAAGCCACATGAAGTTAATATTTTCCAGAGTCATAATCATCTCCATGTACTCTTTACTTAAGAAAAATGACAACTAAATTATATATTCATAAAAATCCATCATTAAGAATTTTTTTTTAATACCAAACTCAACTTAAAAGATTTCCATATATAAATTATAAACTGTTGACTACTTATTTGTGTTGTTATTATTATTATAATGAATTTTGTGGAGCTCTTGTAGGATGCTCACAGAACAGTTAAGAATCACTGGTCTAGAGGGACTACACCTAGACATTGGTAATACAGCAGTCTTTTTTGTGAATGAGATCTTCAGTCCTATGATTGATTTGATATACAAGTACTACAGTAGGGTATGTACAGTACCATATAGAATGTGGACCTGCTTAATACCTGGTGGTTTAGCAAGGAACATCACTGCAGTAATAGTTTACAACAGTGTGTTATTATGAGCAACTTTAGGAAAATATTCTATCATGAAAAACTTGTTTCTTACCTTTCAAATACAGTATCTGTAAAAGTTTGGAAGAATTATAACTTGCCTACTTTTGTTTTCCTAGTGTCGTGTAATTTTCTTATGACCACCATGTTTAAGGCTAAACTGAAGAGCCCAGTAGATTAATTTAGTCTTTTTCTTTTCTATTTTTTATTTCTTTTTACACTTATTTTTTTGCCCGGGTCGATGACCTGTGCGCGGGTGGGCTATTCCCCGTAAGAAAAGAAGAAGAAATGATCTTCCCAGTGAACCATCCATACAAACAGTTAATAACAAAATAACCAACCTGTGTAATGACCTAAAATAATGCACTTCCACCCTATGACACCTACCAGTATGTTAGTATAGGTTGTCATTCTTTTTTCACTCATTGATGGCAGATGGTCACTGGTGAGTGGGTATGGTTAGGCACACCTCAGGTTCAAAACTCTGCCGTGGACAAAATTATCAAACTAATACAGTATGGTACTGTACTTTAATGTAAATATTGCAAGAAGAGTTCGTTTTTATTTGTTTTTGTTTATTTAAGAAACAAATGATTTATACTGTAATTGTTTATACAAGATGTTCAAAGGTTGCTGCTGGTTTTGAACAAGAAACTACAGAACAAAAGTATTAATGTCCGAGAAGTTTGTGTTTTAACTCGTGTGTAGGTAGGTGATGGTGGCAGCTGGTCCATGAAGGTGTGTCTTTAAGAGAAAAAAAGTTAGGAAATAAAACTAGGAAAGTTTCTCTTCCTCCAGACTGGGAACAGTATTCAAATACTGTACTAAGAAATAATTTGACCTCAATATAATATTTCCGAAAGCGGCTCATAATAACAGACACGGATTTAAACTACAGTATCACCAAATAAGTTCTTAAAATAATAATGAAGTTGACCGCTGCCGTGTGTGGTCTTCATGTTAAGCTTCAGTGAATGAAGAAAACCATCACTGAAGGTATTTTATAGCCCTATACTGTACTGTACTATCAAGGTTAAATAACTCTTTATAGCCAGCTCTCAGGGGTTAAACCCCCTAACCCCAGGATCCCAACTTTTATGGTCGGGGTCTAGAACATTGAGTGATTTGAAACTTATATTATCCAACCTGTCATACCAGATGCCACAAGGATAAATAACTCTTGACGTAATGTTACTGTACTGTATCCCAAGAAGAGAGAATGGTGAAGAGTTGTTGCCAAATACAGTACAGTACAGGAGCCATGTGCAGAAGCACTTAACTATTTTTGTCTGACATTGACAATAAAATGACATCACAAGAACCACCACATGAGATACTGTACAGTACAGTCTGGTCACTACACAGCCTGTTCACGGCTTTGATGTATGAACACCTGGATCTACATGAAATATATATATATATATATATATATATATATATATATATATATATATATATATATATATATATATATATATATATATATATATATATATATATATATATATATATATATATATATATACCTGTATATATATATATATATAACAAGTTAACTTTGTATTGAATGTTTGTTGTGCTTTATCACCAAAATTGTTAATTTGACATTGAGTTGGTGTACTGTACAGAGCCAACACGCTTGGCACTGTGGCAATGGTATTCTCAGCATGTTAAGCAGCTTAAAAGACACTTGTCGGAAGTTAACACCTTAACTTGCTTCAGGACTGAACAAATCTTCACATACTGTACACAGTAATGCTATTTTTTGGAGGTTTATTACGTACGTACTAGCTACAGTACAGTACTTCTTAATTTAGTACAGTAGTACAGTATATCAGAATCCTTCAGGGGATTTAAAAACTGGTTTGTGAATCTGGGTTGTTCACCACGAGTATTACCACCATGTTTCACCACAAACTGTACTGTATACTATAATTCTAACCTAACCTTCCTTACCATAATGACATTACTCCTGTGGCGCTCACTCCAAGGTCCATTTCCGGGTAGCCCAGCCTCAGGAGGGGGATGCCCAGGAATACATTATTGCCCAGTCTTGTGAGTTCCATACTGACACGTGCTCTTGCAACACATTACAGTGCAGTATTACTGGTGTTTCTAAAGAGGGTTTTATTCTCTACTTGAATATGGAATACTAATACAATATTAGCTTTGTGTCTTTAATTAGCTTTATGCTACTACTGTATATTGTATATAACATTAGATGATTGAGGAAATAAATTAACTATAATTTACCCCCAAACTTACAGTAACTATGCAGTACTGTACATACAATAGTGCCGCCAACAATAACACAAAATACATGGGACTGGACTCTGAAGTTGACCCTTACGTTTATCTCTTGTATGTTACAGGTAGTTCTGCTATAACGCGATAATTGTGTTCTTGTAAAATATCGTGTTATAGAAAATCGCGTAATAGAAATAACAGGGCTTATGGAGAAAATAGGGTTAGGTGCAGATTACTCGAAATCAAAAAAATTTAGTAGTTAGCCTAACACAAAGGATAGCACAGTCTAAATAAATGTTACATTCATATCTAATAATGAAATCATACAGTAAATGTAAAACTTTACTTGATGGGGGAGAAGGGTGATTTTGAGGTTGATAAAATCGAGCTTCTCTTCAAGTGTTTTATCCTTTCTTTTACGATCATCACCGGGAATTCTATCACCAGAACGCTTCTTGTTGATATTCTTCTTTACTATATTCACAGTTAATACAGTGGGGTATGCTATAACGAACGGATCCTACTATGAATATTCCTATAACCACAAAATTGGAGAAATAGTAAGCAAAAATCGCGTTATAGCAAACAAGCGTTCGCGTTATACAAATATCGTTCCTAATTCATAAATCGCGTTAGAGCAAATTCGCGTTATCAAAACAAGTGTTATAGCAGAACTCACTGTACTTAATTAGGTGTAGTATTGCAGTAGTCTTGTTTTTATCCATTGTGTACTATATTGCAGTGATGAAAAGTTTACCTAATGAGTATTTTTAAAACTTGGTGACTGTAACACTTTCATTTCATTTAGTGATTGAACGAAAATGGTTGTAATTATTGTACAGTATTTTGTATGTGCATGTACAGGAAAAGACTAATCATTTGTGTCGTCATTTTACTAAAAGTTTGCATGTGTTGTGTTGTTGCAGGTGTTGGGTGAGCTGCTCGACCTGCTGCTGAACCCTGCCATGCGTATAAAGAACTGGGACACCATCGACTGGCTCAAGTGGCTTATGGCTGCCGGTCGAACCCCAGACGACTTCTTCAATACAGGTACAGTGCAGTATAACTCTTAACCTTATCACCCTGACTTTAGCTGCTCTTAATGTAACCAAACACTCGAACAGTCATGACTGCTCTTAAATTATTGCATCAAAACAACCAGAAAGACCCAAGTGGTACATCTGCTGAACACCACAACCAGAAAGACCCAAGTGGTACATCTGCTGAACACCACAACCAATATTTAAGACTGGGGGGTCCTTAGTGAGTGAATATACCCTTACTATTGCACACTGTACATTACCTAAGAGACATTTGGACATAAAACCTGGTCTGTGTGTTGAAGAATTCCGTGGTACGTATTTATTTTTATTTTTTTTTTTGCATTGTAGAATTAAAATGTTAATTCTTTATCTCGGCGTGCAGTGAGACTTGGGAGGGGGGAGGGGGCATTTAGATACAGTATTTGTAAAGTTATCTACATCTTGAGGCATGATGGGTGTGTGGAGGTGTACTGTACAGGTGGGAGGGAACATCTCAAACGTACAATACTTATCCAAAACAGTAACTCTTCCACGATCATTCTACAGAGACCATTTGATATAAAACTTCTTTCTTGTGTTTAATGAGGTTTGGCTTGGTTGGATTTTCATTATGGTGTGACAGTACAGAAATGGTATATGAGTTATGGTCCTGTAGGTTTGTTTTGTGTGTGTGTGTGCGCCAACAGTGTCAACCATGAGTGTTAATAGATTTGAAATTAAAATGGGAGAACACTGGTAGATTACCTATGATATCTTCTACAGTCAACCACAAAAGTCCTTACATCGGAATTGCTTGACTGTATTCTACTTTAACTGCAATGTTTGGCCTTTTATTATTTACAGAAGTTACTTATTCTCTCCATTTTTTCCGTCTTTTTCTTCACTTCTTGCCCAGAGCATTTCATGTACTGTACATATACACAAACATACACAGACTCGTGAGTGTGTACAGTATACATTACCCAGAAGAGCTTTTAAGCCAATCAGAGAAGACTTATGAAACAGTCCTGTACCTTTGAAGGATACAGGGTATATGTATCATGTTTCTTGTGTGTGGGTTAGGTTATGTTTAGTTTAGTTCAGGGGTCCACAACCTTTATACTGTACACTAGTCGGCCTCTTAACGGTACAAGTAATCAGTGATTGGCCGCAGGTGTACTGAGCCAACATAAGTCGGCTGTTTTCCACACAATTGAATGTAAAATCAGAAATGTAGGACTATAATTTATTGTTAGAAAATTTTCATAAACAACACTGATATTTAAAACTAAACATAGCATACACTGTACATACTCTGCATTGAAATAATAGCACTAGTCATTAGCCTAGTTAAACATTCTGTAAAGAAATTAGGGAAAGAACTTTTAGCAACACAAAATATGGAAATATGAAACTGTCTTCAAGCAGCAGTAAAAAAATCTATACAGTACGTCACTCAGCAGGCCGCTCGTGGGAGTTGTGGACAGTGAGGTACTCTACTATACTGTACTGTTAGTTAAGCAGGGTACAGTACAGCAGTGTTTATGTATTGTCAGTTTAATTTATTTAGTAACTATGTGATGTATTTATGGTTTATACTGTACTGAAGAGGGGGTTGTGTGTGTGTGTGTGTACAAATAATATAGATTGAGTACAGGTGTATGAAGGTATTGTTACTCGTGTGGGTCATGGTGTGTGTTGAGATCCTGTTCTGTCTGCTGTGTTTGTCTGCTACACTGTCTCATCTGCTGTTTGTCTGCTTCACTAATGTATCTCATTTGCTGTTTCTCTTTCTGCTTCAGTCTCAGTTTTGGCTTTGTCAGGGAGAACTTTTATTAATTTTTTTTTCAATAGTCTGAAAAACATTTTGTTGTTGTTTACTGCTGTTGAAGGCAAGTTTGTGTGTCAGGACCGAGTAAAGACGACGATTAGTCCCTCATCGTAGATTTGCTTGTTGTGTTGCAGCCAGGGAGAGGTATCATGGCTCATGGGGTGACAAAGAGGGGGAGGAGGAGGAGGAGGAGGGGCGTCTTAAGGACAATTGGGGGTAGGGGGGGGAGAGAGTCTCTGAGTTCAGGAGGTACAGGTGTGCTCACAACCTCATTACCTGTCATGACTTAATAAGGAAAGAGTTTTTAGTCCACACATCCACCCACCCCTGTCAACCTACCTACCTATCTGCTTACCTACTTGGTGGAGGTGTTTGGTGTGTGTGATTGCTGTAATATATTCAATGGAAATCCAAGAGGTATGAAGGAACAGGATATCCATGTAGTGTTATGACCTGTTTGACCTTGGTGGTGTTATACCCAATAGCATTGAAAGGCTTGGCTTGGCTGGCACTCTCCCAGCTTGGCTAAGTGGGGGCAGTGGCTTGGCACGGGCACCGATACTGCCTTAACGGGGTACAACATGCAAAACTTTTAGTGTGTGGGGCATCGTGCTTTGGTGGGTGGGTATAGATGGGCAGCGTGTGTGTGTGGTGTTTGTTCACAGCCATGCCTGGTTCCTGAAAACACATTAATGACAAATATCTTACCTAACCTTAACTTACCTTACCTTGCCTAACCTCACCTCACCTCACCTCACCTCACCTCACCTCACCTTACTTTACCTTATAGTATAATAAGAAGAACCGTTTCTCTTTAATTGAGCCTACCAGTAGTTTTCTATAGCTCAAAGGAAAGTGACTTGCAGATCATTGCTGGATTTCAAAGTGACCTATGTCTGACCTTGGATTTCTTTTATGACTTCATCCATCCTTTGATTAAGAGCCCGGACAGGTGTCGTTGATGTTTTGGGCATGATTAAGCAGGTGTTAAGTGATGACAGGATGAGGAAGTTGGGTGTTGTTTGGGTAGTGATGCTTCCTTGTTTTATAAATAGTGATTGTTTACATGAAATAGTTGGCAGTATATTATTAAGTCTTGTGTGTGTGAGAGGTCAGCCACACCACCATGCCAAAAGTCAGCCTCACTTTTTTTATTAATTATGTAAGATAATTTGTTTGCCTTTTCCTGTGTGTTGCTTGAGTGACCTTACAAACATTGCTCATCATTTGTAGGTTTTTGTAAATGTGTAAAAGATGTTCTAAAGTCCTGTTTGTCCACATTCATTATCTGTTTACTTGTTGTCGAGAGTGTAACAGAGTGACATGTTTTCAAGTCAGGTCATCCTACTTCAGTACCTACTCCATGGAATTCACACAAGTCAACTCGGTGGTGTCGTGGGCCCGGCTTCACACATCACTGACAGGTTGAAAATTACGTTAGGTATATAGCTCTATATATCCCGTGAATGGTCTGTATGGTCGTCAACCAGTGGGACAACACGCCAGCGGGGACACAGTCATTCTGGTTGCTGAAGGCAGGTGGCTCCTGTCCTGGGGTTACCTGAGATATGGGTTAGAGGTTTTGAGGAAGTTTTCAGATGTGACCTACCTTGTTAAGTGTATGTATGTGTGTGTGTGTGTGTGTGTGTGTGAGGGTGACAGATGGCAGCAGGTTGGGTGTGAGGGGGCCAGCCAACCTTGTGGCTAGATCCCTGGTGCTTGTTGAGCCACAACACACACATGACCACAGTTTGTTTTCATAACGTAACTTAATCGTTGTGAACCATCTCCGTTATTCCCTGGAGCGGCTCGTTGTACCGTGTTCAGACGTAACGATGCTGCAGGGTTACACTAGACTGCTGCAACCATGACAGGTACATATTCTAACCTAACCAAAAGTAACCTGACCTAACTCTCCCATTACATCCACCATCGCTCTTTTTCCCATAATGCCATTGGTCACACTCCCTGTAGCTACACATCACTTGTGTGTTGATCTCCACCACAACACCACATCAAGGTACTAACTCGCTTTCACCTGATCCTCACCTGTGATCTACCTGTTGGTGCTTAAGAGCCTCGTTTAAACCCCTGTACTGTTTGTCTGGTGATGTATCGTTTCTCCTCTCTGCCTAAACGTAATCGCCTCGTAATTATGTGTAATGGTACAGAACTGGGTTTAGTGCAGTACTAATTACAGGTGTAAACATCGTGCAGCGTCTTCATTATTTATATCTCTCTCACTATACCAGGTTCCCGACGCGGTGATATTATTAAATAATTTTTAGATGTATTTCATAAATCTCTGTTTGTGAGGACAAGTGATGATGGCCTCTCATCTGTAAGGTGTGTACAGGTGTGGACATAATTACCTGGGCATGTATTTTTTTCCTGGGGGGGTGAGTGTCGTGTAGGGAAATGATTCATCGTGACGTGTTTACATAGATGTTTTGTTATATCTTAAGGTGTTTTTGTGTTGTTCTGAATGTTTATAACGAAAAGCAGCAGCAGACAACAGTTGTAGGGTGATGACGTGTGTGTGTGTTACAGGTAATATGAGTATGAGATAAAATTAACACTAAACAGCTGTATTGTTTGATGGTTATTGAGTCTTCAGACGATGATGGTGACGATATTAATGATGATAATTGTGATGATGTGTACATGTTAGCTTCATCACTAGTGTACGTGTGGGTGAACCTTGGTGGTGATGATGGCATTACTCTGGGAGCACCTGAAGCTTAGACCCCCTGCCCATAGCTTAGTTCACTGGATGATTAACAGACCTCTTGCAACGTGGCTGAGTCAGGTTAGGGTTAGGTTAGTTTGGGTTAGGTTAGATTAAGTTAGGCTGGGTTTGGTTAGGGTAGGGCAGGTTAGGTTGCTATCATAACACCAGGCTGGGATAGGGTAGAGTAGGTTAGGTTAGGTTAGGACCATAAATCAGACTGGGGTATAGAAGGTCTTTACAGATCCTGGTGTGTGGTGCTGTAGACGATGGGGCTGGGGTCTTAGAACGAGCAGGTGGTCACGTTGCCACACAGGTTGACCTTCCAGAGACGACTAGACCAACACTGGATGGATTATGGTGCCCTGTGCCAGTCTCTACCCACCCTGACCTCACCATCATCATCATCCCACCTTTGAGCATTTAATAGGACTTACAAAGCCTTCAGCCTTCTTTTGTTAGTACTGCT